CAACATCCCGTTCTCTACAAACTTTTCTGTATAATGATGTACTGATGAAATGTTTGAACTGTGGCTTTTGCAGAAGCCCATGCATGCATTACCTTTGCACGACACTCATGTGCTTGTCAATTCTGCCATTTGAAAAATAAAGAATTACAAAAAAAAAAAAAAAAGAAGTGAGTGGGTCCCTCTAAAACCCACAAGCAGGAAACCTGAGCCTAATATAATGGCTCTTTGTTTGTGAGTGTTTTTCCATCTACTACTGCACTTTACCATTTGTAATTGGCTATATTGCACTATTTTTTTGTCTGCTTATGTTTTAACCCTAGGAAAAAACGATCCAGGAAATATCTTAACTCCAAAAGATAGATACTCCACCTTGTATTCTGGGTAACTCTGTGGCTAGGTTACCTTTATTGGCAATAAGAAAAGTATCCAAAGTCAGAGTGATCACACAGTTTTTTCTGACTATGGATTGGTAGCTCAACAAGATTCCCACTGGGGCAAGAGATGTGCCTTTGTATTTGGAGCAAAATTCAACCTAGTAACTCTAGATTTCAGTCCTACCTGGTCCAGGGAAATCGAAGAAGAGGTGACCTGCTCTCTCAGTTATATTAGGAAGGTTCACATCATGATTGCTTGCCTGGTTTGATGTGGATAAGTCAGTTTACCGCATGTTGGTTGTCCGACCCGAGCTGGGGTTACAACCTGGTGAGCTTCACCCAGTAGCTTTTGGACAGGCATAGGTCGACCGCTTACTGTGAGCGGATGTTGCCATGACCTGGTTGCGCTTGTGGCCATGGAGGGGCCATTCCGCGAGATGGGGCAGTGGTGGTGATCCTCTCCCCCCCCCTTTTTATATTCCTCCGCTCCTTCTCCTTCTCTTCCTCTTTTCAACCTTTTATCTGTACAACTTACCTTACATCTCTAAAATTGATAAATGGATGCTATAGTTCAGACTCGGTTGTCCGGCTAATTGTTTACCACGGGGTGAAGGAAATGGGTGCTGAACACAGCACTGATACTTTAAGTGCATTTTAGTACAATGTCATCTCTTGCATGGGACATATTTTATTGTAAGTGTCATGATATTTGGCAACAGCTTACCCTCATGCATATCAGTATGTTACACACATAACTGTATTCTTTACATCCTGTTTAAGCTATCGTTTTTCTTGGCTGTTTGCCTACTTCGCTTTAAACAACTCAAATTCTTTACGTAAAGATTGCGACAAAAAATAAAAAGAAATGACGCTAGGAGTTTCAGCATCACAAAATGGTGAAGGTTTGGAGCAACCAGCAACCAAAATTATGCCAGACTTAGAAGGTACCATGACAAGCTGAAAACAGCAAAGACGTTCAAGAGGTTTTGGCAGTTTTTTTCAAACTCTGCCCTCACTTCTAGAAAATGGAACTTCTGACTTAGCTCAGTATGTACATAAATCAACTTATTAACCAGGATAGCAAATAGCACAGATCTCTTTACTGACTTCCAAGTATAACTCACTAAGCTGCTGTGACACCCATGACTCTCTAACTACTAACAGCATATTCACTCTGCCTTTATCGTTTATTCCTAATAAGCATATTAGCAAATTCATGAAAAGTCATTAAAGGACATTGGTTCTTAAAAATTCTGATATTTTTAGATAACTGTTCTATAATATATGCATTTTATATTTCAACAGGATTCCATGTGGATGATGAGACAGGAGGCTCGGGCTCTGTACAGATCACATGGGGATGTTATAAGAAGACAAAGAACTCTTCAGAACGTAGTCAAACACTATGACCAAGGTATAAAAAAATAGTACTGAAATAACACACAATGTAGTCATTGTTATAGAACTTTAATCTAAATTCATCAACCGATAAAAGATAATAAGAAAAATATATATTTTAATTGTTTTAAATTATGTTACCACGTATTTTTTTTAATGTAAACTACTTTAACCCCTTAAGGACACATGACACGTGTGACATGTCATGATTCCCTTTTATTCCAGAAGTTTGGTCCTTAAGGGGTTAAAGGAACACTCTAAGATATTTATAAAAAAAAAAAAGTGAAACAAGTTCCCTCTAATTCAATTCCGTTCAGCCTAGGTTTCAGCAGCCACTCCACCTACTGGGAATATCATGCTTGATGACCCAAATCTAATCCAATGCTTCTCACAGTAGCATTGGGGACCTATGATGCATGCATGGCAGTCACAATCACTGCACTCCATGTATGCAATGTTTCTTTGAGAAGAGCAATGGACGCATTTGGGGCCATCATGTGTTTGAGAGCTACTAGAAGTGTAGTTTAGACAAATTATCAACATAAATGGTTATGTTTTTACATTACCAGACAAAAAGGGACAGCTTCTATGCACAAAAACTGCTTAATTAAGATGAAGTGGTTTTGTTGCTTTGAATAGGCCTATTAGAAGAATTATTCCCCGATCTAAGTCTCAATTAATTACATTTACATGTATCTTTTCATGCCATTATTATATTTAGAAATAAATTATTATTTATTATATGTAGCTTAAATTATATATATATATATATATATATATATATATATATATATATATATATATATATATATATATACACACACACATTCAAATACCAGGAAACTGAAAAAAGGAGAAAGGGTGATAATAAAACCTTTTATTAAAAAAAGAGTAATCTATTCATAAAACGTAGCTTTTATTTAATTCCAATATTTTTGTAAAAAGTGTAAATATATAAATAGAAAGGTCCCTGCATAAGTGAGACTAAAAAAAAGGTAGTCATAAATGAAAAATCAGATTTGGAAAATAAATTATTTTGCAGGGACTTTTCTATATTTAAAGGGTTTTGTTATCACCTTTCCCCCCTTTTTTTAGTTTCCTGGTATTTGAATGTTCGTATTAGGGGTTATCCCCCAAATATTTATAGAGTAACCTGACACACTCTCCCTTAATATTTTTGTTTATACTAATATATATTATATATACACATTTCTAGTTCAGACATTCCTACCATAAAAGTAACAGTGCGTTTAGCTTGGTATATTTAGTTGTATTCTGGCGAATGGGGATGAGTGGATTTGTAGTTTTTCCTCGTTGAATTATAATGGATTTAGATTACACTGCTCTCCCTTCAACACCATATTAACGTCTCAATGCAACATTTTTATACTTAGAGACATCTTTACTGAGTGCTAACAATGTCACCTAATTAGAAATGTTTTAGTCTTGATAAAAAAGAGAGAAACTCCTGAAAGTTCATCACTACAGATTTCTGTTAGTCTAATTACGGCATTAAATAAAACACCTATAATTTGTGTTGCTTCAAGCCGTATTTTGTTTTATTTCAAATGCTATTTAAAGGTTTAGCAAATTGCATCTCAATCTAATTTGAAGAAGGAAAAACTGAAACATTGCTGATTGACAGATGCAAAAGACAGATAAGAATAAATAACAGGGAACCGAGATGGAACGGAACACTCGGTTCCAGGGCAGGATGGTGTAGATTGCTACATTTAATTCAGACATATTTGTTAAACATAGGGGATAAGAAAACATTACATTCAAAATCCTAAGAAGAGACAGTTCCCCATTACAATCAGGACCGCCATCAGGGCATGACAACCATGACGATTGTCATGGGCCCGGCGGTCCTGGGGGGGCTGGACTGCTCAGGGAGCAGTAACAGGGTCCTGCAGTAACAGGTAGCTGGGGGGCCCGCACCATGCCACTGGAGCACAGGGGACTGTGATCTCCCCCCTACCTGGACAGAGGTAAGACATAGGGAGGGGGGAAGAAATCTAAATGTATAATAATAAATGAAAAAAAATTAAAAATAATAATAATAATGTAGGCTCTCCCCCCAACATAATGCATTTTACACAATATACTACAACATTTACACACACTATACACTATCCTATAACATTTACACACTACGTCCTTACACAAACACATACTCTGTAGTCACTACATACGCTACACCCTTACATAAACACACTCTGAAGTCACTACAACCACTACATTCTTTAACAAACACACACTCTGTAGTCACTACACACACTACATCTTTACAGAAACACACACTATGCAGTCACTATACACACACTACATCCTTACACTAACACACACTCTGCAGTCACTATACCACACTACAACCACTACACAAACATGCACTATTCATTCACTACATACACTACATCCTTACACAAACACACTCTGCAGTTACTACACACACTACATTCTTACACAAACACACTCTGCAGTCACTACACACACTACATCTGTACACAAACACACACTACATCCTTGCACTAACACACACTCTGCAGTTACTACACACACTACATTGTTACACAAACACACACTCTGCAGTCACTACACACACTACATCTTTACACAAACACACACTCTGCAGTCACTATACACACACTACATCCTTACACTAACACACACTCTGCAGTCACTATACCACACTACAACCACTACACAAACATGCACTATTCATTCACTACATACACTACATCCTTACACAAACACACACTCTGCAGTTACTACACACACTACTTTCTTACACAAACACACACTCTGCAGTCACTACACACACTACATCTTTAAACTAACACACACTCTGCAGTCACTATACCACACTAAATCCACTACACAAACACACACTCCACATCTAATACACACAAACTCTACATACATTACATAAACGTACAATCTGCATCCACTATACACACTGTATCCATGACACACATACCTCGTCCACTTTACACATTCTACATCCACCATATACACACAACATTCACTACACACGCACTTCATCCTTGTGAGTAGACTCTGGGCCAGGCCCTGTGGGTGGACTCAGGTGTGGCTCTATAGGCGAACTCGTGGGTGGGCCCCAGGGGCCCAGAATTTGAGCTGTGTCAGGGGCCCGAAAATATCTGATGGCAGCCCTGATTACAATGTTTATGTTTATTTAATAAATTATCTATATCTTTTTTTTACAGAAATTGAGAAGAAAATATCAGATGGTGAAAGACAAAAGAAAGAACTAGATAAGAAGAATGAAAAGATGGCACAAGAGGAATCCAAAAAGAGAGAGCAGGCAGGTTACCTGATATGAGTCTACACTTTGTGAAATTATTATATTTTATCTAATATACTTAGAGTTTCACTGTTTCTACCAGAAACTTTCAGTGTTCAGTTTTATATTCTTCCCATGTCCGCCATTTTTTTTCTGTTAGCACAAAAATATTTAATGATTTGAGTGTTAAACTTACTCTTAGCATTGCCTCCAAGAGTCTGAGTGTGAAAGCGTGGATCTGCTTTTTAAATTGTTGTCTCTTGAGTACTAATGGGTCCCCCCCCCCAGATGTTGTTGGACTACAATTCCAATAATTCTGTGGCAGGCTATGTCAGAGAGAGAATTGTGGGTATTGTAGTTCAACAACGACTTAGGTACACTGTAACTAATTAAACTACACTTAGTAATCATCATTTTTAACATTTGTTTCTACAGATGACCAAGGACAATATCCTACGGTATAAGCTGGGAATCCAGTCTACACAATCTAAACAGAGAGGAGTTACAGCCTTTTCGTGAGTATGAAAAATACATGAGATTCAGCCTTTTACCTTTGCCAGACCTGAAAAGTTGAAAAAAAGGTGGTATATATAATCTCTTTCAGGACCAGGTTTAGGCATATGTAATTTTATTATGACTGCAAGCTACTTGTCTGATAAGCAGGGCTGCCATCAGAAATTTTGGGGCCCCTGACACAGCTCAAGGTCTGGGCCCCCCGGTGCCTGCACCCGAGTCCGTCCGTCCGTCCCCCTCCTGAGTCCGCCCACAGTGATGCAGTGTCTGCAGGGCCGGTGCAAGGATTTTTGCCGCCCTGGGCAAAAGTAAAGTTTGCCGCCCCCCATGTGACATCACAATGCCCCACCCATATGATCTGCCATGTTAACTAACACAGTGCTGCCGTGTTTACAATAAAAGGCCTGCAGGGACAGGCTATAGACACCAGAACCACTATATTAAGTGGTTAACTGCAGTGGTTCTGGGGACTATAGTGTCCCTTTAATGTGAGGTAAATTATAGATTAGTGCCACGAATAATATACTAGATTGCCTACTTACAACCAGATGAGGATGATGATGGGCTCTAGCTGCCGTCTGGCTCCACTGGTCTGGTGTACAACAGGCTCTCTGGAGGCGGTTTGTAACTGTGGTCACAAAAATCACTGTTCTGGGAGAACGGGAAGCAGCTCCATTTTTTGAGGGCCCTTTACACAGCTCAAGGTCTGGGTCCCAGGGTCCCCCTTTATGTTCCACCAATGAGTTTGTTCACAGGGGTGTGTGTGTGTGGGGGATGTCCTGATGTGTGTAAGGAATGCATTGTGTGAATCTGTGTTTGTATGTGTAAGGGCTGCAAGGTGAGTTTGTGTATGTATGGGATGCAGTGTGCGCGTCTGTAAGGGATGCATTGAGTGTGTGTAAGGGGTGCATTGTGTGTTGCTGTGTGTAAGGGATGCATTGCTTGTGTATGTGTGTCTGTGTGTAATGCATTGTGTGTTTTTCTGTGTGCAAGGGGTGCATTGTGTGTGTGTGTGTGTATGTGTGTGTGTGATGGATGTCAATCTCTCCCCCTACCCCCGTCAATTTCCTTCTCCCCCCCCCTCCAATTTCCTTCTTCTCCCTCCCCTCCAATTTCCTTCTTCTCCCCCTCCCTCTCATTGCCTTCTCCCCCCCTCCCTCTCATTTCCTTCTTCTCCCCCTCCCTCTCATTTCCTTCTTCTCCCTCTCCCTCTCATTTCCTTCCTTCTCCCCCCTCCAATTTCCTTCCTCCCCCCTCCAATTTCCTTTCTCTCCCCCTCCCTCAAATTTCCTTCCTCCCTCTCCCCCCCACTCAAATTTCCTCCCTCCCTCTCAAATTTCTTCCCTCCCTCTCCCCCACCCCACTCACTCTCCCTGACACCCGGCGGGCGCGCGAGGGAGCACTCTCTGTGTTTCCTCTTCAGCTCCCTCGCGCGCCACGTACTGATGCCGGAGCCGGAAGATGACGTCATCTTCCGGCTCCGGCATCAGTGCGGTGCGCGAGGGAGCTGAAGAGGAAGCACACAGAGAGTGCTCCCTCGCGCGCCGGCCCGCCGGGTGACTGCAGGGCCAGCCTCTGGGGGGCCCTGAGGTGACCGGCTGCTGGGCCCCCCAGGAGAAGAGGCTGGCCCTGTGGGTACATACCGGGTCGCAGGGCCCCCTGCGACCCGGTATGTACCCACTGAATGTGGGGCCCGGACGACCTGAGCAGTCTGGGCCCATGACAACTGTTACGGTTGTCATGCCCTGATGGCGGCCCTGCTGATAAGGGATTTAATAAGAACTTTTAGCAGAGCATTAACCAATTTATTCCCACAGAGACAAGTTGTAGATGTAGAAATTACCAGAACTGGTTTCATGTGACCATGTGATCCCCAAAAAATCTACAAGTCTACCACTTATCTTTATTATAACAGATTTTTTTTCTACCAAGCTTGAGCTCTCATTGGGTCAAATTTTGTAGCACATTTGAATTCCCTCTTTCTTGTTAAACATCCCACTTTAAATCATTCAAAAACAGGGTTTGTGTTTGTTGGTGGTCTACTTGTCAATCAAACACAATATAACACATTCCTCTGGATTATTTAGTTTAGATTGTGACAGGATGCTTAACACAAGAAATACACATGATCACACAAGACAAGAACTCAAGGGAAAAGGCCTGGAGGAAAAATGGCTACAGACAGAGAGGAGATTGAGATCGATTGAGCTGCAAAAGTGGCACCTGGAGTCTGAGCGCTCTGCCACACAGAAATATCTAGCCAGAAAACAGAGGAGAGGTTAGTTACCTATAACTGGTACATTTGATGTCAGCAAAATATACAGAATATAATGCATTTTTATTTGCACATAATCCACCATGATTCATACAATATATCTCCTTATTCTCAGCCACTTTTGCTTAATTTCTTTGTATGTTTTTACTTAATTTTACATTTTTTAATGCAAATAATTAAAATGTATTTTGTGTATTTTGTGCAAATAAGGCAGTCGAACAGCGATGCAATAATGCATATGCACATTACATAGTTACATAGTTACATAGTTACATAGCTGAAAAGAGACTTGCGTCCATCAAGTTCAGCCTACCTCACATTTGTTTTTTGCTGTTGATCCAAAAGAAGGCATGAAGCACAATTTTGCAACAAGCTAGGAAAAAAATTCCTTATTGACCCCAGAATGGCAGTCAGATTTATCCTTGGATCAAGCAGTTATTACCCTACATTGAAAGATTATATCCTTGAATATTCTGTTCTTGCAAGTATGCATCTAGTAGCCGTTTGAACATCTGTATGGACTCTGATAAAACCACTTCTTCAGGCAGAGAATTCCACATCCTGATTGTTCTTACGGTAAAAAAAACCTTTCCTTTGCCTTAGACGAAATCTTCTTTCTTCCAGTCTAAACGCATGGCCTCGTGTCCTATGTAACGTCCGGTTTGTGAATAGATTTCCACACAATGGTTTGTATTGGCCCCGAATATATTTGTATAATGTTATCATATCCCCTCTCAGGCGACGTTTTTCTTAACTAAATAGGTTTAAATTTGTTAACCTTTCTTCATAGCCGATATGTTCCATTCCTTTTATTAGTTTTGTAGCCCTCCTCTGCACTTTTTCTAGTGCCATAATATCCTTCTTTAGAACAGGTGCCCAAAATTGCACAGCATATTCAATATGGGGTCTTACCAGTGATTTATAAAGAGGCAAAATTTATATTCTTGTCCCGAGAATGAATGCCATTTTTCATGCATGACAATACCTTACTGGCCTTGGCCACTGCTGATTGACATTGCACATTGTTGCATAGTTTGTTGTCTATGACAATTCCCAAGTCCTTTTCACGTGTTGTTATCCCTAATTCGCTTCCATTAAGGGTATACGTTGCTTGTGTATTCTTTACGCCGAAGTGCATAACTTTGCATTTTTCAACATTAAATTTCATCTGCCATTTGAGTGCCCAGTCCCCCAGTCTATCTAAATCCCTCTGCGGCAAAGTAATATCTTGCTCACATTGTATTGTTTTACAAAGTTTGGTGTCATCTGCAAACACTGAAACATGACTTTCAATGCGGTCTTCAAGATCATTTATAAACATGTTAAATAGAAGTGGTCCCAGAACAGACCCCTGTGGGACACCACTTGCCACCTCTGTCCAGCTTGAAAATTGACACATGAGCCTACGCAGAGGCTAAATAAGGTATTACAATGCAATTTCATATATCAGTACGTAGTGAGCATACAAGATCAGAGTTGCTTACGAGAATGGCATATTATTTAAAAGAATTACAAATAACTATATGCAAATCAAATATCTGACATGTGAGAGATTTGTATTACGGAGCAAACAAATAGGAAAAAGCAGTGTTGCAATGAGTAAGCATATATGAGCATAACCTCTTTAAAGGATTGCATAAGGAAGTGGTGGAGTGTTCAGGAATACCGCTACAATCAGAAATATTACTCCACTTAAATTAGCCCGGGGAATCAAATTATCAGCATAGCTGTACAACCTGCCACTTTGCTTGTCGTGTCTAAACTTTGTGATACCAATGGTTAGTATCACTTGGAACATTTGTGTTTAAAACAATGCGAGCAAACTCTAGTAAAAAGCGTAGGTTTGAGTCGCTACTGGTAGGATAGAAACAAAACTATGCAATAAATGCTAAAAAATAATACACATACATGGACACATATCTAGAGATGTCGCGAACCGATCGCGAACTTCCCGCGAACGGCTCGCTCCGGTCAGCTGACACATCCCGGTCAATCTCCAGCAGACCCTCCCTCCCAGACCCTCCCACCTCCTGGACAGCATCCATGTTGAAGCTGCCTTCAGGAAGTTCGCGAACGGTTCGCGACATCTCTACACATATCCTGTGTCAAACCCACCCTCCCCAATAGGGACTGGAAAAATGAGGGTAAGGCCTATTACATGAGGGTCCTTTTTTGGGTACCAAGTGGAGTACATCTTGGTGTCCTTATGGACCATTTTCCTAGCACGTTCGGCCGGGTATTGTACAATGCCAAATTAAAAATAAAATAATAAAAAAATTAATAAAAATGTTTTTGACATTAATTCACACTCTTTTAGCATATAATAGAGAGAAATTAAATTTGTCTGCGCGGAGGCACTTCATGTTATCATAAGACGATCCCATTATAGTTTAACTCTGTATGTGTGACATGTGTGGGGCAAGTATCTATAAACTAACATATAGGTGCTATCCTGGCACTAAAGGGACTTTTTGTCTGTATTTTCGACAAGACTGAAGCCAGGTAAGTAGCCAACATTGTATCTATGGCTGCAGTAGTCAAGTCTCAAATTGGCTGTCCAAGAAGCGAACACAATCGCCGTTAAGGCAGCCTCTAAGTGGATGAAAGCCTATCGTGTTACAACTGTATATTGCATATGAGCTAATCGCAGCTTAAGAAGACACATTACGATAAGGCCACCGTGAACATATATAGCAGAGTAGGGGCATGTGTCAGTGTCCAGTAGGTATAAGTCATAACTTAAGGCATACATTAAAGGTATATAACATATAATTCTTAGCCAGGGTGTATACAGAAAAAAAAATAAAAAAAATAAAATGATACGTATGAGAGATAGTCTCTGACGTGATGGCCCTCCCTCGGGCACCAAGCGGAGTACATTCTGGTGTCCTCTGGGGCCAAGTTCTGAGCATGTTTGGCCAGACATTGTACAATGCCAAATAAAATAGAAAACAAGTTGTAAAAAATAAAATAGGTAAGCAATAAAAATGGATATATAAAAAATGAAAAAGGGGAGAGATGCAGGTCTTAGTAGCAGTGTGAGGGGGGCCTCCTATGGCACAGCTATAATATATCCCTTGGGTCACGGAGTCTCCATCTGTCTTCCCCAGACCGACCCCAGCTCACCAGCCAAGCCTTCCATGGCGCTGTGGGCACTCAGAAGCAGAAACTGTCCAAAGGACCTGTGACGGAACACTGGCACTCCGACTGAGTACCTCCGCCAATCGATGCTCCTAGCGCTTGCCGAGGACTCCAAGCACTCCAACCGACACCATCAGCACTGCAGACCCCACTTCCAGCGATGCAACTGCGCTGGGGTCTCTGCTGTCTCCACCCACCCTGGACCCAAGGCCAGGATCCAGCTTCCAGTGGGTGAACCTCTCTTTCCCCAGAGAGCAGGAACAAGCTCTTAGCAGAACTTAGTGATCATACCCTGGGGAGTATAGTGATTATAGCAATCCCCAGAGTGTATTTCTCCAATCCCCCAAACATGAGCCAAGGCTTAATGCTGGAACAAGACTAATTTACTGGCACACAGAACTCACAATTTATGCAACACAAAACTCCTCCTCTGGGCCAGGCTAGATAATTGAGTTTCTACAATACACAAAGCTCAATTATCTGCTGGCCAGAAATTATACAGTTTCATAAAACACACAGGGACCCCAAAACATGCAATAACCCCATAAAAAGTATATCCTTGGAACCGGGGGATCTGGGTGAACCACATATCCAAAATTCACCCAGATCCGTTCAGTACTTTGGAAAATACAGTTTAATGCAGATTCTGCAGAACATATACAGGCTAAATGAAAAACAATCACTTTATAATGTGTCCCCTGCTGTATAGTCCAAAACCACTGCACGATATCTCTGTGCACCAAATACTGGCGAGATGGCACCGTGTTGAAAAGTCCAAACAGTGTCTGTGAGTTAAAATGGCCGCCATCCATTGTTCTCACCATGTGCTTCTGATACAGGAAATGGTGGCCACCCAGTAACTCCACAGTATGTCCCCAGATGGTTCTTAAAGGGCCAGCAGCAGCACAACACAAATCCATTATGCCCAAATCATGTCTTTAAAGGGCAATACATCCCAGGGGCCATAGTCACAGGGCAAGAGGCGGGCAAGCAGTCCTCTCCAGGCACAAGTGGCGAAGGGCACTTCGTCACACATCTTCCCTTTGGGGGGAAGACTAAACAGGTGCCTGACCTTCTGCCGGTCAGTACCTAGATTAGTCGGTCAGCCCACCCACAAAGAAAAATACGCAGAGTAACCCCCCCACAATAAATGGTACTGGCCTGTAGGTTCAAGTTTGTAGTGGGACAGCGCAGCACTCTCGGTCTCCCTGGTGCAGCTAGGCAAACTGCTGATGTTGCTTGTGAGGCAGAGGCCAGCGGCGCTCTGCCCTGCTGCCAGCTCTTCCACTGGGGTAACCCGTGGTAAGTCAGGCTCTGATACAGGGGAAATGGGGGGGCAGAGGCTAACAGAGCTCTGCCCAGATGCCAGCTCTTCTGCTGGGAGGGGGTCAGTGGGTATCGCAGGCTCATCCACTGCCCCCAGGACCCGGTTGGGATGTAGCTGGGGAGGGGAAGTTTCACTTACCTCCTCCTCCTGGCATCCCTGCGGAGTTGGTTGGGGATCTGGACCGCCCGTCCAGCCTCCCTGTAGGACTGGCACAGAGACCGCGGTCCCATCTGCGCCAGTGTGGGTAGGTTTGTCTTCCCCCTCTCCCGGTATCTCTGGCTGCTGTTGGAGGGGGAGGCTGGTTGCCCCCACTCCCCAGGATGCTGGTTGCTGTAAGGTGGAGGGATTGACCATCACCTCCTCCTGGAACTCAGGCCGCCGCTGGGGAGAGAGACCAGTTGTCTCCTCTCCCTGTATATTATACTGCCGCTGGGGACCTAGGCTGACTGCCCAGCATCCCTGTAGGGCCGGCAGAGAGACTTCGGTCCCATCTCCGCTTGCCATCTCTGTGTGTCCCCAGGACAAGTCTATGAGGTCGCCCACCTCCGGCTGCTGTTGGAGAGGGAGGCCGGTTGCCTCCCCTCCCCAGGACGCTGGTTGCTGTACGGGGGAGGGATCTACCATCACCTCCTCCTGGAACTCAGGCCGCCGCTGGGGAGAGAGACCGGTTGTCTCTTCCCTCTGTACGGTGCACTGCCACTGGGATGGGAGGTCGCTGCTCTCCTCTCCCTGTAACTCACTCTGTCGCTGGAGACGGGGTGTCAATACCCCCAAACTCCACAGTTGGTACTCGAAATTCCGTGCGTCTTGGTTCTCAGCACTCAACATGCGCATCACTTGATGGACCACCTCATCTGAAGGGTTTGGGCCAAACCAAACCAGCCGCGCATTTACTTCCTTCATGAAATCAGCACCCTCATAGCACTGTGACAGGTGGATTTGCAATTCACTGGCTGCTGTCCAGGGTCTTGCTAGCTCCATGTTGCTGTAGGTAGGGACGCTGCGCAGAGGCTAGCGTTGCCCTCAATTATAAATCCGTAACTCCACACGTTACTGGTGTCTCCGAGCTGCTGGTCCTCGCACTAGGACGCCATCCCGCCGCTGCCACCAAATACTGGCGAGATGGCACCGTGTTGAAAAGTCCAAACAGTGTCTGTGAGTTAAAATGGCCGCCATCCATTGTTCTCACCATGTGCTTCTGATACAGGAAATGGTGGCCACCCAGTAACTCCACAGTATGTCCCCAGATGGTTCTTAAAAGGGCTAGCAGCAGCACAACACAAATCCATTATGCCCAAATCATGTCTTTAAAGGGCAATACATCCCAGGGGCCATAGTCACAGGGCAAGAGGCGGGCAAGCAGTCCTCTCCAGGCACAAGTGGCGAAGGGCACTTCGTCACAGGACCCCCACACATAGAGTCCGTGGGCTGTCCGCCCCCTACACCTCCCCAGCATCACTTACGCCCATGTGAAGCGCGTGCCCCCATGTTTCTCTTGGTGCCGGCCACACACTAGGGACTGGTGCACACCACTCACGGCCGCTGGAAGGACTGCGCCGTCTCGCCCCACAGGGGTCCCCCTGTCCCCATCTGGCCGAGGGGGGGAAGCGGGGCCGGACCTCGGGTCTCCACCATCTTCGGGCAGCACTGTCCCATGTATAGCAGCCCCCTTGTGTGTAGCTATCTATCCTCTGTCATCGATCTGCTTCCAGCCAGACGAGGCCTCAAGCTAGGCCTATTATTGAGCATAGATGTATTTGAAACATTGAAACAATTATAGAATTTAGAAGCCAGTCTGTCAGTCAAATCACTAAAATGGGTGTTTAAACCAAGGTATTCTTGGATATATGTTTTAGAAAGTACAGTTCATCCACTGACACTTGATTGTTTGCCAAAGAACCACCTGTAATACATTCATTAAGTGTTAGAGTATTTACAAAAGTTTCTTTTGTGGGTCACCAGTGGTCCCTAAAGGTCCTTGGAAAAACTTGTTCTAAGGTTGTAAGAGAATGAGCTTGTTTGTGTTTTCAGTACTATAGAGGAAATTTATCAAAGTGATATGAAATGTGTCCTTTATTTTAAGTCTCTAATATGTTTGTGTTTATTAAATTGTTCTAAGAATGGTCTATACAAAGTGTCTGCCATTTTTGCGAGAAAAGTCCATTGCAGAAAAGACTGCTAAATTTAGAGTGGTGGGAAAAAGATAAGTGAAACAGAAAACTTTTCTGGAGGAAAAGTGACAAAAAGATTTATGAGTCTATTGCATCGTTAGAAACATGACGTACATTTAAAAAGGAAGGTTAAGGTGCTAAAGAAGCAACAGACAGAAAAAACAACAGATTGAATAAATACCTAATAAACAACGCAAAACTATCTGTGGCATTTTAATCTCTAGTGTTTACTTAGGTACAGTAGTGGCAGCCGTTAAGAGCTGTGAGTTTTGTTGCAAACATGGGCAGTGAACGAAATGTTGTTGGTAAAAAATACTTGTATTCAGTTTAAACTAATAAAATTAGCACTCAGTCCTCAGTAAACCTACATGTTAACCTTTGGGATGGGAACTGTGCAGAGTGTATTGAAAGTTATGGTTTGGCGAGCCAAGCACTGATTGTCAATTTCAAACCATGGCTCTTCAGCATTTCATCCCTTTATATTTTCTGATCTAAGAAATCTTAAGAGCTTTCATTTTAAATGTAAAAGTAGAACCACACAGCTTAAAATACATAGATGCATTTCCCTATATATTTCAAACTCTGCACTCTAAGCTTAGTGTTGACCACAAAGACCTTTAGAGCTTTCAGTCTATAGAGAAATGATGTGTGCAATATGCACTATGTAAAATAACTGTCAGGATTTAGGTTTGCTGTTGAAGAAGCCAACGTGAATAATGCAATTTCTCAACAGGATAGTCAGGTTCACAGCGATCTCTTGATTCACAATACATAATAGGAACAGCAACTACATGGGATCATGTACAGATATGCACCGTTCATATGAGTAGTAGAATCTAGACTGATCAGGTAAACAGTGCTTTAGAATACACATTTATTAAGAGACAACAGGTTTCTAGATAAATCAGTAGCTTTGAAGTAATCTTCTTCTGGATATCAGGTAAGTGGTGCTTTGGAGTATAACTTCACTATTAGACAGCAGAATTCAGATAAATGAGAATCTTAGATGTATCTATTTAGTGTTCAGCCACTAGATGAATCCTGGTAAGCAAATGCAATGGAAATATGAGAGTTGTTATTTTAGAGAGGCCCTGACCTGTTCTAAAAGCTAGAGGGCATTAATCTGTGGAACCTGAGGCAGGCCCACTTCTGGGCCACACCTGATGCGAAGGATCCGAGCCTGCTGAGTGGCACAGAAGAGTCCTTGTCTAGATTGTATTGGTAACCAGAAGTGCTGTGCAGGTGAAGGCTGAGAGGTAAGTCCACGGGCAGTCTGAGTTGGCAACAGAAGATCCAGCAGAGGTGACAGGCAGAGAGAGAGAATGGGTGATCCAGAGGCAGTCCATCAGAGTTGTGGGCAGGCGAAGGCTGAAAGGAATCAGTCAGTGGTGTGAAGGTTTAGTTTCAGCGGGGAGCAGGAGAAGCTAGGAGGCACAGAGACAATAACCACACTCAATAATAAATCACAGAATACGGTTCATATGGATGGAGATTCAATAGTCCTCCATTAAAGGTACAATGTAGCTAAATAACAGAACGTTTTCTAAATTTTCTACATAAAAATGTGTTTCTTCATGACACCTTAATAAGCAACGTCCATTTAGGTTGAATTTTGAAGGTTCCAGCACACTTTGTTTAGACTCAGTCTGGTTGACTTGTTGCCTTTCTGCTTGTAGAATCGAAAACGGCTTTGGAAATCACGAACCAAATGAGGCAAAATTTGAAGAAACAGAAGGATATCCAGCAACAGATCTATGAACTGAGTCAGGTTCGACAGGCTGAAAAGGTAACATTGCAGGATATTATTACATGCATTTTGCCACAAAGAAAATTAATCCATGTTTTATTGCTTTTGCCCAGTTAATCCTTTCCAGCAAGATTTTTACTGGTAAACTGTGTGTATCTGTGTGTAGATGTGTAGCATGAACATAGTTAAATTAAAGCGGAACCAGATGGCAGGTGCCAAGGGCACTCATGATGAGTGTGAAACTGTTTTGACACATAGCTGTGGGGCAGCACAATGGGATTCTAGGCACCATAACCACAACATCCAGCTGCATTGGTTATGATTGTAAAAGTGTTTCTTTAAATAAAATTCAGGTAGACCCTTTTTGATACTCCAATGGGTAAAGTGCATATATTTTCGGTTGTATTTTGTTTTTTAACTTAAAAAGCTGTAAAATTATAACTGTGTAATTTTCTTAGGTTGGGAATACAAAACAAGTCCACCAGTCAAAACCTGAAACTGGTAGTATAGTGTTTGAGCATGAGGTGCCTGGCCAGAAAAAATGGAAACTGGATTTACAGGTAAATGAGAGAAAACCAACCAGTAAAACCTTTGAGTAAATCACTATTTGTAAAACGGGTTGCCATGACAGGCTCATACTTCATGAACAACACTGTTTTAGCAAACATACAACAGGAGGTGTTGTGGGTGGAGATAGCACTCAACCTGGTTAGTCACAAACTTGCTGTGTTCTGGTAAAAGCTTTACCAAATGCTGGATTTTGGGGAGAAATTGATGGAATTTACTCACTAATTCTCATTTAGAAAAGGTTCATAGACAATTGATCATTGAAAAAAAAAAAAATATTGAGCCACTCGAGAAGTAATGAATATTTGTTTTGGAGACCACATGCAGGCCCAATATGGTGTTGGATGTCGGAGATTACACAGAATCCTCAGATGAACAGTTATTAAACTACATGGAGAATTTGAACTTCATTGATCTCTCCAGGCTTTCCAAAGCCATTAATGGGGATTCCCATTCCTGCTGACTACATACATTCTTAAGTACTGGAATACAAGTGTATGTCATGTTTTGTTTACTGAGACCTTCACAAGCCTCAACCACCACTATATTTATCCTCCTGGCAAAAATCCAGAATGGTCAAGAGAAGGTGGCCATTTTAAATGCTACCAAAGGCATAACTCTGTTTTAATTTGAGGGGATTGTTCTCACTTTCTTCTCTGGCCTATCCAGATCACTTTTCTCTGGTGGAGATCACTTCAGCCTCTTAAGCAATCTATATCTTCTCATGATGACATGCCAAACCTCTGGGCATTTCACATTCATTGATCATTACACACAACAACTGGGAGTTCCAAGTATCAGATATATAGGAGATGGATGCTATCCTGGGAAACTAGGTCTGGAGTGAGAGTCTCCTGACAAAAATTAAAGTCCTGCTACGGCTCCAACCAACCCACCATCAACAGGGTAGTTACAAAAATAAAAGATACGTACCTTATGGATAACGGCACAGGTCAGAGGTACTTTGAAAAGATTTGAAAAACTTTTGGAACCATGGCTATATAGCGATGTATAGATTAACCCAGGCATCACAGCATTCATCTACGAACCTCGTCTACCATAAACTGACAGACAACCTCTTCTAATGACAGGAGCGGGACCCGAACTGCGGGAACCCGAGAGTGGAGGGTAAAGGTTTCTTATTGCCCCATGTCTTCACTAGCAATATTACTCCCTCCCCGCACCAGGCCGGTTTTCTTCACTCTACTACTCCTGTTCTTCAGCCCTTTCCTCCCTTTCTTTAGAACTATCACATTGCCATGATAGTTAGTGATATAAAATTTCAAACAGCATATTAAAGCCAATACAGCCCACCAGCACCATGTGGCCTATAAAGGATCATTGCTTAAAACATTATTCTTCTTTCTCAAAACAAGAGATCTGCCTGTCGGCACCGAGAAGTAGAGAATTTCTTTTTCATTACTATCTAATATTTCCTTTATTTCTTAATACCACAAAATGTGTGATAGCTTTATAAGTAGTACAAGTGTATGCACACATGCGCTGCAACTATGACATTATGTTGTTACCCTCTTGTAAATTGACATTTTGTACAATTGTTTCACCGATTGAGCTGCCGTCACACAAAAATAAAGAATAATAAAATATATATATATATATATATATATATATATATATATATATAAGTCCTAAGGGACATTTATGGGATCCAGCACAAATCACTCCATTTATAACAGCAGAGCGACAAACTACATAGCCAGCAGTTACTTGAGTCTCCAACTATGCTGCTGCTCATCCTGTGATGTTTTGTGCCTGACTTTTGCTGTTTTTATGTTTCTTCTTTTTCATTCCTGTGGCCCTTTTGTGCTTTTTATCACATAGCCCAGATCCAGCAAACAGTCAGATTTTTATTCTCACCCCCCCCCCCTCTTCCCCCAGTTGCTTATATAACAAGAGCTGTACATAGTCTTTTGGCTGTGCCACAGTTTCTCATGTTTTATTTACTAGGCTAGCACTAATGGCTATCTTATAGTATCATGCATTTCTTGTTTAGTAAAAAGGGAACAAGATGATTGCGCACACAGTGGTAAAACCTCGAAATTGGTAATGGTAAAAACAAAGGAGAAGCCAATCTACCCATCATATGCAACTATAGCCACAATAATAAGGCATTAAAGAAAATTCTAAAAAAACATTGGCCCATCCTACTACAAGACCATGCCCTATCTCAAATCTTACCAGCAAAACCCAAAATAGTGTTCAGGGGTGCTGCTAACTTAAATAGACTCTTGGTAAAGAACCATATTAAAAAAACAAAAACCACCACATTCCTAGATAAAGGAAAGGGCTTTTATGGATGTGGCACATGCTTAGCATGCAGGAACTCAAATAATAAAAAAAGACACATGAAAAAATTTAAGAATTTTAATAATAATGAAGAATTCCCTATTAAAGACCTTATAACCTGCCATTCAAACAATATAATATATCTATTAGAATGCCCATGTGGTTTAAAATATGTGGGACGCACCAAACAAAATGTACACACTAGGATTGAAGAACATATCAGAAACATCAAGAAAAAGTTTGAGGGACATAGTGTATCACACCGTTTTTCCTTAGCGCACAATAGCGACCCCACACGACTCAAATTTATGGATATACATAAAGTTAAGGGCAATTGGCGAGGAGGGGATTTTGCCAAGTTATTGGGACAGAGTGAGATGAGGTGGATATTCAACCTTGGGACTTTAAAACCACAGGGTTTGAATATAGACTTCGAACTCTGCCATTTTATCTAAACACATATATTTCATTAGGTTCCACCATTTCTTATATATATGTATACACTATTGCAGATATAGTATATATATATATATGATATATTATTTACAGATGTACATATATATCACCCCTCCCCCCCCACCCAGTGGCACATTATCACAGGTTTCCACTGTGAATACCACTTAAAGAATACATAACTTATATCCCTAGTAGACTCAATATATCTAAAAGGATATCCATTTTAATATGATTTCATTTATTACTATCACTTTAAGAACACCCATCAATTCATTACGATATATCATTATAACTATTGCATTGCCACTTTAAATACCACCTCCACTATATTGTACTTTTTTTGTATTTTTCTCCACATGTACTCTTTACTGTACCATTGTACGAAATAACGTTTGGTAAGCTGTATATGTGTTTGAGCGCTCCACTTACAGGTGTAGGTCCTTGTTACACCGCACTAAAATCTACACTGGTAATTAAAACCTATATAATATGAAAGATAAAAATATCATGGTATAGTATGTAAACACAAATCAGAATGGTGAGATAACTTGGAACACTCACAACTTAAAGAGCCAGTTAGAAGTTGGCTCTAGACTTCCAACTTCTAATTGGCTCTTTAATTTGTGAGTGCTCCAAGTTATCTCACCATTCTGATTTGTGTTTAGATATTATACTATGATATTTTTATATTTCATCTTATTTTTTTTTAATTACCATTACCAACTGCGAGGTTTTACCACTGTGTGTGCAATCACCTTGTTCCCAGTTTGATCTACGTATGTATTAAGTGTGAAAGTGACATTGCACTCGGGTGATTTATTGACTGCACTGGGTTTTAATTACATCGCCATTGATCCTTAAAATGTTTTAGTTATTATTTCTTGTTTTATGTTTGAATTATATTTTTTGTTTTCAAAAATCCCACAGTTCTGGCATTTACTCTCTTTTGTATTTAATATTTTGATTGTACAGATTTGATTGTAACGCATAAGCTTGTGGTGCCCCAACGGCAGTCCTCAAGCGCATCACTTCATATAATATTAGGGGCATTGATAAAACTTGCACATTTTTCTTTTAAGTAAGTGAATATATTCATGAGGCGTAAGTGTCGCTTTATCTAAGTTTGCAGGCTATAGTTACATGCGTAAAGGTTGCTTTATGAATGTCTGACTTTCAAGTTAATCTAAAGCTGTAATTTCCACGGGTTCTTGGGCCCAATGTATTCTAACGTGTGTGGTGCCGGTTGCCAAGTCGGCATGAGCTCGAGTGATACACGGGTTTGTGTTCTGTCAAAGCCGTGTGAGTGGCCATGTCAGGAGCATGTCCCTGCCCTGTGATGTTTCTTACTGGATGTGGTAAAGCAAGTGTGGTTGTCAGGTTTTCAGGTGTGTGCTATCGAGTGCGGAGTTGTGTGTACTAGCAGGTGTGTTAGTAACTGAGTCCCAGTATATAGTCCAGCACTTCAGGTTGGGGTGGAAGTCCCCAGGCAATCTTTGCCTCGGCTCGACAGTGGATCTGATGGGTAGATTGTGGTCGGAGGGCGGAAGTCGGGCCCGTCTTCCCCAAAGCCCTGGGCTGTCTGGAAGGCCTGCATCCTTGGGCCACGACCCGAGTATCTCCTTTGGGAGGCCGGATCTTGTCCCTGTAAGTGGCTGCACTGTGTCCCGGTGGCGGGCTGCCGTTCATGGCTTTGAGTCCACCGCGCTGGTGGCCGATGCTTCGGGAGTGTTCCCCTAGTGGCCTTCAGCCCTGGTGGGCCCATCATGCGGGTATTGGTTTGCAGTGTTGGGAGCGCCCAGGGGAGAACATTTACTCTCTTTTGGTTGAGAGCTATGGATATGCTGTACTGTCATATCATTATTAGTATTATGAATGTAATATCAAGCATATGTCCAAATGTGAAAAAAACTTTTTTTTTAAACATGGCAGCATGGGTAGGGAGACAGGCAATGAGGGCAACAGTAAAATTGCTTCTTTCCATTAGTTGTGTCGGGATTTAGGGATTTTAAATTGTCATTTTGTGGCTAAAGAAAGGGTAGGGTTATGAATTTGTAATTGGGGGTGACTAAGGGATTGGGGACCTCTAGCTACCTGGGAAGGAAAGGGGAAGGAAAGGGGGCTCATGCCACTATTATACTGGGTCCTTCCCCCTTTAATACTATTATTAGGGCCCACTCACTGCCCATGGGTGCGGGCACTGGATCTTCCCAAGAAAGTGGGAGGGGGCAAAGGGGAGGACACTTGGCCTTCCCCACCTTAATATTATTATTAGGGCCCACCTACCATGGATGGAGGACTAAACTGTCTCCCTATTAATTTTATGATTGGCATTGGTGAAGGCATAGGAGGAGACACTAGGTGCCCCCCCCCCCCTCCCTTATATTGTAATAGCTCCCAAATATTGTCCACAGGTGGGAATATGGGTATTTGTTTTGAAGTCCCACACCGATGCACTCCTCCCCTTCTTTAATTTACTGTTTTGTACAATAGGGAAACAAGACAAACATTTAAGTCTAATAAACACATATGGCATACAGGAACAGAAGGGAAAGAAGGTCCTATCCAAACAAGCTTACAATCTGAAGGGATGAGGGTCAAATACACAATGAGAACTTGAGAAGTGAGGGAATCAAGTGATCCTAAAATACCCAAGGGTAGGAGGGTTGCTTGCTTTGAGGGAGCACAGTGAATTGGAAATGACAGAGGAAAGTTGTAGGAAATGAGGGGTTAAGGGGAGAGCTGATAGGCTTCTCTAAAGAAGTGTGGTCAATCTGGACACTATGCAGTCTGACAAGCAGAGGTGGGAAACAATGTACAAGCATGTACAAGACATCTTAGTAGCATCCTGAATAAGAAAGGGGTGAACGCAAGTAATGTTTTTAAGGTGAAAGAGTCAGGATTTGGTGATAGATTTTATGTAAGGTGTGAAGGAGTGTTCAGTCATAGAGCGAGGTTTAAAATATTTAGGAAATATTCTCTTATAGTAATATGGGGTTCTTAAAACCCTCATGGGGGTTTTCAACTAATGCAGCAGGCAAACAGTTCAGGTTTTTTCTTAAAGCATCTGGGACTGGATTCAAAGCATATGGTCTGGATTTCAGTGTTTACGTTCATGGCCTGAATTGCAAAACCCAGACATTAAGTAGTTAAATAGTTTAAGCAATGTCCAGATTTTGCAGGACTTTAGTAAAACAAAAACAAGGCAGTTACATGCATGTTGTTGGAGAAACTGGGTGGTTGGTTAAAATGTAATTTAAAAAAAAATATTATGGAGTAAACAAGTATATGGTTTATCATGTTACTCACATTCCACAATCAAAATGTCTATGCAATTTTGCTTGATGCCATTATTTAGAGAAGGAGACATCTACTGGTGTTTATACTGAGGGGCACAGGAGATTAAAATTTTGAATAAATTACATAAACTGAAAACTTTGTACTTTCTTCCCAGAAATCAGTTAATATGGGAAAGCAATCAGAGAAGTTACTGTATGCCAGACTTCGTTCTGCTGAATTTGCCTACAAGAAAAAGGCAGCCATGGTGCAAAATCTGGAACATGAATTAACCAAAAGGAAACAAGATAACTCTGTGCAGGTAGGTGTTTTTAACTGAACATTGGCATCTTTTAAAGGCAGTTGGAAAGGACCCTTTTTTGGCAAATAATGTGGAAGGCAGGGCTAGATTGGGTTGGCCACTGGCTGTCTGTCATAAATTCACAGGGTAGAAGCATTCACAGCTGTGATTGCTGGGAGAAAACATTCACATTGCCCAACTTGTGCTGTATAGTAAAATATATGGAGGGTAAAAATTGTAAAAGCACTTCATTGACGCTGGCCACCCAATCAAGTCAGACCAAGGGATTGTGATCCATCACAACATTAGAACAGTGTCTGTGGATATAGGGCTATAGTTTTTTGAGGGAATATAGCAGGACATTTTTCACTAGGACTTTCATTCTCCAAAAGGTTTCCACTTGATTATGTTTCAGTAATGTGCAGATAATATCCATCTAGAGCAGTTAAGATGTGGTTTACCTACAACTGTCACGGACCTTCCAAGCATAACTAAAGTACAGTCATGTGAAAAAGAAAGTACACCCTCTTTTAATACTATGGTTTTACATATCAGGACATAATAACAATCATCTGCTCCTAAACAGGTCTTAAAATTAGGTACATGCAACCTCAGATTAAAACAACTTTTGACATATCCCACCGTGTCATGATTTATTTAACAATAACAAAAAGCAAAAGTGGAGAAGCCATGTGTGAAAACTAAGGAAACAGGTGCTGCTAATCAAATGCCCTTGATTAATTGATTAGCAGCAAGAGTGAGCTCCTCTAAGTTTTAGCAGTTTGCTGGTCTGGAGCACTCAGGTGTGTGTTAACACAATGCCCAGTAGAAAAGATATCCGCATTGATCTTAGAGAAGTAATTGTTGATGCTCATCAAACTGGGAAGGGTTATAAGGCAATTTCCAAACAATTTAAAGTCCATCTTTCCACAGTGATAAAGATGATGCAACAGTGGAAAACATTCAAAACAGTTGCCAATCTTACCAGGAGTGGAAAAAGAACATGGCAGCACGGCTTTGGTTTGTAAAATTGCATCTGAAAACCACAAGACTTCTGAAACAATGTCGTTTGGATAGACAAGCCCAAAGTGGAGATGTGTGGCCCTAATTTACAGCCGCCCATTTGGCGAAAACCAAACACAGCATATCAGCACAAACACCTCATACCAACTGTCAAGCACAGTGGTGGAGGGGTAATGCTTTGGGCTTGTTTTGCAGCCACAGGACCTGGGAACCTTGCATTAATGGAGTCAATCATAAACTCCTCTGTATATCAAAGTATTCAGTCAAATAAAATGTGAGGCCATATGTCCGTCAGCTAACGCTTGACCAAAATTGTGTCATGCAACAGGACAATGATCCCAAGCCACCAGCAAATCTACAACAGAATGGCTGACAAAAAAAAAAAGAATCAAAGTTTTGCAATGGCCCAGTCAAAGTCCAGACTTCAACCCGATTGAAATGCTGTGGAAGGACCTTAAATGAGCTGTGTATAAACAAATACCAGCAAACCTCAATGAACAGAAGCAACACTGTAAAGAAGAGTAAGCCAAAATGCCTCCGCAATGATATAAGAGATTTATAAAGTCATACAGTAAATGATTACTTTGGCTATTGCTGCTAAAGATGGTTCTATTATTGGATCATAAAGTCTACTTAGTTTTTCACATATGACTTCTCCATTTTGGCTTTTTTTAAATAAATCATCGCAGGATGTAATATGTAAAGTGTTGCTATTCATCTGAGGATGTATTTACTTAGTTCTAAAACCTGTTAAGGAATAGATGATTTTTTTTTATGTCCTGATATGTAAAACCATAGAATTCAAAGAGGATGTACTTTTTTTGCCCATGACTGCAGCAGTTTAACATGTTTGCCACCCTAAAAGCAAACCTTATCTGCTGAGAAGAGTAAACTGTATTGGGTACTGGTAAGCAATTCCCCCTCTTTGTTTCTAACAGAACACTGGTATAAAGACTTTGACACTCTAAGAATCAAATCAACTTTAGCTTATAGAAGCAGTTTTGGTGTATAGCTGCAGTCTTACTGCTCAATTCTTTGCCAATCACTTTTGTTTCTGTTTATGCAGCCCTGGCCTATCTCCTCTGGCAGTGACTTACACAGCTAGTTTTAACCCTGCAGCTGAAAACATAGCAGTTTCACTGAGGGTTAATCCAGCCTCTAGTGGCTGTCTCACTGACAGCCGCTAGAGGCGCTTCCGCGATTGTCACTGTGAAAATCACTCAGTAATGCTTTCCTATGGGCAGTTTGAATGCGCGCGCATGCGCATCCGGATCAGACGTCGGCAGGGGGAGGAGAGGTCACCAGCACCAAGGGAGTCCAGTGCTGGAGAAAGGTAAGTGACTGAAGGGGTTTTAACCCCTTAAGACCAGCTGGAGGGAGGACCTGAGGGTGGGGGGGGACCTAATGACCCTATATTGCCAGGAAAACGAGTTTGTTTTCCTGGCACTATTGTCCTTTAACTCCTAAATCACAGAGAATTGAGCAGTAAAACTGGAGGAGAATGAGCCATACATCAAAACCAATTCATTAAGCTAAGGTTTGTATTGGTGCTTACAATGTCCCTTTAACTGCACATTTCCCTATGAGTCACTTTCATTTTATGTAGACAAAAAAAAAATCTTCCACTTCCAAATTTAGATCATTTCTAATTTTGAGCAATGTTTTCTAGGTGCAAAAACTGCTCTCAGAAGCGGTTAAGGAAGAAAACGACTTGTTTTTACAACTCAGTAGAGAACAGGCTGAGCTAATGAAGGTAAATATTAATTGTATACTCTGCTACATCTATGTCTCTGAATGTAAAATATACAGACACCAGCCATGATAGTTTATATTGTAGTACACTAAAAATCTTTAGTGTAGCTTTTATTGGTCTGCTCCTAGAGCTTGAGATATGAATATATATATATATATATATATATACCATTAAACAAAATTAGTATACAGCAATTGAAATACTTTCCATTATAGTTCTTTCAGAAATACAATCATTTGCTTTGGGACCTATTCCTCTATCTCATGTTTCTACATTGGTTTCCTGAACTTACAGCTAACCAGTCTTCATTATTCCTAAATAGTCTGGAACCATGAAGACTGGTTACAGTGTAATCTATAGTTTAAATATTTTTCCTATCCATATTTATTACTTTTTCTATTTTAGTATCAGAATCAGATGCAGGGCAATCACTGGAGACTCCTTGACCACAGATGTCGTTTGCAGGAAGAGATCCATCAGTTGGAGCACATGGATAAAGTATGAAATAACAGACTCTGGTGCATTGTCTTGTATTTCCATCATTCTCTTTCTCACACAACTCAGATCAGTATTATCTCAAACTTGTGTCTGAAGAGTGAACTTTATTTTTAAAGTGCTGATAACATAAGATATATACTAGCATGTGTTATTAAAACTAATGTGATCAGAAGCAGAATTGACCATTCCTTTGACTCTCCAAAAGCCTTAGGGTTCTAAGAAGATCAGGGAGTAGTTGCAGGTTGCCTTCCAATGTCCATTCAACATGGTGGTCAGGATATCCATACTAACAATGCCAGTGATTGTTTAAGAGGTGACTAATGCATTTTACACCATTTTTTAAAAAAAAATGCTATGGGGGCTAAAATATGTGTACTGGATATGTGCATCTTGACATATACTAGTTTTGAAACTGCCTTTTTCATGAGACATGAATAAAATCTTGGTAGTTGTAACTAATATACTCCAGAAGGTACTCAGACTAAGTGTATTCTTCCAAATAAACCCATAAATGAATAAATAAATGCTTCCTCCTGCAGGAGCACAAGAGGCTGTCAAGTCGTGGTATACTGAAATCATCAAGGGTGCACCCAGCAGTTGAAGAAGGAATTCTTTAATGAAAGACGGAAAATGGAAGACATAGGCAGAGCGTAAAGAGCCTATATAGCATTAAATAAAGGGCTACATGAATAACTAGAAGCATCAATGAAAACCACATTATTGTTTAAGGCACACTGTAGTAACTGCTTCATCACGTTGAAGTGGTTATAGTATCTGAAATCCCTGGCACCATTCTTCCATTTAACATTAAACTGTTTAATATGCAAATGCTAAATGAGAGTCTCCAGCAACCCATTTCCTTTTTGCTGCTTGGAATAATGAGGAACTATTAGCCTGAGCAGCAATCTGCAGCTGTTATTGACCGAGGGTGTCAGATGGCCACTTTCAGCCTGCTACAGCGCCCATTGCTGGTATGAATTGGTATGACTTATTTAGTGCTTTAACACTGAATGGAGGGACTATGCCCCGTCAGGGGACTCCAGGCACTATATCAAATCAAATGAGTTGAAATGGTTATAGTGCCTACATCATACAGTTTCACTTTAATAATGCATATTCTGTTGGTTACCATAAAATAAAAGTTTTTTTATGTTGCGTTTTTATGTTGTGCCCATTTTTATTGTTTTCAACACATGAAATTCAAGATCTGACTGTTCACCTGTTGCCTAACATATATCCAACACCTGACATGTGCCATTGTAACAATATAATCAATGTTATTCCTTTCACCTGTCAGTGGTTTTAGTGTTGGGGCTGGTAAGTGTATGAGTCATTCTGGTGTGCTGTGCAAACACCTAACCCAATCGGTATATCATAATAATTTTGCAAAGTTATAGCAGGATTTTAACATAATGTTACATAGTAATCTTGGTGCGAGGTCCCTAATAGGCCTTTTCAAGAGCAGTTATCCCCCATATTGACCTTAAATTGGGTTATTAATCTGTAATCTAGAGGTGAGACGGTTGTACCGAAGTATAGAAACATTAGTAACAAGTATAGCAAAAACAGTAATATTTAATAATATATATTTCATAATATAGCAGTGAGGCGTTGTAAAAACCATTTACTATGTTATGGTTTACAAGTTATTACCCTACAGCTCTGGAAAACACCATTAAACAACTTACATGTGTAATTACATGTGTAATGATCTCTCTCTCTCATCTTTCAACCATTTCACAATATAAATTACATGAAAATAATTGTGTTTGTTATTTTTATGGTAAACCACAAACAATCTGAGCATTACAATAAACGTCTACAATATTAACACATTGCATAAAGATTTTTTAACACCAGTTGATTAATTTTCACAATCTACATGAAACAAAGATTCAGTTACATGCAACCACAAATACGCTAAAAGCCTAACAACTGAACTTAAAGGTATACTTTAGTGTTTAGTTGTTCTGGTATCTACTGCCTGTTCCTGCAGGCATTTTAATGTAATCAATGTAATATAATTGCCTTTTTAGTGAAAAGGCAGTGTTTACATTTCTGCTTAGTAACACCTCTAGATGGCCACTAGCGGTGATTCCTGGGTCTGTGCTGCACAATGTGCAGCTCTGACGCTCAGCGTCTCTACGGTTTGCATGGAAGCGCTGAACACTCCTCATTAGAAGATGCTGTTTGGGAAAGCATTGGATTGGCTGAAATCATCAATCTGATGATCTCAGCCAAGGAAGCGGAGCGGAGGTGGGGCAAGCCGCGAGTAGACCCGCACGGTGCTGGGAAAAAAGGGAAGTTGACTAACTTTTTATTTTGCTGACAGGGGGGCTGGTCACTTAAACGGTGCATTTAGACCTATAGTGTCAGGAAAACGTTTGTATTACTGATACTATAATGTTCTTTTAATGTGTGCTAGCTCTAGTACAGCCAACATGCGATGACTTTTACAATAACGTGATATGTCCCATAATCCTGAATGGTATTAAAGTGAAAATGTTATCATTCCGGATAGTTATTCCATCCATGCTCACCAAACTTTATTATACATGGAACATTATAGATACATGAATTCTATAGCAAGTAATCATAATCTCAAGTACAACAAAACATTATTCTTGCTCCATTGGAAATAATGTACTCAAATATTTACTGGACATAATAGAAAAAATATAGTGACCCATTTGTCTATTTGTGCTAGATTGCCAGGATAGTTTTATTCAACATTAGAGGCACTCCAATGTTCGGCAATGCACAGGTCTGTTCGGTCCACATAAGGAAGAAGTCGTAGACATTCCAGCAGTGCCTTAAAACAGAATTGGTACTGAACCTGCAGAGATGAGAGAGTGATTTTAGTGGGTGAATAAAAGGATGTGTAAAATCAGAAAGCACAAATAGTACTATATGCCAGTGGTTTCCAAACTAGTCCTCATGGCCCACCAACAATCCAGAATTTATATTTTCCCTTTTTTGTTCCAATGAACATAATGACAAATCCTGGACGGTTGGTGGGCCATGAGAACTGTTTTGGGAAACACTGCTAAAGGCAATATACCATCTTACTGCAGATATAACAAGCTACATTACGACTGTGTTAAGTTTCATATATCAGTGGTGTATTATGGTTTTGTGCTGCCCTAGGCATGATAAAACACGTCCCCTCCCCCCATCCAAATTTCTTTTCCTTTAAAAAAACAACAACATGCCTGACAGACACATGCCATCACCGATGCATACACTGAAATACACTCACTGACCGATACACAGTCTTTGGCATACACACTGTTAACCAACACACACTTTCACTGAAACACACACACATACTGACACACACACACTCACATTTACTGACAGATGGACACATTCACCGACAGACAGACACACACACACACTCACTGACAAAAACACATACTCTTTGACAGACACACATACAAAAAACACATACTCTTTGACAGACACATATACATACTCACTGACAGACACACATACACTCTCACCGAACGCCACATATACATTCTCACTGACAAACATACATACACTCTCACTGACAAACACACACATACACTCTTCCTGACAAACACACACATACACTCTTACTGACAAACACACATTTGTCCCTCTATGTCCCTGGGGTCCAGTGGGGCTGCTGAGCGTGCGGGCGGTCAGTGAAAGTGGCTCTCTGCTCAGCTCCCTTGTACGCCTCTCAGTGTTGCAGGGGCTGGAGTGACGTCATATTCCGGCTCCGGCATCACTGCGGGGCGTGCGAGGGAGCTGAGCAGGAGGTGCTCCCTCGCCGCCCGCCTCCTACATCAGGTAATGCTAACGGCGGGGGGGGGAGGGGGCACTGAGGTGGCCAGCCGGCCAGCTCGTGGGCCCCCTAGTGTGGTGACATTCTGTCATCAAACTAATATGGTGACCAGGGATCACGTGACCAAGCTCATGTACAGTGGGATAAGCTTTACCTTTTGAAATGGTAATTGAGTAATTCAATACCTTTACAAGTCAGGAAAGAGGTAACCACTTCCCCCTATCTCCATTCCTCCCTGTTCCTTCTTGGCTGTGCTACTGAGCAGTCCTTTAAGCAGACATGGCCTAATTTCTATCATGGTGAACTGTGAGTGGGATTTTATAAGATGTAGTTGTTATTGTTGGTTAGGTTGTTGTTGCTGTTGTTGGTGGTATAGTAAGTTAGATTGTGTGTCATTATTTGTATGTTGTTGTTGTTGTTGTTTTGTCTCTGAATAAATATTTGTTAAAGTAGACGGACCAGAGTTTATATGTGTATGCGTACATAATAATTTATAGAGTTTGGTGATATACCACACCTAGGACAAGAGATTGGCAATGTATTTGCCAGGGCATTTGAGGGGGGTGACTTTTTTTCCCGTCCCCTGAAAGTGCCGCCCAAGGCAAATGCCCTGTCAGCCCTGCGCTAAATACAGTGCTGTCATATAAAAAGGTTTGAAATCCTCAAATACAAAGGCAGTGCAGATATATCTGAAATAATAGTGCAAAGGCAGAAAAACAAGTAATAGCAGTTTAGTGCAGGGAGTGCAGAGCTTACAGTCACACTATATCACAATGGCCACTAATCTTAAAGACGCAGTCTTACTATAATGGTAACATCATTTACATAAATACAGTCTGCTGCAGGGGGGGTAATAGTGCAAATGCAGGTAAAGCTGGCTGATCTCATACCTTGTTCTGTATCATCCCATGTCTTTGCTGCCTCATGCACCTTACAATATCCCGTATCTGAAACTAATCACCAAACACACAATTAGAACCAAATAACATTTTAGCTATTTATTAAATCTCAATTATGAATTTGCATTATCAAAGAGATATTAGTAGGACTATTGTACATGTAGAAGAGTAGATACATAGAAAGAACGCAAAGAAATAGGTTCAGGCTACACAATGCTGTCTAAATACAGGCTGGCCAACGGGCAAAAAACTGTATTAATATTTCACCCATGCTAAAATTGATCTTAAGGTACCTGGCATTTGCAGGAATAAAAGTCTGTTTACATTGAATCATAAATTTAAAATGACCAATTATTAGTTAATAGTGTTAACCTTCTTCTTATGAGATCAAATTTCCTTTTACATTTATGTTAAAGATTTACCATATAACTTTATTATCCAGTTCAGACAAAGCTAGAGCAAACATTGCAAATGAAGAGGCAAATTGTAAACATTGTTTTATTTCTCTCCCCCTCCTTTGTCTATGCTGACTGCCAAGTGCAAAGGATTTAGTTTATAGTAATGACTGACATGGAACTAAAATAGACGCACCCGGTTGAAGGATAAAGTTGTGTGTTTCTACATTTAATGTTATTTTTCACACCTCACAAATATATATTTGTTAAAGGAACTGTATGGGCACCCATAGCTCCTATGTATGTCTCATTCTCCCCCCAGCCCATCTATGTGTCTCTCTCTCAGCCACTCTGTCTGTCACTTTTCCCCAGCCCATTTTGCATGTGTCTCTTCCATCCTCCCATCCCTTTGTGGTTTCTTCCATCCCCCCTTCCCTCTGTGGTTTCCTCGCCCTACTGTGCCTGCTGACCTCCCTTCATGTAGCTAGGCCAAACAGACAGCATTAGAGGATCTTCTGTATCCTCTGTCTGGACTGACAGGAAGTTGTTTGTTGCTCTCAGTAAGGACCTCCTATCAGACCGGGTAGAGTATAAAGATATTCTACTGCGATCTGCTTGGTCTAGCTACATGAAGTGAATGGCAGGAGGTAACACTGTGTTCTGCTCTCCACTCCTGCCAGTTACCTGGTGATTTCGCCCGCCTGGGCCGGAATGCCCTTAGTTTCGCTTCACCCTACACCCCTATGGTTTGCAAGCAATCAGTCCTGTTACATCCTGTTTTGTTTAGCTCAGTGTAGCTAAACTCAAGAGGCTGCAATTGCCCAGAGCACCTGCCTTGCAAAGACTCTCAATGAGCTGTAATGGAAAGTCTGTGATTGGACAGCCACATAAAGTCTGAGCAGGTTTAGAAGGGGATCATTTTCAAAGGCAGCAGACAAGAGAACTGCAAGTGTTGCCAGCTGTTATAAGATACACTCACAATGTAAAAATACATAATTAAATCCATGCGCGTGGTATATCTACTAAACAGTGTTTTTGTTTTTTTTCTCTAAACACAGGTAACTTGCACTGAAGGTCTTTTTATTAATTTCCATGATCAAACAGACTACACTGTTGAAACATCACTTGCCTATAACTGAATGAATCCTCTAGGCTTTGTTTACAATGTGCTTCTCGAGTGCACATGCACAGAGTGTGCCTTTTAAATCTTCCAGGTGTGATTGTTACACAGCTGAATAAGACAATACACCCTTTGCTGATTTACATTCAAGTCAATCACAGGCAAACTCTGCGACAAGGACAATAATAGTAGGAGCTTAAGTTAGTTTTCATTGGCTGCAAAACATTGGCCTGGCCTTGGAAACTTCAGGCTGTTAGTAATAGCAATAAATTGGGACTGATTTTTAAAAACTACTTTGGAAACAAGCCCTATTATATTTTCTGTTTGATTATACCTGGAATTAGTACACCACCGTCATTAATATTATTAACTGAATTTATAATATATGTACACTCACGTTTATAAGCACTGCATCAAGCTCTAGTATAATGACTTAGTAGTTCCAATCCGCTTAGGGTTGCTTAAAAGTTATGGTGTAATATAACATTATAGATACGTGAATTCTATAGCAAGTAATCATAATCTCAAGTACAACAAAACATTATTCTTGCTCCATTGGAAATAAAGTACTCAAATATTTACTGGACATAATAGAAAAAATATAGTGACCCATTTGTCTATTTGTGCTAGATTGCCAGGATAGTTTTATTCAACATTAGAGGCACTCCAATGTTCGGCAATGCACAGGTCTTGACAGTTGTGAACTCACTCTTGGAAGCCTGGACAACATTGGCAAATGTCTTTTACTTTACACTGATCAATTGCCTAAATATCTGTTTTGTTATATTAGAGTAATATGAATCTATTTGAAATATAATTTTAAGCATTAAATGTTTTGAAAACGTTCTCACCAGTATTCCTTGTTCCAGGTGGGCCACCATAACATGCATGCAGATTAAAACAGCAGTCCTGCCTATTCCAGCACTGCAATGGGCGACAATAGGTTTTCCATCATGGATCTGCCGAAGGTACCAAATAAACTGCAGCAGAGATTGAGAAGACTCAGGAATTCTGTGATCTGGCCATCTGATGAACTGGAGGTGTGTGACCTTTCGGCTTTCTCTTGTCTAAAACAAGAAGATGCAAACCACAGTTGAAGTTATTGCCATGCACTAGTTTATTCAAGGGTATTACGTAGACCTTTCTGGGTCTTTGCCTAAGCAAGGAATTTTGAAGACGGTGCAACATTAGAGTTAGAGGACAGACAATTTCATATAAAGCAGAAAAAAATGAGCATGGTTGAGTGATACCAGATTTTCATATGTGGGGGCCCTTTATTATCATATTCTATTCCAGTGGTTCTTAAACCAGTCCTCATGGCCCACCAACAGTCCAGGATTTATGTAGTTCCCTGTTTTATTCCAATGGAAATACTAACAAAACATGGACTGTTGGTGGGTCTTGAGGACTGGTTTGGGAAACGCTGTTCTATTCTATTGCACTTACTCCTCTATGCATGATAGTCATAGATCTAATGATGAAATTTTGTCGTATTTCGAGATTTTCAAGCCTCAGGGATAAATTGTCTGTTTCCAAAACTCCATGGACTTCTTCTGGCCAATACTTGTTGCATTTCTCCTTGCCGTTCTCTCTCTCTTGAGTCATCATTACAATCACATGACAGGAATTTTCCCAAACCATCTCCCAGAAAGAGTGAATAGTGTTTGGGAGTGGACCCTGTGTGCAGATGTAGCACAGTTTCTCTTGACCTACAGGGACCACAATGTGACTTGCATTGATGTACTCCTCACTTTCTCCAAGTCGCACTCGAGTTTCATCATCTTTAAGAGAGAATTCCAGAGTCACATTTAAACAGCAAAGAAACTGTTTGCTATTACACCCTTTTTAAAACTTTCAGTATAGATCATGGTTATATTTTAGTCTTAAAAGGAATAACTTGGCCTACTTGGCATGGGGATACACTAAATATCAAATCATATTTTTCGTTAAAAATAATAAATGGAACAAAGTAATTATGCGTAACTAACATTTGGCTACTGGACTATTTCTTGTTTGCAAAGAAAAAACACAATATATGAAAAATATATATATGAGATAATCTGCTTGATCTACACACAAGCTGATCAAAGTGTTTAGAGCACTTCCACACAGATCCTTGGTGGGGATTCCACCTATGTGATTTTTGTGAGAATTCCAATACTGTAAGTAGTCAGTTTGCAAATACCGTACTGTTTCAAATACCGTCTGCACTATTTGTCTTTCTGTTTGTTTTACAGATCTATCGTACTGCTTAAAGTGAACACAAAAATTGGTACTATATCCCAGAGTGGGGATTGTTCTGCTCAGTGCGTTTTACTTTGAGCTTTTGAAACGCTTAATTAATTGTGAGTGGAATATTATATGATTATATTAATGATGTTTTGAAGACATAAGTCACCATATAAATAATTTTTTCAGGGTTTCTTTTATTTCATATTATATTACACCATAACTTTTAAGCAACCCTAAGTGGATTGGAACTACTAAGTCATTATACTAGAGCTTGATGCAGCGCTTATAAACGTGAGTGTACATATATTATAAATTCAGTTAATAATATTAATTACAGTGGTGCATGTTTCATAATCTTCTGTTTTAGCAAAAGCTTGCACTTATTTAGAATATTAGTTATTATGTATGAATGAAATAATAATCACTTTTTATCAGGATAATAATGCACCAGTCCCACTGTGTTGTATTTCTGCACCTCAGTAGTCTCCCGCAATATAATTACATCCCTTATTGTAAATAAGGTTAATGATGCACTGTGCTTTTTTTTTTACAGCTGTATATAACAATCCCATCTTATCTGCAGCCAACTCCACAGAAGCCCATAACTTCAATGCAAAAAAAACAAAATATGTATAAGGAAAGGCCGGAAATGGGAGCTCCAGTCATGATTGTACCTTTATTACCAAAGTTAAAACTACATAAATTGAACTCACCAAGTAGAAATGCCAAAGTAATCATTTAATGTAAAAATAAAGCAATTTCTTTGAGAATGTATTTCATTTGTTTTACAACACAAACAAGATACTGGGAATGTGGTGGGGACACATTTTGCTTCCTCATCCGCCAACCTTACCATGGGCTGGTGGGAAAATATATGGGCCCCAACTGAGTTATACAAAATCATTTTATTTGATAAAAATTCATAGATATTTTAATTGTGTGGAAAGGCACTAAGGATGAGCTGGGGTAGTTGGTTAAGTTTGCTAATACTAATAAAATAGAATACTAATAAAATAGAATGAATATAAAACTTTATATATATATATATATATATATATATATATATATATATATAAAGTTCTAGTAAAATTTTTGGACCTGTATATCTTTAAGGATCACATGTACATTTTGCAAACTTAAAATCTGAGTAAAAAAGTGGATAGGAATGGCTAATTCGATGCTAGGAGTAATCATCATAAAAGAGTGACCAACAATATTCCAAAAAGCCAATACACGAGAACAAAAAGGAACCGTAGTGGACTAGAAGATATGGAAAGTGAATTTACGATCCCCACAGATTCATTTTTAGAAAAATATTATGACCCACAATTATCAGATAATACATTGATAGAAATAAAAAATATGAGTAGACAATCACTTTTTTGGGGAAGAAAAAAAAATGACACCAATTTTGACATGGAGCAAACCATATCAAGAAAATTATGTATAAACATTGTAGTGTACTACAGCAGGATAAGTTCCTGAAAGAAGTGATTGAATACAAAGCAAGAGTGGCATATATAGACAAAACACCACAATCAAAAATCCTTTAGCCCATAGCAAACTTAGAAATTTAGAAGTTTTAAGTTTATAAAGAGACAAAATATTTTAACGTGAAAGGTATATATCCATGTGGAAGGGAAGGATGTAAAATGTGTGAGCATGTGTCTAGGAGGAATTATGAAACGTATATAACTGGAGGAAATATACAAGATAAGGAACATGCTATTAATAGCTTAATTCATTATAATAGTACATTTGTAGTTTATCTTTTAGAATGCCCTTGTGACATTCAATATTTAGGTTGCACTTGTAGATCACTAAAGGATAGCTTTTTGGAACATTGTAGGGATATATATATATCTACATGGAGTTCAAGTTCATTTTTTAAAATGTCAGTATAGTAAAGTAAAGGGACTTACAGTAAAAGGCATTGAAAAAACCCTCTTCAGACAGAGGAGGAGATAAATTGCTTAAACACAGGCAGAGAAAATCGTATTGGATTTACCAATCAGATACGTTACAAGAGAGTGATTTAAATAAACATTTGGATTTAGCAGCATTTACCACTTGAATTAAGTTTATGCAGACTGTTTTATTCGTTGCTTAGGTTTTCACATTTTATTTATATATATATATATATATATATATATATATATATATATATGTGTGTATTTTTTTTTCTGTAATTAGCCCTCATATAGTTATGACTCTATACACAAGTTGTTTATACTTAAGTTATTTTCTGCCTGTACATGATAAGATTTCATTTTTTTAAATCTAAATCCAGGGGTAGTCTGCCAACTCAGAGGCCCTTGGGCAATGGGGGATCAGGGGCCCCCCTCTTGGTGCAAGTTTTTTTTGGCCACTACTAATCTTCTCCCCCTTTTTAATGCACCTCTCACACAGATATTATGTGCATGCTACCCAGTGCCCAGGATAGTCCTGTGAGAGCCACACAGTCATGACATAACACCTGCAGGATTCCAAACATGGCCATATTAAATTCAACCAAAGTGGATGTAGGGAGTGATAAGAGATGAGGTCGATGCAGGAAGGCCTAGGGGCTGTGGTGATTACAGATAGGGGCTGTGGTGGGTGCAGTGAGGGGTAAGAACTTTAGTGGGTGCAGGGAGGGATAGAGGCTGCAATGGAAGCGACATGGAGGCTCTAGTGGGTGCAAGGAGGAATAGAGCCTGAGGTGGGTGCAGGGTTGCATAGGGACTGTGGAAAATATTTACAAGAAGCATACTTTGTGAGTGATTTCTCTGGCAGGCTGCTCCTCATCTTCATGGCAAGAACAGCAAGATCGTTGCCAGGTCTCACTGAGAATGGGGGAATCACTTACAGTGCGATAGGTTGCAGGGGTCTCACAACCTATCACTGGAATATGTATGTGTGGAATTATGGCTTTCTGGCTTGGGAAATTTCCCCAGCCATAGCATGGCTATTCAGCCGGGTCCCTGACTGCCTTAGACCCTCGATCAATGACCGCTATACAATACTGTATCAATACATTTGTTTCTCCTAAAATTTACGAGTACTTTATATACTATATATTATATGAGGAGGCGCACATACACCTTCTAATTCTTATGAAGTGGGACGTCCTCCAACGAAACGTGTCAATTGGAGGTGTGGCAGTAGACGGATATGGAAGTACTGTCTCTGAGGAATCATTATAGGACACGTTAGTTCTGATCCAGTCCTCGAGGATCCTAGCTGTCACCACACACCTGCTTTAGTTTTATTTAAAAAAAGTATTTCAGTACTTCTGTTTGGTGAGTGCAATTTACATAGGTTTTAACTCTTTTATTGTTTTGGAAGATATTCAAATAGAAATGCACCATATGATCATTTAGTCAACACCAAATTCTCACCCGAAACTCTTAATTCCACAAATTCTTCCAGAAACATTAATAAAATCCTCCTTTTTTAAAATATTTTCTGTTTGCATATTAATATTTATATTTAATATATGATACATTACTACTACTTAAATATACTTACAAATTATATTTTGACATTTGGTCTGTGGTAACTAATCAGTGTTTTAATGCTATTCTGCTAATTCTAATATGCCCAGTACGGCATAGATCTCTGTAGTTTTATATTTGTGCAGTCTTCCAAAGGGTACCTCTCAAATGCTACCAAGCATTCCCCATCTTACATGGCAATATGTCTCTATATCTGTTCTTGTTTCGGTTTTCAGGTGCAGAAGCCACACAAAAAGTGTCTACAGGTGTCTCATGTGCCAAGGCCTGAGAATAACAAAGCATGAGATAAGTATTTAGGTTTCATTATTCTTCACAAAATGCACTCTAAATTGCACCCACTATTAGGCAGGTTGTAGGCATAATGTTTCACACAGGGTAAGATTTATTAAGTTAGTGTTAAACCATTTAATTTGCTTTTATTTCTAATTGTATTTAATATAGTATTTCTATTGGTATCTTCACGGGATATCAAGCAAGCCACCCCAGAAATCTGTGATGTTGAATCACATAGCACATCTAATTGTTCATTTAATAGTAAGGGCATTCTCCACTTACTATCATTGTCTAGCTTCACTATTGGTTTAATTTTTTTTTTCCTATGGGGAAATCCTAATGTGAGCACGGCTATTGCCACGCATGCGTATTAGGTCTCCCCTTCCGACGAGGAGCGTGGACAGAGCCTGACCCAGCGTCGAGAGACATAGGCAGGGCCGCCAACAGAAATTTTGGGGCCCCTAACTCCAAGACCGCGCACAGGGACCGCCTCCAAATCCCGCCCACAGGAATACACACACTGACACAAACACATTCACTGATACAAAAGGACACAGATACATGCACACACACACATACATACTAACAGACACACATACTGATACGCATACATACTCACACACACATACTGAGACAAACACACATATACAGACACACAGGCGTACATAGTGACAGACAGACACATACTAACATACATACAGACACACATGCATAAGGACATACAGACACATTCATAATGACATACAGACGGACATTCATACAGGCACTGACATCTATACACATATACATACAGACGCATTCATAATGACATAGACATACATTCATACATACATACAGACATGCATACAGACAGACATGCATACATACAGACAGACATGCATGCATACAGACATACATACAGACATACATATAGACAGACATGCACACATACATACAGACATACATACATACATACAGACATGCATACATCCATATAGACATGCATACATACAGAGACATACATACATACAGAGACATACATACATACATACATACATGCATGCATACAGACATACATACATGCATACAGACATACATACAGACATGCATACATGCATACAGACATACATACATACATACATACATACATACAGACATACAGACATACATGCATGCATGCACACAGACATACATACATGCATACATACAGACATACATACATACAGACAGATATGCATACATGCATAAAGACATACATACATACATACATACAGACAGACATGCATACAGACACATACACACAGCTCATTTTTCAGCCTCCCTCCTGTTTCTTACCTTTTCTTTGCAGGAGGGTGGCTGGGGATGATGGGAGTCGGCGCTGCTCTCCCTCACTGTCGGGCTGTCTCTCCTCCCACGCGGAGTGAGCTGGGAGGAAGTGACTACTTCCTCTCAGCAGCACTTGCTGCGGCTGCTTTTTTTTTTTTAAAGGGTTATACCACGGCCACAGCGCTGACCAGGTCCCTGAAGATATAGGGCCCATCGGGTGGCCCTAAGTGTGTGGGCCATCGGATGGGCCCCAAGGATAAGCTGCCTAAGAAAGGTCTGATGATATCAATAGAAACAATGTATGCTACTAAAATCACCTGCATAGTTGGCTGATCTTATAGAATTAATATTGGTTTCAACACATTCTACTTGTCACATACAATTTTGGAGTCACGATCTAGATCTTCGAGACTCACTCACACTATTCCTATCCAACGATCTAGAAATGGTCAAACAAGACTACAGGCCGTTAAATAATATAATCAATTTTTCTAATGAAATTTAAACAAGTAAAGTACAAAGCATCAGTCAATAAAAATATTCAGCACTATTATTTACTTGCTTAGTGCATGATTCTGTGTATAATCTTCCTCTTGGCAGTTTGCATAATGTATATATACACCTGTTTCTTTTAGTAATTACATGATGAGTTGTAAATTAGGACTCACCGCAAATTCCTTATAGGCAATGTGATCCTGACCACCATGGAGAGCACAGGTGAGCAGGGTCTGGATCTCAGACTCTGAATATTGCTTTTTCACCTTGAGGAAATGCAGCTCTTCATTACGATCACTTTGTGAACCTGCACACAGGGACAACTATGTCACAAACACAAACCCAGACTAAAACAACCTTTCCACTTGCATTGTTATTCTGATTTGAAGAATGTAGACCTCTAGCTCTCCATTAATGAGTACTTGGAAGAAGTGATTTAGACAGGCTTTTGGACAGCAACTTAACACTATTATGTTAAAATTTAGCTCCCCTGCCCCCCCTTGAGCCCCTAAATATAGTGAATTATTTATTTTATTGCAGTCTGCTGCTGCTAGCTCTGCCTCTTATCTGCCTGCTTGGCTGACATAATCAAAAGTGTTGATCTGAGCCAATCACAATGATTTCTCATAGGAAAGCATTGGATTGGCTGAGACTGATCAGGGGCAGAGCCAGCACAAGCCCTGGCCCAGATCAGCATCTCATCATGGAGATGCATTTAATCAATGCAGCTCTATGAGGAAAGTTCATGCTGAGGGTGGAGACACTGAATATCAGTCACATTGTGCAGCACTTCCCCAGGAAGTACTTCTAGTAGCCATCTGAGGAGTGGCCAGTAGAGGTATGAAAACATTGTAATTTCTCTGAAAAGACAGTGTTTACTGCAAAAAGCCTGAAGGGAATGATTAAACTCACCAGAACAAATACAAAAAGCTGTAGTTGTTCTGGTGACTATAGTGTCCCTATAATGAATAATTGTGTGTTAATTGTTTTTTTTGTTATATGCAGGCCTTTTTAAAGGGACACTGTAGGCACCCAGACTACTTCAGCTCACTGAAGTGGTCTGGGCGCAATGTCCCATGTCCCTTAACCCTACAGTGGTAATTATTGCAGTTTCAAAGAAACTGCAATAATTACCTCTCGGGGTTACCTCCTCCTCTAGTGGCTGTCTACCAGACAGCCACTAGAGGGATTTCCGGGGGCTTAGACGACTTTTGGTTGTCTAAATGACGTTGGAAATCCTCACGCTATGCATGAGGACTTCCTGCGTCACTGGAATCCCAATAAGAAAGCACTGATTAATACTTTCCTATGGGGAAATCCTAATGCAAGTGCGGCTATTGCTGATGTCGGCAGGGGAAGAGAGTGGACTGATTCAGGTGACTGCTTGTGGATTTGGCATATGAGTGACCAATGCATTTAACTTTTAGGCAAACATCTTGAAGTTTCAGGTTTCAGTTAAAATTTTAATCAATATAATTCTGCTACTAAAATAAAAAAAATTAAAATTCTTGAATTCTTGCACTGCCCTATATATTAGTTCATTTAAATGACAGCTGATTCAAATTTCCTTTATGCACATACATATTTTTTCACAAACATATTTATTTGTTTATATAACGTTCAGATATTTCGATCTAACATAGAGCAGGTGTTGACAGATATAGGTTTGCCTTCATGTTTCAGTGGGTTTTACACTTGCTGACAGCCACACTTCTCTTGCATAACCCTGTTTGGGAAGCACAGACTTGCTATCTATAACTAGTTTAAAGTCCCCTGCACTTTATGATGTATTTATTCTCAGATTTCCTGTACAAAGCTCCTGAAATATATCAGTCTTTTTCTCCATGATAGTAATGTCTCTGTCACAAAGCCGCTACCCCATCTCACCTTCGCAGGCATTGCTTTACCTTATAATAAAGGCAAGTGGGATACATAGACATGCCGAGCACAGCCTTCTTCTCTCCGGCTGACACAGACTGAACTGACTAACAGGAAGGGGGAAAGGCTGCTTTACGCTCTGATTTTAAATAAATCTAGACCTTGCTAGCAATTCTGCTAATACAATGCATATATGAAAAGTTATTTGATATAATTTAGGATTAGGCTGTGCTTGTCATGACAGGTAAACTTTCAGTGTATATTTTGGTGGAAGGGGGCATTGTACAGTATTTAAGGGATACTTTAAGCACCAAAAAAACTTTAACTTAATAGTTTTGTTGTATAGATCATGCCCCTGCAGTCAAACTCTCACAGGTTCCCTACAAACATCCTGTAAATTAGGTCTGATTTTTAAACTTCCCTTATTGAACAATGTGTTTATTTTAGAAAAAAATATCTCCTGCTCTGTGTCTTCCAGAGTCTGAAGGATACATTGAGATTTCTTGTTTTCAACTTCTAAAGTAAACACACTGTGTTGAAAGATTGGTTTGAAAATGAAACTGTTTTTTTCATGGAGGCTGTGTGAGGCACAGCCAGATGAGCTGTGGCAAGGTTGCATAAACATGTCATTTAACCACTAAATGGCAGATAAGCAGTGAGACTGTACACCCAAAGGTGTTTTGGTGCATAGAGCATCCCTTTAATCAACCATTAGATTCAAGCTTTTTTTAGCTTGAAAAAACTTGCCTTAATGTCCAAAGGTCGCCTGCCTGTAAACAAATAATCCGTTTAACAATAGATATAGTAAGAGTATTTAGAGAGAATTGATCAATTAAAACATAAAGTTACCAGGATAAGATGTTGGTGCTCTATTATCTTCTTCCTCACTGCTCCAGCCATCCGAATCATGAACAACTAAGGATGAAATTTTGTTTGCTGCTAACTCCTCAACAGAAGTACTACTGTAACGGAAACAATAGACCTGGTAAAATTATGTTGAACATGAGTCTTCTATTCAAAGTCTAATAACAAAAACTGACATAATATTGTCCCTCGGTACAATACAGATTTTGATTAACAAAAGAAAGGGACACCATAATTTGGTGTCTTACATTAGATTTAAGATTACATTTCAAATCCCGAGACATTTTTGCATGTGAGGGAATTTCAACACATAGGGTAAAATAGATACATTGAAAAATAAAAATGTTCACCGTAAAAATTATTTGGAACTTACCGGTACTTTGAATTTCCAGCCATTCTCATTTTAATAAATACTCTTGTATATCCTTCTGTGGTGGATTAACCCAAAATGATTTGTCTCTTGTGTACTAACTGTCATTACATTCTTTAGCATCAACTGCAATGTGCACTATTTGGGAGGAGGATGATGTAGCCTTTAACCCCTTAAGGACACATGACATGTGTGACATGTCATGATTCCCTTTTATTCCAGAAGTTTGGTCCTTAAGGGGTTAATGCCACCCAAGGGTAGCAGGAGTTTGAGAACAGGGATGATTTCTGTCTGTTTTTATTTCCTTTTGTATTACAACGCCTTGTTACAGGGCAGCTGTAACAAGGCGTCATTTGTGTCCGTCTTAAAGTTAGATAGTTTGACGAGATTTATAATAATACTCTCCTCTGTCTCATTAGAGATTTTGACTCATGGCTGAAAGCAGCAAAGTGAATTACTAGTGGAAGTGTTTTTTCTTGAAGTTGATAGGTCGCTTTGCACTTCAAAGGAAATGGCAATGGTCAGAAAAAACATATTATTTAAATGTACACAGGGATTTAATATACAGTGTAAGTAACTTTTATAGTTTTGTTTTGTTTATACATTTGGGAAGAAAAAAAAACACTATGCTCATTATTTGAACTAATCTAGAGCTTGTAATCTTGTAACTATCAAGTACTACAATAATTTAATTGTTATCACTATTTATTTTTTGGGCTATGCAATCAAAGATGAAACAAAACATCCACAAGAAAAAAAATATATAAAATAATATAAGCAGTGTTTTTTTCAGCATTTAATGTTTTATTGATTTTCCAAAGTTTGAAACAAGAGATTTTACAAGTAAATATAAGTATATGCAGCAGAAGGACCTTTCTGGGCCTCTTTATGTCGTGTGGGAGTATATCAAGCAGGAGAGCCTTAGGTGAGTCTGGGATGGAGAAGGAGGTGGTGCAAAGTATTAGCAACTGATCATCTGAACAGAATCCGCGTAGGGCTGGGCACTCCCAGAAAACAAGAGATAGTGAATCTACATCTTTACCATAATGCCAGCAAGAACCCAGGGAACCTGGATAGATATGTGACCGCCAGGGTGGCACCAGGTACCAACACATCTCACAGTGATTAGAGCAATGTGAGGTTTTTATAATTTGGACTACTGCTGTGAGAAAATGTGATCTAGTTCTGTTGCCTATAAGCTCGTGTATGAGAGTTTATTGGAGGAAGCGTGCAGGGCCAAATGTTTATAGCATGGAGAGAGTGGTTTTCTCAGAGCCTTATGATTTTTCCCAGTGGGGATGTCACGTCTCAGAGATCATAGGACAGCCCCTGGGACTGAAGGGTATGTTTGATGCAAAAGTAAGTAAAATAATCAGTGCAGGGCGTCTCGTAGGTTGAAGCTTGGTGTGGAAACGGGCTTATCTGGCCCACTTCAAATGATTGATACACGTGTCTAATTATAGGAGTTCCAAGCTGTCAGGGATGAGCACCTTTAGCGAGGTCAGAAGAGCGAGCCCAAGAGGGTGAAGGTTCTTTAACATTAGTATAGCCTCAGTCCACCATGTTGTAGAAAGCATCCAGAGGAGGTACAGTAGTTTGTCTCTTTGAAAACAAAAAACCTGCATGAGATTGTATGGACATAGATAAGATTCTTCCAAGGAGGCCCACAATATAGGTTTCGCTTAGCAACTCAGGGTTATAGGTTGAATTAGGGAAGATGCTGTGTAGTATCTTTTTACATAGTGAACTCCGAATCCTCCCAGCTTTGGAGGCAGTCAAATAAAATAATGGAATATTTTCTGTGGCTTTTTTTCCAGATGTATTCATTGATTGTTTTCCGAAGCATGTTTAGAATTTCTATCTGTAATATTTTAAATACATATAAGAAATATTATCTAAGTAATCAGGGAGAGCAGAGCTTTCAAAGGAGCACTGGTGATTATGATCTTTAAGATGTAGCTTTAAATGAATACAAGATTATGTTCACACATGGAGCATAAATAGGAATGGATTATGTGTCAAGACCACAATAATCTTGAAGCCATGATTTGTACAGTAATATCTTAGCAGCTAGGTCAGGGAAAGGAGCCAGAGATATCCAGTAGGACCATGATGCAGTATATCCAGAACTAAAATAGCAAAGACTAGGTGTCATGCCTAGTCTTTTAATAGTGTTGTAGTTTGCTAACCACAAAAACAAATTAAAAACCCAGTCACTGAACTCAACATCACTAAATCAGGAATGAACATACATGCTAAAAAAAACTCAGATAACCGGTGGGGGGAGGGCTGGGTTGTGTGTGTAGCATATATATGTGTGTGCGCCTTGTGTGTGAAAGATTTTTGTGTGGTCGACAATATCTACAACTGTACATATGCATAAATAACTAGCCATAAGAACACACAGTTAACTAGTCACTCACACAAACCTAATTAACAACAAATAAACACATACTTTGCAGTGAACTTTTCTTCTCTCTTCTGAATCTTGCCTACCTTGGTAATGATGAGGGAGTTAAAAGTCCTCTAAAGGCACCCAGACCACGTCAGCTTAATGCCCTGCAGTTTTAACACTGCAATGTAAACATTACATTACATCTTCCAGACAGCAACAATTTTGCAATTAGATCATGAGGCCAAATGCTGCACCTGATTGGACAGGAGTGTGGCTTGTATTTCTAACGCTATTGTGTTCCTTTGAAGCTTACTAGATATCTCCCTAGTATTGTTTTTTTCTTTCAAATACCAACTGTTTATAAAGAACAGAGGACTTACTTGCCTGGTGATTGCAGGTTTTCCTTTTCTGAATCTACTTTGACATCCTCTGCCATGTGGATTTTCAGATCTGAACAAATTCCTTTATTTTCTGAGAAAAAAAATTTTGAATGTGTGAATACTTTTTTTCTTCCAATTTGTAATAACACACACATTTTTTGATATGATGCACTGGACCATTGTTGTGCAGCCTTTGGCACTCCAGATGCTGTGGACTACATCTACCATAATGCTCTTACAGCCATAATGCTGGCAAAGCATCAGGGGAGAAGCAGTCCACACATTAGAGAATGGTAAAGGTTGCCTATTCTTGCACTAAACCGATATAGAAATTGCTAACAAAGCTACTGTTACTAGTTGTCTGTCAGATTTGCCAACATCACCTCATTCAGAATAAAATTATATTGTATGGGGAGTTGTCTCCATCTCATGGACACAGCAAAAAAAAAGGGTTATTCACTAAACTGTACTGAACTGTGTCAAACAATTTGGTGCTGTACAGGACAATGAGGAATGCAAAATCCTGACATTGTTCAGTCTATTAAAGAATTGTGCTTGCTAGCCAGCTGGCACATAAAAATTAAAAATAAAATAATAATAACCCTCATATTAGTATATGGAAGGATTTAAACTTTCCTTATTCTCCAATTTGCCACAATTGCATATATACTTAAGATTAAAAACTACTGACTGGGTTACCATTGCTGCTCAGTCACTAGAAAGGCCTTATTCCCATGGAGATGAGGCCTATAAAATAAGGAGGGACCAAGTCACACTTGTGGGCATCAGATGTTTGACTTTAATTGAAATAATGGACAAATCACTGTCCTTTCCTTTGTTCCACTGAGTGTTGGGGATTAAACTTAAACTGATTTTAACCCAGTCGCCAAATGCATCCGGCCAATTGGTGCAGATTCATTCTGGCTGATTTCTGAGCGGATTTGGCTTTAGTAAATATGAGATTTCCCATTGCAGTTGGGGTTTAGCCATTTTCACCAGATTTTGTCTACCTGCACAAATTCCAGTGTTGAGTGACTTACCCTGCCAAAGTTAACGGCCGACACAGCAGATTAAGTAAATACTCCCTATGCTAAAACATCAGGAAAGCCTGATTGCAGAGTTGTTGTTTTTTTATATATATACAGAGTAATGCTAGAAATTTTAGGTTATGTGCTATTAGCCATGTCTATAATTTACTAGCCATTAGCCAACCTTATAACACTAAATGTTTATGATGCATGTGCATAGAATATTAGTTATTTGTTTGCACCTACTCCCGGTTGCACCTTCTCCCATAATATTGGATACAACAGGATACATCACAATAATCAAATACACTATACATATAATAGCAATACATCTATTGACAGCCTGGGTCAATGAATAGACAATGATAATGAATGAGGAGCACATCGATATAAATAAAATGCACTTTATTAATTGGGCACAAAATAAAAGGTATCACAAGATATGTGGCAATAAACCTTTACATTCATAAAGCTATACCCAAACAAAAGATATAATGTATCACAATGATAAATATGCATACTAAATGATTGAAAAAACAGTAGTAACATTCCATATACATTTAGAAGACATAAGTCTTATAAATATCTGAAAAAACTGCCCAACCATTAATACATACCAAAAAAGAAGTACCAGAAATAGTGAGAAGAGGGAGAAAAATCAAGTAAAAGCCTCCATAGTGTCAGGTACATTTTTAGCAAGGCTCCTTACGTTATAGTTTTAGTTACTCAGAGGATTTGTTGTGTACCTGTACAATCATTGCTGCATTGTGCAATTTTCCGCACGGAGAGATGCACTGTGCCTGTGGCTTCTCTAAGTATGCTAACCACCATTCCAAGTGTGAGCCCGGTTAAAGCACGTCCATTTACCTAGAAAACAGAAAAGGGCATTATTTATTATTTATTTGAATTATTTATTCAAAATATTTGTTTATAACAATGCATTGAATCCTCATATTTATATGCGTAGCAGAAATATTGTTATATCTGGCATCTGCATTCATTTTTGCTGCATGGGGGGGGGGGGGTGAAGTACCAGGGTCACACGTGTTCTTGAACCCCATATTTTTCCGTGAAAGGGTGGCTGACTTGCTATTATCAAGTCACCTGACCGTTTTAATCAGAAAACTGTGATTAAAAAGAAAAAAAAGAATCATCTGACTTCAATCAAGAAAGCTCATCAGCTACGTAAGATAAAATGTTCTGATAACTGTAATGCTGTCCTGTGCCCCAAATTATGAGGGAGAGTCAACATACATAACATTGTAGCACATCCCTTACCTCTAACAATAAATCTCCTACACACAGCCTCCCATCCTGTGCTGCCACACTACCAGGGCAGATTGCCTTTATGGTAAACATTCCATCGTTTGTGTTTCCAGCCAGTGAGAACCCCAAGCTTCCATTGTTTGCTTTCTCCAAGTTAATGTCCATGAAACAGACCTATGAACAAAGATATGTAAGTGATGAATGAATAGGTATCTTGTCTGGACTCATATGCACCGTGAGACATTTGTATATGGGTATGCCAAGTCTCTCAAAATATATTATATAATGTATAACTATTTAGGGTGACACACTAAGACAAGCTCATCTTCCAATTTCAGTGCCATGGAACCACACTGCTGGCCTTCTGTTTGTTTCCAAATACTTTTTGGTTTGTATTACAGCCAGAGTGACCCAGCTTTTTCTTCAAATTAATGGTGTTGCCAAGGCATTTCCCAGCTGACTGAGGCAACACTCCTTGTCGGGAATTTAAAATTGTCTTTGGCACAAAATGTAAAATCTCCCAATAAAATAGCCTCTTTCTAAAAGTGTTTCATTTGGGTGTTATGATAGTCAATGACAGTACAACCAGGAAGAGTACATTGAAAGCAGTGTCTCAACTTGTGTTGATGACACAAAATGATGAAAGATCATTAACTGAAAATAAGGTGTTTCTTCTCAGCACTGAAATCTGTAAAAAACAAATTGAGACCTGGGTGAATAAAAGACATGATTATGAACTTGTAATCATATACTGCATGAATTTCAGTGCCAATCTAATCAGTGGGGATGGCTCAGGGCAAGACTAGACATTGGAATGCCTACATCTGTTTTAGACTACAATTCCTAGTCTGCTCAATCAGCCTCATCATGCACTGCACAGTCAAGTTTATATTTCTGGACAGTATTAAAAGCAGCTATGCATAAAAAAGATTAAACATTTAAGTAAAGTACTATATGAACACTGGATAAAACATCAATGTGTGTTGTAATGGCAAACCAATTTGAAAAAGATATAGATATATCAGACCTAAATATATAGAAAACTAAATGTTCCTCAAAATATCTAGACATTTTGACCGTTAGTAAATCTAAGGAAGCATATTTGCTAATACAATAGATATTTGTGAAAAAAGAGTTAGATGCATTCCTTGCTAAGTGCCACACACTTCATAATTGGTGCAACTGTATGAGCAGTTGGATGCTATCACAAACATTTTTATGTTTAATATTATTAATTCTATGTTTCAATAGAGTATATTATTATTATTATTATTATTTTCAATAGAATATAACACAGTTTAGTATCCTCTGATGACTGCTGGTGAGCAAGAGATATTTCATATTTCACAATTCCATTGGTTTTGTCCCTCAAGTCAAATATTGATTGCAATGCCATGGGCATAACAAATCACTCTCTTTCCCTGCATATATTGACTAATGCTTGTCAGATTAGTTTAAAGCTATGCAATGATCAATATAATGTATTATATCTCAGCATGTCAATGATCTCCCTCACTTTCTTGCTGAAGCTGGTGGCTAGTTTTTGAAAATTAAAAAACTGTGGACTTGTTTCAATACTGGTCTTTAAAAGGGAGCTCTTAATTCAATTACTTGTCAATTCCAAAACTCGATTAATGTTTGCTTAAAATGCTATCAGGTTTCCCTGATCAACACTTTGTTACTCCCGAAAGTCCTACTGATACCACTACTTGGTATTTGCTGTTTTGTAAATTAGACATATATCAAGAAAATGTGTACTTTCAAATTCATTGCCACAGTAAAATATTCCTTCAGTACATGTGCACTTCACATGCGAATTTCTGAGCAAGTTTACTCTTGTGTGTCCATATATCTGACTAGTCAAATTTCACAGTTATTTATTGGAAACTACACTATGCTTCTAGATAGGCTATAGTGATTCAATGTAGTTAAATATAAAATAAACGTTGTTGTTTTTTTACATTGGATGTATTAAAAATGTGCATTTGTGGGGGGCAGAGTCTGGCAAGCAAAATGGGCAGACGTGTTTCTGTGGTATTCTTACTATCCTGAGCATTGACTGTATAAAAGCAGCTGATTTACTTGCACGCACGGTGCACATGCACCTAAGCCCTGCATGCCACCTATGTAGTCTGGTTTGAGGCGCCCCGATAGCAGACTTACAAGCGACTGGCCTTGAGGCCTACGAGGGCAGACGCACAAACCGTCAGGAGAGGCGGCTGACCTCATAACACTGAGTGCCTCAGTCCCTTTGGACCGGTGGGGGATATCCCGGTCCCCACCAGAGAAGCCTGTGGTACCTGAAAGGCTCAATATCTCTCACTCGACTTGCGGTGGAGAACCCTCGCGGCACACTGAAGATGGCCGCCACGCTGACCGACCACCCACTATCTGAGTGGGAATCCAGGTTCCTCGTAGCTTTTGATGCGGTATGCGAAGCCTTCTGGACCCCGATCGAGTCCCACCAGCAGCAACAAATACTCACCTCAGCTGCTCCTGAGGTTCCTAGAGGCGCTCCGGTGTTCTGTTCTTCTTCCGGGCCAGAAGCCACGATCTACAAGCTTGTGGCACTGTCTCACAGGATCTTAGCCCTTACACTGGAGCTGGATGGCTTTGAGACAGCTGGCACTGGCTTGTACACCGGTCTGGGCACGGGGAGCAAAGATGCAGACACACCATCCCAGTGACATGGAGGATACCTACATAAGGCCTGGAGGCAGTGGGGGATTCGCCCAATGTCAGTTGGAAGACAGCGGAGCTAGCACCCATCTGAAGATACCTGTGGCATCGGTTGATACAGGGACTCGGGCTCACTTTAAGTCCACCATAATGTTCTCACTCTTCCTTTCAGCCAATGTAGCTAATGTTCTAGCCACTAATACATATAATCATATGGCCTAACGCTGTACCCTTCCTTTTTGTTGCCTATTGATCTACTCTAACATATACCTGGTGGCTCTTATACTTCTGCTCAATTTCCTTCCTGCAATAAGCCTTATTATAAGTCTTCTTGTCCACAATTGCATACTAGTGAACTGTTGATATTATCCATATGTTCCTAATCATAGGCAGTTGATACTATGACATGCTTACCGTATGTTTATTATAATAGGAATTGATAGTATACTATCTAATATAACCTCACATGCTCACACTCATAAGTGGTTGCTACTCTTACGTGCTTGCTGAATGTTTGCAGCAAAGCCAGAATAGGATGACTTCCTAGTTAATCTAGCCTCTGCAGGATTGGTAATTATCGTGTTTTTCTTTATTTCACTTAAAATGTGCATATTTATTGAGTAGTCACATCTATCTAGCTTGAGTTCTAATATTAAACCATAATGAAAAATGTGCAGCTTTAAGAAATGCCATGCTATTACTCTTGTTGAATAAAGAATTATGAAAAAAAATGTGCATCTGTTATTTTGCTTTTTCTAGTTAAACCTATATGAAACATGTTAGACCTTTCGTAAGACACAAATTAGCAGTCATTAAATGTTACAACATTAATTGCTAACAAGAATCAGTCATTTTATAGATTATTGACTTGTTGCCATTTGCTTGCAACAGACATGGAAACAATCCCTCTGTGTGGTGGAAAATAAACATGAAATATTCAGGATTGGTTCACGAAATAGTGAATTGCGATAAACTGAAAAATGTAGTTTGTAAAAGGCAAGATAGCTTTGTAAAAAAACTTCAAACTCAGCTAGTTTGCCCTACATTTTGCACATTTGGTTTTCAGTTTATCACTAATTAGTGTTCACTAAAGAAGCTTTTTTCTTGTTGTTAACTAAAACACACTATAACTCAAATTACCATTGCGCCTCTGTTCTATGAATTCCAATGTGTAACATTTTGAAGAGTTTAGTTTTGAGCCTGAATAACCTGAAATTTAAACTCACACTATATACAATTAAAAAATATTTACCTCGTTATCACTTTGCGGAGACTTGCTTGTCTCTTGAGATGTTGAATAATCCATGTTAGGATGTCTCTCTGCAAGAAAAACTGCCCATTAGCAAACTGTGCCCTTACAACAACTCCTCATATCTCAAGAGCATGGTTCACTTGTAGTGTGTGTTATGTGAAGTGACTACACTTGTGCATTAGGTTTCAAAAGAACTGCAATTCGTCCAAACCTTGGGTAATCAATGGGTTATCTTAATTCCATAACTCTGAAGCGCAATATGAATGTATCATGTAAAAACCGAAACGGACAACGAACGAACAGTTCATTAGATTCAATCCATCAGTGGCACCAAAAAATAGAGATGATTGATGGGGAAAAAAAATATGTTTGATGATTAGGGGACAGCCACTAAATGTAGATTGTATTCACAGATCAATTGAGAAGTGACCAATAGAGGGGGAAAAAAGAAGCAATAAAAATCTATATTTATTTAAACACATAAATGTAAATTTTTTACTTATTTTTTCCCCCTATGTTGGTTACTTTTTCTCACCTGGTCTGTTAACCAAAGGCAGCAAAATGCGCCTATTACCGTACTGCAAAATGTATATACAATGTTTATATTTTGCAGTACACTGATTAGCCAATATTAGAGCCCTATTGGCTCATCCTAATTGGTTTTCCCAAAATGATGCATGGCTGAAATTCAGCCGAACTGAAATGCCAAATGGACGAATTTCATTCCAACCAACATTTTTTTTCAGACAAATTGTTTTGGCCAAACCAATTTTTTTTTTACTATGCACAAGTCTAGAAGTTACATTGGAACTTTGGTACTCTAATGGATCTGTACTATACTAGTGCAGTAGTTAACAGTTACCTGTTTAGCCATTTATACACTGCATTTCACACCTAAAACAGCCTACAGGCCAGGAAAACAATAGTAAATTGGATATCTACAAGAGCTGGAGAGTAGTTGTATGTGTGGGGTTTTGGCACTGTATCATTGTTAGATAACCATCTCCTCCATGGAACGGAAAAAGGCCTAAATCCGCAAGGATAAAGGAAAATGGCCTTTATTCAAATTTCATATCATGACTAGGACATGGAAAGGCTATTTTTCACAATGTTGAGTCGCTTTTGCTTTCTTTGGGGGATACTCAGTTTTCAAGATATTTACTTACCAGCAGTGACAAAACCTGCCTACACTGCCCTTGGGCAGTTTAGTTTGTTGCCTCCAGCTATTTTATTCTTTCAGTTATGAAAAATGTAACCCTATTATTTGTAGCCCAGTGTCCTCTTTAAGAGAGATAAATGATAGTTGGAATTAATTGTACGAGGGTATTCCTGTAGTTGCAATTTTAATGCTGCATGTTTGGGGGGCATGGTGTAGGTTTAATATAGCAGGTGCAACATTTATAAATATAGGCTGTTACCAGCTGCTGCTACGGAAAGCCAGTCACTAAGTAGCGGCTACTGGCTCGCCTTAATCTCTATAGGTGCTGACACCTTCTATTTGACAACTTGTTACGAACTGGCTTACGACCCTGTCGCTACTCATCACTGCCTGCCACTAACACAAAACATCTTTGGCCTGGTGAAAAGAGGTTAATGACAGCTAACTACCGTCATACTACCCTAAACCCTCTAAATGTGGGGTAGCAATGTCATAGGGTAGATGTAGCAAAATGCCAATTCCCATAATGTGTTGCCAGTCTTCACTCTTAACAGAGTCAGGCCTTCAAGTCCTCTCTAGATTTTGAAACCAAGCTATAACATATTAATTCTGACGAAGTTTAAATGGAAGGACCCACAGTGACCCCTAAAGACCCATTTCATCAACAATTCATGTAAACTACTGCTAGGATTTTACCTGCTTGACTGTCACTGGAAACATTCCCTGTGGCTGGGTGCTTGCTTCCAGTTGTCTTATTTTGTTGTGCTACATTATGTGACTGGTCAGTTGACATGGAATATGATGATGTAATGGAAATTCCAGGGATCACAATGTTACCATCAAATGTTTTTTGGTCATTATTTAAATGTTCAGGTATGTGACGATGCAAAGTTCTAGTTTCACTTTTTGTTTCATCACAAGAAATAGTTTGTACTATGATTCTGCCATTGTTGGACTGATTGAAATGATTTTGATGAAGTGTTCTGTCTTCATTACCTGATTGTTCATGGTGTAAAGTGAGACTATTAACATTGGTTTGTATAGGAGCAATATTATTTAGTTCTGAAGAGTCTTCAATAGTGATGTCCTTGGTTGACTGATTTAAAGTAATAAATTCATGATTTATTTGATTAGGGTTTCTATGGCATATGGTGTCAGGGTATTCCTGGTCACCTTTACTCATACTGTGTGGAGAATTTAAGGTTGGTTTCAGGTGTGAATCACAGGGTTCTGGTTGTAAGATGTTACATGCAGAAGAGGTCATGCTTTGGAATGGTGGATTTCTTGTAGGAGAAGGAGGTACATGTGTTAATATTGGTGAAGGAGAAAGTCCAATGTTTCTGGAAGGTGAAGGTGCTTTAAACCTCATAATTGGAGAAGGGGTCTTCATCCGTCTTCCAGGTATCACAACCTGAAATTTTCTACTTGTTGTGGAAGGGAGATGCAACTTTGAGGGCAGTTGAGTGGAGAATGTATCAAATTTCCCAATGCATCCTGCCTGTTATAGGAAAAAACACATCACATTAGTATGCACAGTGATGACACATTACACACATTACAAAAAATATAGAACACAGCGAGAGTAAGTGTGAGTGTTTTTTTTTTCATTATTTCAGTATCCATTGTGACTTACCGCCTTGACATATATGTTATACATTAGTATTTATTAAAGTATTTTATAAAAACAGAAAAAGAAGCATTAAACGATAAATGGAATAAAGAAACAAAAACAGAATCACAAATGTTGCATACAATAAATATTCAGTTTTGTTCCCTTACTGTAGTGGATCAGTAAAATATTTTTACAAAATTTTTTGTACAAACTTCAACATCCATATGACATAAAATGTGTTATACATTTTATACATATGCTCACCTGAGAACCTTTCATTTTTTCATCTGTTTCTTCAATTTCTTCCAAGTCTTCCCATTCGCTATCATTATCACAAGATTCTGTGGAGGTGAGGGATTGTGGGAGCAACTTCAAAGCATGCTGCTGGATTGCTCTGTATCCAGCTGGGGTGCCTTCCGGTGTCTCCCCCCAGGAAGGAGGGGTCACAGAAGTAGAACTAATAGTGAGATACTCCTCATCACTAAGTACACGTGTCACATCTCCTTTGGCTTTCTCACTTGTACTAGACAGACAAAACACAAGCAATGCTTCTCATATAACATTAGCTGAAATGTGTTTGGTGAGCTCTTAAAAAGCTCAGCAACAAAAAAGATGGCAGTATTTTCATAGAGTCATAGAGGCTGTAGCAATATTAAATCAATATTAAATAAGCCATACACGACCTCTTCATCTCTAATTCCCTCACACTTCTTGCACTCACTGAGACCTGGCTGTCCTCTGATACTGCTACTCCAGCTTCTTTATGTTTCAGTGGACTACAATTCTCCCACACTCCCAGACTCACTCCCAGACTCAACTGTAGGCATCCTTCTCTCCCTTCAATGTACTTTTCAACCTATCCTCCTTCATATCTTATCTGCACTCTGTCTCCCTCTCTTGCTCATCCTCTCACTAAAATTTTCAATCTCTCCCTTTCCTCAGGCACATTTTCTTCACCCTTCAAACATGCAACCAAAACGCCGCTTCTGAAAAAGCACAAGCTTGACCCAACTCCCCATCCAACTACCGCCCTATATTGCTACTGCCGTTTGCCTCCAAGATCCTTGAAAGATTTGTGTATGCAAGATTGACAGACTTCCTTGAATCCAACTCTCTGTTTGACCTGCTTCAGTCTGGAATCTGCGCTCGTCACTCTGTTGAAACAGCTGTGACCAAAGTATCCAACTATTTAATCGCTGCTAAATCTCGCAGCCATTACTCGATCCTAATTCTCCTTGATCTTTCTGCTGCCTTTGACACTGTTGATCATCAACAGCTTCTTCTCATTCGGTCTACGGGACACCGCTCTCTCCTGGTGCTCTTCCGACCTCTCCCAGCGCTTTTTCAGTGTATCTTTCTCTGGCTCTGCCTCTTCTCCCCAACCCCTCTCTGTTGGTGTTTCCCAAGGTTCTATCCTAGGTCCCCTACTGCTCTCTATCTATACTGCCTCCCTTGGTAAACTCATCAGCTCCTTTGGCTTCCATTATCATTTATATGCAGATGACACGCAAATCTACCTGTCCTCTCCTGATCAATCTCCACCTATCTTGACTTGTGTCTCTGACTGCCTCTCTACGATTTCCAACTGGATGGCTGCTCACTTCCTTAAACTCAACCTGTCTAAAACAGAACTTCTGGTCTTTCCTCCCTCGAGTGTTGCTACTCCCGTATCTGTCTCCCTCCAAGTCAACGGCACCACCATCACCTCTACCTCGCAGGCTCGCTGCCTAGGTGTTCTCTTTGACTCCGACCTCTCCTTCACCCCTCATATCCAGTTGATCACCAAATCCTGCCGCTTCCATCTCAAAAACATAGCTCACATCCACCCTTATTAAACACCAGAAGCGGCTAAGGTGCTGGTCCATGCCGTTGTTCTTTCTCGCCTTGACTACTGCAATCCCCTTCTCAGTGGTCTTACGTGTTCCCAGATTGCAATCTATAAGGAATGCGGCGGCAAAGTTCATTTTCCTGTCCTCCCACGCCTCCTTCCTCTGTCAGTCCCTACATTGGCTTCCAGTTAGATCCAGGCTCAATTTAAGATTCTGGTGCTTGCTTACAAGTCCCTACATAGTGCTGCTCCAACCTACCTATCCTCCCTAATACACAAATATGTCCTGTCAAGGCCCCTGTGCTCTGCCGAAGACCTACGCCTATCCTCTGTCCGTATTCCCACATCTGATGCTCGCGTCCAAGACTTCTCCAGGGCTGCACCTTTTCTGTGTATCTCCCTTCCCTTCTCCGTTAGACTTTCACCCAGTCTCCATTCCTCCAGAAATCTTTGAACACACACTTCTTCAGGAAAGCATATCATTTAAACTGTTAGCGGGTTTTCATCCCCTCCACCCCCATGACTCCTCTCCTACAACTGTAAGTTCTCAGTGATTACTTTTCTAGCAACCTATTACATTACCCCTACTTATACCCTTTATGTCACTATACCCCACTCCCTCTAGCATGTAAGCTCATTGAGCAGGGCCCTCAACCCCTCTGTTCCTGTGTGTCCATTTGTCTGGTTACAATTACATATCTGTTAGTCCACCCATTGTACAGTGCTACAGAATTTGCTGGGGCTATATAAATAATAAAATAATAAAGATAATAATAACAAAGGGGTTATAGGTATTTCAGTGATGTAGAATACACTACAACAATTAAATAACTAGGGGGGCGGGGCCTGACTGCAGAGCAGAGCAGTCGCATGTTGCTGCTGCTCTGGCATCTAACTCTACATAGTGCCGATTCCTGCAGAGCAGAGGCTGTGACTTGACTTATTGTGGCTACCAAGCCATGGGGGATACTGAGACCTGCAAGATGACCACACAACTGGATTTTTTCACCAGTACCAACCTCCCTGATGTTGTGGCCTACAAGTATGGCAGTGGTGCAGGAGACGGCCACTCTCCCGCCGCCCCAACATACTGCAAGGCAAAGCTCGAGCCACCGTCCCATCCCCTATAGACCGGCGGGGGTTATCCCAGTCCCCACTGACTCGACATACACAATCGTACGGACTGCAGCTGCCCACTGAAGCTTGGGGTCCGGGTGCACCGGGCCCAGCAACATGGCGGATGCAATGCACCTAACGAAGCCTGCACCCATGTGACCCCAACCCACAAGCCTGGAGCACTGACTGCCCACCCGGGCCGAGGGTCACAAGGAGGATACCTCTGCAGCATCGACCACACCGCCAGAAGCGCGACTGCCATTGGCAGAACACTGGGGCTTTCCGTGACGCCCATGCAGGAAAAAACTCGGCCTCCACGACCACCCGAGTTTGTGGCACACGGATGCAGACACCACACAAGGCCAGGAATTCGGGGGAGACCTCACCATTTTCGCAACTCTCCTGCAACCTACAGACCCTCCAAGGACCAGCCTCTACAAGGTCACACAAGGGAATCAGCTGATGAAGCGGTCCGTGAATTGCGCCCAAGCAAGAGAGCGAGCACAACACCCGGACTGACACCCAGGGGGAATTGCATCGCTACTGCAGAGCAACACCTGACCCACACAAGCGGACACTTTAAGCGACCTCTAGATGCTTGATAGAAGTAAATACGTTAGTTTTGATCTCCTTGGGGGTCCCCATAACTGCAGATACCCCAAATATAGCAAAGCATGTGTGTCCTAAGGTGGCAATTAGCCTGTCAACTCAAGCTAACGTAGTTGAATTATGACTGTTCATTCTTGTTCTCAATATTCTTGAAAGCCTACTTTAACACATTTGAGCAGGCGTATATGTTTAATGACACAAACTTGTTGACCTCAATGTGACTCACCACATTAGACATACTAATTCCACTTACACTTAGCCTACATCTTGCATAGCATGTTTACTTTACTGTATTTTTCATGTGAAAAGCACAGTTTATGTATTCTTTAATTAATTTTGCATAATAGCTAAACCCAGCCTGTATTAATCTGTTCATATATTATAAAAATGTGGCAGTCTTTCTTGGAAGTGTATTCCAAACAATGCTGATACCTTTATTTTGTTTTATCCTGTAATAACTCTCTTTATTCTGTACTCTGTGAAGCAAATGCCATAATAAAAGAAAGATTGACAAAAAAAAAAAACAATTAAATAACTAAATGATTCATAGTAAAGGACGGTAGTTGGACTAATGTTCCTCATAGTAGTAAAGATCAGGCACAGGGAACTCAAAGAACCAAAAGTACTGTACCATTGTATGGGTATCGTCATCTTCACCCAGGATAGTTATAAAATGCCAGCATGTTTTATTTTGAAACATAAAATACTTGGCATATAGCTACCACAAAATATGTAAGTCCTAGCAAAGCCGTGATTTTATTTTTATATTTATCGACTATGCTAAATCTGTAACACTGATATTAGAATATCATATTTTCACATTCATAATCTCACCTCTCCTGAGGCTCTCGGTCACAGATGGAATAAGAGTTCAGTCGAACATCATCTGCCAATGAAGTTGATGTCTCCACGGTCACGTTGAAGGTAGGTGTAGAGGATATTTCTTGTAAAGCACTAGTCCTTTGGTCGGAGTTGCTCCCATCTTCTGAATCTATTTCCATCGTACTTTCAAGGTCATGGAAAGAATTTCTCATACTCAGTAACTCTCTTACTGGGGATGGCATAGGAGTCTGGGCAAAAAGCAATGAGTCAATGAATTTAATTGCTTTCACAGTAGTAATAATGATGGATAAAAAATCAAATATTATCTTTGTGGGAAATAAAAAATCTGTGGGATGGGAGCTCTAAGACAAGGAGTGAGCCAGAGAGTCCCTGGTCTCCTTGTCCATAAATGATCAATTTACCAGGTGGATGTCCTATTCCGTTGGTCCTTGGTTTTATATTCTGCCTTTGGTACCCATTCTTCCCATACCTTCCCGAACGTTCGGTGCCAGGCTGGGCTCAACTCCCATGGAGCTGGCAATAAATGGCTTCATAAAATTACATTTCTCCCTTTTGGCAAGGTGGCTGTATTTTTCCTAACATTTGCCATTAAAAAATAACTGTAAATATCTGTGCCATATTTAAAGCATAGTTGCTCGTCCCAGTAGTAAAAAATAAAAATGTCCTCACCGGTACAGTAAAGTCTATTTCAGGCAGGACTCCTTCAATTGGTCTGCAGATCCTCAAGGTCACTTCAGCAGGAGCACCATGTAAGAGATGGAGAATTTCCTGATATCACAGACAGGAGAAAAAGGCATTTACACAGCATTCATTACTCTTGTATTAGTGAGTGTGATTGTATATTGGACATAGTATATATACAGTGGCTAAGACCGAGTACATTAATCCACAACATTCATGTTGCAATGCCATGTATGCATCTCTAATAAATCTATGCATTCTTACTGTAGCAGTGCATTGTGAAAAGAACTCTACTACATGTAGAATTGGACACTGTGTCAAATATTTTATAACTAATTGTCAAGTTAAATATATACTATTCGGTTGTTTAATCAATGCTAGTAGAATGATACTTGCATTTTCAATAACGGTAAGACAATAGATGCCCCATTCCAAGTGTGTTCAGAAAATGTTTTCTATTGATGTTAAAACTATAGAATAAAGACTTTTCTACTTACTGGAATTCTTAGATTTTACATATATGTGGAGAAATGTAAGATTTATTTTGATATATGTTGCCTTTATATTAGTGGCTTGAAGCACCTCAAGCTCTTTTACACTAGCTGGAAAATAATTTAACCTGTGGTGCATTACATTATGTCTATCAAATATTGCCTTCTTAATTATATGTAATCATTGTAACCACACCTGATACTTTAATCCACAAACTGATTTTCCATTAACTTCCAGAAGAACATCTCCAACTGAGATACGTCCACTCTCCTCTGCCGGTTGGCCATGGAACAGTCTCTTTATCCTGATGACATTCCCTGAACTTCTGCTCTCAGTCTGCAGAAAACTGAATCCCAATCCCCCTGAATTCTTCTTCAACACTACTTCATATGTGTTATCTGTTTTGGAAGGACCCAATAGTTAAGCATTCACACAATATTATGATCTGGTTATTGTCAAATCAAGCCAAAAATAAGGACTTCAACCTATATATTACCAGCTTAAAGTCCTCTATTCATGGTACATTTGAGTGGTTCAGACCACTACTTCAGTGTCATATGTGAAGTTGTAAACTCATACAGACCTCAAATAATGTTTTGAATGACTTAGAATAAACCTAGATATTTACTAAATAGTATTTTATAAGACACTGAGTCTAACAATTTATTTTGCATACAAGTAACTAGACTGTGTTGGCTATCACTGAACTAGCCAATAGTGTGTAGTGACTAACTACTTGTTAATAACAAATAATATTTCATTGCGTTTGAGATTGCATTATCACTAGAAGTAAAATCATCATCTAGGGCAAGGGTAGGCAACCTTCGGCACTCCAGATGTTGTGGACTATATCCCCCATAATGTTCTTACAGCTATAATGCTGGCATAGCATTGTGGAAGGTGTAGTCCAAAACATCTGGTGTGCCAAAGGTTGCCTACGCCTGATCTAGGGTTTGTGAATTGTAAAAACATGAGCTGCCCCTCTATGACTTTTTTTTTAATATAAATATAGAACCCAGTCTACATATTTTCAGTCTTTTAATTCCATAAACGACATGTAAAGGTTTTCTGTGTGAAATGTTTTTACACTGCCACAGACCAGGGCATTATTTGTCAAACTCCCAAGTATTTGAATGTTCCCTTACCCTTAGTCACAAATAGTGGGTATTCAGTGTGACTGTAGCTGGGAGTGGAGCGTTGAGACTCCGAGAATTCACTCTGACTCCCAATAACAGTGTTTCCTGAGTCTCCTTTACTCTGCAACACAAGAGTCACTATCTGCAAATAAATAAAAGAAGTCAAAAACACATTTAGGAGCAATTTATAAAAGTGCTGTTAAGGGAAAAGTAGGTCTAAGTTCTAAAAGTAGAACAATCACCATGGAAACCAATGCAATGTCCTGCATACATTGGTTGACATGTTTCTACACTTTTAGAACACTGTCTAGTGTATAGAGTAATTATTAAACCTACCATTCTAATAGTTTGCTGGAATCAGAATTTGTAGAATTTGTATTATTTGTATTATGAAAATTGTAACTTGATTTGATGCATATTTAAAAATAAATTTCTACAAAAGTTTATTCATCTCTGATTCAGCATGCTAGGTTTAATTATGTGAACTGAAGGTGACACAAAAGATATTTCAATGATATTTCATCTTGAATCAAAGTAATTGGAAGCACACTATGAGGAAATCAAGAAAGAGATGTATTAATATAGGTGCTACAAAAGCCTCTTTATTATGATAAAGTTCTAAGGGCCAATTTTACCCACACCTCTTCACAGAAGAATTTACTTTGGTAGTCCACTGCTTGCTCAAACAAGGCTATCTCTAAAACTGCAGTGTCATGGTTTTGTTTTTCTCTTGCTTTTCTTTTCCTTATACCCTGTGTATCTTAACCCCTTAAGGATGGAGGCAATTGTCCAAGTTCTGAACAAAATAAAACCTAAAACTATATATTTGTTCAACAGTAATTTAAAACTTCCTCCCATACATATCCTATGTTCTGTTTTTTTAAAAGACAGAAAGGGATTTCTTTTAATATCCTATGTGTATACCTAACACAATATTGAGTGTGAATAAAATATTAAAAATGGAGAGGGTGGGGGAGGGGAATAAATAAAACAAGCTGAAAATAGATGCATGTATCAGTCCTGAATGTTTAATGCCTCATCTGTCCAGGATATAAATAATCTTTTGCTGGCTAATGCTAACCCTATACCAGTGATGGGCCCTCTCTGTGAGCATGCGGCTATAGGTCGCCGGGGGAGGGGGCCGCTGGCTGTCTGTCCCAAAACGGCAGGCACCTACTCTGCTTTCTGTCAGGAGGACACGGAAGCAAGGGGAGGAACCTAGGAAGCAGCTCTCCTGTCCGCCCGCTAGCAATCTGTGTGGAGCGTTGCCGCATGTTACCATGGCAACGCTCCACACAGCATCGCGCAGGAGGACAGGAGAGCTGCTTCACAGACATATACTTGCCACCACCAGACCACCAGGGCTGGCTGTGTCTCTTCCTCCTTCACCAAAGGTAAGAAGAAGGGAGGGGGGGAAACAGATTTAATATATATATATATTTTTTTTTTTTATGTATCTTTACCACCACCCTCACCACACAGAGTACTCCTACCCACCCCACACACAGCACCCCAACACCCCCACACCAGCCTACCCCCCACACACAGCAGCACCCCTACTTCCTCACACACACAGCACCCTACTTCCTCACACAGCACCCCTACCCCCCACACACAGCAGCCTTACCCCCACATACACAGCACCCCTAACCCCTACACACAGCACCCCCTAACCCCCACAAACACAGCACCCATCCCCCCACACAGCACCCATACCCCCCCACACAGCACAGCACCCCTAACCCCCCACACAGCACAGCTGGGGTAGGGGTTACCCCATCACACACACAGCACCCCTCCCACACACACAGCACCCCTCACACACTCCACACCCTTACATACAAACACATACACTACACCCCTCAATGCAGTATGTGTGTGTGTATTCAGCAGTCTGTATGTATTCAGCAATCTGTATGTGTGTGTATTCAGCAGTCTGTGTGTGTATGTATTCAGCAGACTGTGTGTATGCATTCTGCAGTCTGTGTGTATGTATTCAGCAGACTGTGTGTGTATTCAGCAGTCTGTGTGTGTATTCAGCAGTCTGTGTGTGTGTATTCAGCAGTCTGTGTGTGTGTATGTATTCAGTAGTCTGTGTGTACTCAGCAGTCTGTGTGTGTGTATTCAGCAGTCTGTCTGTATGTGTATTCAGCAGTATGTGTATTCAGCAGTCTGTGTATTCAGTGGACTGTGTGTGTGTATTCAGCGGACTGTGTGTGTATTTAGCAGTCAGTGTGTGTATGTATTAAGCAGTTGGTGTGTGTGAATGTGTTCAGCAGTCTGTGTGTATGTATTGCATTTGTTGGAGATACTAATAAATATAAGCTTAATTGTATCTATTTATCTATTTATATCATTATTTAAAATTTGTTTTATTTGAACTCTTTGTTGTTGCGTTCTTCTTTTAAAACAATAGTTGTTAATTAGTTCGGACAACTGTACAGGTTGTTTTTTCTAAACGTAATCCTCAGTATTCAGGTTTAATTGCTGTGTTGGTACTTTGAGGGAAAAAAGGTTGGCATGTATTGCGGTTTTGGCACTCAGGCTCAAAAAGGTTCGCCATGACTGCCCTATACCAATTCCCCCTAATGCTAAAGCAACTCTACCCACAAGTCTATGCTTAGACTAACTCTACCTTACACTAACTTACACAAGTTTTACCATACTCTAACACTAGCACTACCAGTGTACTCTTTATATAGAAAAGACAGGGAAGGCAAGAAAGGTGGAGGGGTAGCCCTGTATGTGAAGGATAGCATAAAATCTAACCTAATAAAAGTTAGTGAGGCAAACGGAAAATCCGTTTGGGTTAAGTTAGAATTTGGTAATCACACAGTAACTTGTGTAGGTGTGATTTATAGGCCCCCGGGACAAATAGAAGAGTTAGATAATCTACTAGTTGAGGAAATAGCTAAAATGACAATAAAAGGGGAAGTTATCATCATGGGTAACTTTAAAATTCATGATTTGAACTGGAATACCAAAATAGCTGCTTGGGCCAGGACCTCACATATTCTAAACTCCCTACTGTCTCTAAAACAAGTTGTTGAGAAGTCAACTAAGGAGGCCATACTAGATTTAGTGTTAACAAATGGAGATTTGGAATCAGATATTACTGTAGGTGAAAGTTTAGGATCCAGTGATCACCAGTCAGTGTGGTTTAATATAAGAACAGTGACTGAGTCACACCACACAAAAGTTTTAGACTTTAGAAAAACAGACTTGTCTAAAATTAGAATATGTGTAAAGGAGTCATTATCAGTCTGGAGCAGTTTAAATAGAGTCCAAGAGAAATGGGATTATTTAAAAGTTGCACTGCTGAAGGCAACAGAAAATTGCAGTAGGCTTGTCAGTAAAAGCAAAAAAATTAAGAAACCATTGTGGTACTCTACAGAAGTGGCCAAATTAGTAAAAAACTAAATGTTAGCATTTAGTAATTATAGAAAAAAAAAAAGTGGGGAAGAGAAATCTATAATATTCGGCAGAAAGAGGCTAAGCAAGTTATAAGAGCTTCCAAATCACACACATAAGAGAAAATAGCAGTCAGTAAAAAAAAGGGCAAAAAAAAGGGGGACAAAACATTTTTCAGATACATAAATGAGAAAAGGAAAGTAAAACAAGGATTAGTTAGATTAAAAACAAAAGAAGGAAGGTATATAGAAGAGGATAAATGTCTAGCTGACTGTCTCAATGAATATTTTTGTTCAGTATTTACAGCTGAAAATGAAGGAAAGGTACTCAGTTAGGAAGAAGGACAAATAAGTCATTTGTTACATGTGAGTCTACTTTTGACAGTTAAAATAGAACCTCTTCCTCTGTAAAGACAAATAAGTTGATGGGGCCTAATGGAATACACCCAAACTTATTAAAAGAGCTTAGTGGTGTACTAGCAAAACCATTAACGGATATATTTAACCAATCATTAACAGGAGCAGTCCCAGAAGATGGGATGATAGCGAATGTTGTGCCCATTCACAAGAAAGGTAGTAGGGAGGAGTTGGGCAACTATAGGCCAGTAAGCCTTGCTTCAGTAGTGGGGAAAATATTGGAAACCATGCTAAAGGATAGGACGAGACAGGGGGGATATGATAGAAACATTTAAATATATAAAGGGAATCAACACAGTAAAGGAGGAGACTATATTTAAAAGAAGAAAAACTACCACAACAAGAGGACATAGTCTTAAATTAGAGGGACAAAGGTTTAAAAATAATATCAGGAAGTATTACTTTACTGAGAGGGTAGTGGATGCATGGAATAGCCTTCCAGCTGAAGTGGTAGAGGTTAACACAGTAAAGGAGTTTAAGCATGCGTGGGATAGGCATAAGGCTATCCTAACTATAAGATAAGACTAGGGACTAATGAAAGTATTTAGAAAATTGGGCAGACTAGATGGGCCGAATGGTTCTTATCTGCCGTCACATTCTATGTTTCTATGTTTCTATGGATTGTTGAACATCTAAAATCACGTGGATTTCATGATCAGAGATAACATGGGTTTATTCAGGGAGATCATACCAAACTAATCTTATTGATTTTTTTGATTGGGTAACAAAAAATAATAAATCAGGGTGGGGCAGTGGACATTGCTTACCTAGATTTAAGTAAGACTTTTGCCACTGTTGCACATAAGAGGCTTATCAATAAACTGCAATCTTTAAGTCTGGATTCCAATATTGTTGAATGGGTAAGGCAGTGGCTGAGTGACAGGCAACAGAGAGTTGTAGTCAATAGAGTATATTCGAAGCATGGTCTTGTTACCAGTGGGGTATCTCAGGGATCTGTACTTGGACCCATTCTCTTTAGTATTTTTATTATTTTTATTAGTGATATTGCAGAAGATCTTGATGGTAAGGTATGCCTATTTTCTAATGACACTAAGATATATAAGAGGGTTGATGTTCCAGGAGGGATAAGCCAAATGGCAAGTGATTTAAGTAAACTAGAAAAATGGTCAGAGCTGTGGCAGCTGACATTTAATGTGGATAAGTGCAAGATGTAAAAACCCAAGCGCAGAGTAAAGAATATTTGAGGAAAGGGATTTAGGGGTAATTATTTCAGATGACTTAAAGGTAGGCAGACAATGTAACAGAGCAGCAGGAAATGCTGGCAGAATGCTTGGTTGTATAGGGAGAGATATTAGCAGTAGAAAAAGGGAAGTGCTCATGCCATTGGTGAGACCTCACTTGGAGTATTGTATGCAGTACTGGAGACCGTATCTCCAGAAGGATATTGATACTTTGGAAAGAATTCAAAGAAGGGCTACTAAACTGGTTCATGGATTACAGGGTAAAACTTACAAGGAAAAGTTAAAGGATCTTAGCATGTATAGCTTGGAGGAAAGACGAGACAGGTGGGATATGATAGAAACATTAAAATACATAAAGGGAATCAACACAGTAAAGGAGGAGACTATATTTAAAAGAAGAAAAAGTACCACAACAAGAGGACATAGTCTTACATTAGAGGGGCAAAGGTTTAAAAATAATAGCAGGAAGTATTACTTTACTGACAGGGTAGTGGATGGATGGAATACACTTCCAGCTGAAGTGGTAGAGGTTAACACAGTGAAGGAGTTTAAGCATGTGTGGGATAGGCATAAGGTTATCCTAACTATAAGATAAGGCCAGGGACTAATGAAAGTATTTAGAAAATTGGGCAGACTAGATGGGCCGAATGGTTCTTATCTGCCGTCACATTCTATGTTTCTAAATCTACACAAACCCTAACCCTACCCTTACACTAACCCTAAGGAAACTCTCTGCTAATTCTAATAAGTACCGATATCAGCAGAAGGGTTTCTCTATAATACTGAAAATCAGGCATGCTGCATACTCAGGTTTTGGTGCTGGACAGGCGGCAAAGCCCATAACCGATCACAATCGGCATGGGGCAATGCTGGAAGACCCTGTCATGGTCTGCTCAGATCCTGGTAGTTTCCCTTGAGTGCCTTCCAGAAAGATGAACTGCAAATGAGCGGTGTGTTTACAGCTACAGTGTTCTAAATGTATTTAAATGGCTGTATGCAGTGCTCACTTTTAGTGCTGCATACAGTTCATCGGTTAGCTGACATAGGGGTGTTAATGACTCAATGATATTTAACCCTGCCAACACCACATTGCAGCTATAGGCATTTAAATGTCTATTTAAAGGGACACTAAAGTCACCTGAACAACTTTAGCTTAATGAAGCAGTTTTGGTGTATAGAACATGCCCCTGCAGCCTCACTGCTCAATCCTCTGCCATTTAGGAGTTAAATCCCTTTGTTTATGAACCCTAGTCACACCTCCCTGCATGTGACTTGCACAGCCTTCCATAAACATTTCCTGTAAAGAGAGCCCTATTTAGGCTTTCTTTGTTGCAAGTTCTGTATAATTAAGATTTTCTTATCCCCTGCTTTGTTAATAGCTTGCTAGACCCTGCAAGAGCCTCCTGTATGTGATTAAAGTTCAATTTAGAGATTGAGATACAATTATTTAAGGTAAATTACATCTGTTTGAAAGTGAAACCAGTTTATTTTTCATGCAGGCTCTGTCAATCATAGCCAGGGGAGGTGTGGCTAGGGCTGCATAAACAGAAACAAAGTGATTTAACTGACAGTGAATTGAGCAGTGAAATTGCAGGGGATCTATACACTAAAACTGCTTTATTTAGCTAAAGTAATTTAGGTGACTACAGTGTTCCTTTAAGTAGTTGTAGCAGTGCTCATACAGCGCATCTGTCAGCGTGGGGCCACTAAAGTGGAGAGAAAGAGCAGAGATTGATTTGTGACAGGGTGGGTGCAATAGGAGGAGATGTGGGCATAGCTCCACACATAATTCTAATTAAAAGCACTGCTGCTGATCATTAGTGGTGTAGCAAGGTATGGAGGAGGGACTCTAATCAGATCTGGATTAAGGTTGCTCAGGTCCCTAGGCAGGGTGTATCTGTTTTTGGGCCCTGCCCTAGATCCCTGGGCTCTGTTTGTGTGAGTGGTGTGTATGAGTTTTGTGTGGAGGAGGCTGAGAGCTGTATGCAAGAGATGAGTGAATCACGATGGAGTGCGGCTGTACTTTGGACCTCCATGGAATGATTTTTAAAGAGCCACCAGAGAGAACTTTTGATCTCCCTGCTGGCTTGTGGTTGGCCTGATCAGAATCGATCAACAACATGCCTAATTAAAGAGAAGCGGTGCAGGGCCTGTCAGAGAAATTTTTTGATCTCCCTGCTGGTTTGTACTTAAGCCAATGCTCTGTCTATTAGGTTGTGTCTGGGTACACCCGGCACACCCTGTGTGCACTCCTATGCAGGAAAAGCAGTTTAGATTTTCCCTTATGTATTTTATAAAACTAGAGTGTCCAGGGGAAAAAAATAAATAAAGATTCAGACACAGAGAGCTATATAGAAGTGGATTATAGATATTTTAGTGATTGAATTCCTCTAATACTGATTTAACTTGCTGCCTTCTGGTGGTTGTATATTGTATATTGGTATAGTGTTAGTGATGAATGAAACACCCATTGCTGTACTTTTCAGCCGAGATGTTTGAAAAGCATGAAATGGTTTGTATTCATTCATCTATTTAGTTAGGATTAGTGGATGACTCCAGTGCATGCCCAATTACTACTAGCAATACCTTGAACTTTGCAATACCGCTGAACAGCCACGCCACACACAGTTAGTTGCAAGTCAGCTATAAACGTTTGATTTTTACATTTCTAACTTTCGTCATGTTCAACTGTATGTAGTGTAAAAATTCTAAACGATATTCATAGAAATAATGTGCCATAACTTCCAAGTAATGATGATTGCGCACAATTGTGATGACTAATGCAAAATGTAAAAGCGTATTCAGAAAGTTTTTTCAGTGCAGAGCTATTATATTGTCATTATTACAAGAATCCTGTTTAAAAGTTGTATTTTAAAGCAATAAAACTCTAAAGTAGACTAAGATTACCATTACCCTTTAGGCCCAGAATTGGTTTCTATACTTTTTGGAATTCAAATTGATATCACATGGTGATTGTGAAACTGAACAGAAGAGGCACATGCAGTATACGAATATAGAAAGGTAAAAGAGGATCTAAGTATGGAGATAAATGTCACGGATGAAGACAATATGACATTCAGCTGACTCACCTGTCCAGCATTCTTCAGACATTCTACCGCTTGCCGGTGTGTGAATCCAAGAAGACTAACATCATTCACCTCCAGCAAACGGTCTCCTGCAATAAACACAGAGGAATTAGGGTTGGCTCAAATGCATATGGTGTATCTTGTAGAGACGTTATTTTGCCAGTAATTTATCAAGTGTTTTGCAAGCTTCAAGCTTTGGTATATAATGAAAATCCTGTTAATTATTCTTGATAGAGAAGACATCAAAGGGAAAATGTTCCTGGTAAGTCAGCATTATACAATTATATATAAAAGATAATGCCATAGGCACTGGTTATTCTAGTTGCAAAAAATATCCACAGTGATGATATAGGTTTATAAAGCTGTGTTTGTGTGAAACTGTCTACACCACTAGGCGTGTGCGATAATGTAGCTCTGCTACATAGTTACATAGTTACATGGCTGAAAAGAGACCTGCGTCCTTCAAGTTCAGCCATCCTCACATTTGTTTTTTGCTGCTGATCCAAAAGAAGGCAAAAAAAACCCAGTTTTGCAACAAACCAGGGGGAAAAAATTCTTCTTGACCCCAGGATTGAAAAATGATATGCTTGAATATTCTGTTTTTGCAAGTATGCATCTAGTTGCTGTTTGAACATCTGTATGGACTCTGATAAAATCACTACTTCAGGCAGAGAAATCCACATCCTTATTGTCCTTACGGTAAAAAAAGAATTTCTCTTTGCATTAGACAAAATATTCTTTCTTCCAGTCTAAATGCCCTAGTGCCCTATGTAAAGTCCGGTTTGTGAATAGATTTGTGGATCATTGATATTATTGATTCTATTAGACACTCCCTTACGAAAGCCAACAACAGACAAATTTCCCAATTACATTTAAAGGGCAGATTTATTTGGAATCATGGCATTGTTACATATTAAAAATTAAATATATATATATATATATATATATAAAAAATATGTCAAACCCCTGCACTAAAATAAAAAGATATATTTTACCTGGTGCTCTGGTAGCTCAATTGTAGAAAGTGGAAAGACCGGCACTCAAGGAGTTTTAACAGCTTTTACTATGTAAAGATAAATCAACGTTTCAGCTCCACTAGGGAGCTTTCATCTGATGAAAGCTCCCTAGTGGAGCTGAAACGTTGATTTATCTTTACACAGTAAAAGCTGTTAAAACTCCTTGAGTGCTGGTCTTTCCACTTTCTATATATATATATATATGCACATAATGCCTAGAGAGATTCAGCATGGATTTTGATCAAATACCAAGACAAAGTGTCAGAGACTTTGAGAGCAACTTGAGACGCCTACGTATCTTACCTCTCATAATCTTTCCATTCCGATCAGCTGGTCCCATTGGAATAATGCTTTTTACATAAATCCCTCCATGTCGGACACTTGTATTAACTCCACCCTAGGAATATAATAAATAGTTTATTTTTACATATTATGGATTCCTGGTACTGCTAGAAATGTACAGTATAGATTGGCATTGATATAGACTGCAATTGTACTGTTTCTAATTTTTATTTTAAGCAGGTCCATGGCTGAGATCATTAGTCTTCATGACTTCAGCTAATCCAATGCTTTACCATAGGATACCATTGAAAGACCATTGTGCATGCGCAGCAAAATGCAACACTGCACAAATCAGTGTCTCCTCATAGAGAATGGAGTACATTGAATCAATGCATCTCTACGGGGAGAGTTCAGCGTATTCATGCAGATCACCTCTAGTGGCGTCTCAGCAACTGTAGCAATGTAAACACTATTTTCTCTGAAAAAGCAGTGTTACAATGAAAAGCCTGCAGGGACTGACTATAGACACCAGAAACACAACATTAAGCTGTAGTGATTCTGGTGACTATATTGTCCCCTTAAAGGAGCACTATAATGCCAGGAAAACAAACCCATTTTCCTGGCACTATTGAGTTATTAGGTTCCCCCCTCCCTTGTGGCCCCCCTCCCACTGGGCTGAAGAAGTTAAAAACCCTTCAGCCACTTACCTTAATCCAGCGCCGGGTTCCCTCTGTGCTGGGGAACTCTCCTCCCCCTGCCAACGTCAGCTCCCGTGTGGAGCCGCATGCGCAGCCAGTGCTTTCTCTGAAACTGCTATGTTTTCAGCTGCAGGGTTAAAACAAGGGGGACTTGGCACCCAGACCACTTCATTGAGCTGAAGTGGTCTGGGTGCCTATAGTGGTCCTTTAATTAATGGAACATATACGTATCATTGAGTAAATTGCATTCGTAATATTTTTCTTTTGGTTTTTCCTTTCTTTTTGATGTTGAATTTGCAAATGTTATCGTGTCACCCATTTTGCAACATGAACAAAGTATGTAATGCTGATAATGATGTAAAATGGCAAAATGTTCTATAAAATGAATGTTACAAAAAAAACAAAAAACAATTAAACAGTGAATTTATAATATAGGAATTTAAAGGGAAAATATTTCAGAATGCAACTTCCCCCATATTTAAGTAACAGCAATTGTTTCTGCAATGATTTCAATAATCTAAAGCTATTCCCTAGTTATACAAGTGTATTGATGGTTGGTGCTCACTTACCGTCACACTGAAGCCAAGGCTCTCATCTTCTCTCCGTAGCTGCACTAGAAATGTATTATCTGATCTTATCTCAGTACTATCTCTTCCAACTACGTCCTGAATCACAAAGTAAAAGCATTATTGTGTTTATATATTTCACTTAATAGATTTCTCATAATAGATTCTTGTTAAAAAATCCCAAGCACCATAACCACTACAGCGCACTCCAAATGCAACAGTCAAACTATTTGGAAAAGGTTTCACGTTTTAACTGGGGTCTACCTGGAACCACTCCCTGCCTCTTCCGTTCTGATTCTGAGAGTCAGAAGTCCCTAGCATTTCGTATTAGCAGTGCACAAGAAGGGAGGTAGCAAACACTGACTACTTCTGTGTTAAACTGTTCAAAAACGGTTTAACACAAGACAGGAAGAAGGTCATTGGCAGACTCCAGGCATCATACCCACTTCATAAAGATGAAGTGGTTATGGTGCCAATAATGTTCCTTTAATATATGTTTGAAGAGAGGCAGAACATGAAAAAAAAAAGTTAAAGGTGATTTTCAACTATTCATCGTGGTAATAAAAGGTCTACGTGAGTTTGCATTTCATGTATTGTGTATGCTCGAAAACAGTAATCTACTTATTTTCTATTTTGAATATATATCTTAAAAACTATATAATGAGTTGAGAATTTGTATTTAACCCTGCTCATGAGAGTTAGTTTAATCTTCTCTACAGGGATTTGTTTGCACTTGAAAATCATTCTACATGTGTCATTGAGATCTATAGCTTCTTTTGAACAGCGAAACAATACTAGTTATACCTACCAAGTCTTGGGAAAAAACATAGTTCCGACCATCATCAGTCAAGTGTCCTTGGTTAGGTGAGACATTGAAGTTTTCTCCCATTAAACTCATTTGGCTGCTATGCGATCCATGTAAGCCTGAAATCAGACTGCTTCTCAAATTCTCTCCTTTAATGGTATCTAAACTTTGTCTTTCTGAGTAATTGCAATTGATCTTGCTAGCTGTGGAGAAAAGAAATTAAGTTAAAATAATTTGTTAATTACTAAAAATACACAAGAAGTTAAAAAATATGGTTACGTGTATTAGGTTTGAAGGAATAGCCAAGCATGTTTTCCATGTAAAGCGAATCAAAGAAAGATGAGTTTCAGCTTACAATATATTCACTGTAGGTCTATTCAGATTAAATGGAAAAAAAATAATGCTGCCAGTGATACAGTTTGAACAAATTAAATCGGATGGTCAGGACTGGGTTAGTCCTATCAGCATTGCACTCCTGTACACATTTCTGATGTATTGCAATGAAAAAGTGTTCATGATAAAGGGTAGCGTGTTATAGGCGGTGAGAATCAGCAGAACCGCCAAGCCAATCCTTCATCATATCAGTATGGCAGCTACAATGAGGAGAGAGGAGGCAGGACAGGATGGTGCTAACTTCAGGGACACAACTTCAGGGTTAAATTGTTTAAAAACGGTAAGGTAAGAGGGCGCAGAGGAACTATAGCTCCCATAGCAACATCATTGAGATGAAGATACTTTGGGAGTGAAGTGTTCCATTAATTTACATTTTTTGACAATCAAATTATGTGATTTTAACCTTTTATATACACCATTTAGGGAATTTTATGAGTATACAGGAACCCAAATCATAAATACATTTTCATTGAAATATAGACAATTTTTATAAATTAACCTGGTTACAGCCCCTGGCTGACAATCAGACAACATATCCTGTTACTTCTTGGTTAGGTTAGCTCACTGGAGCTAAACTCAAGAGGCAGTTAATTGGCCAGAGCACCTGCTTTGCTAAAGCGTTTCATTGGTCTTCATTTGGAATTCTGTAATTGGACAGTCACAGAGGTCACAGACACAGACAGTATAGGTGGTGTAAGAAGGGGAGGGTTTACAAAGGCTTCAGACAAGAGATCTTCAGCTTTTGCAAATTTTTTGGGAAATGCCCTCAATGATAAAAAGCATAATTAAATACATGCAAGTTTTATTGGTGTATATCAGAGTTTGTTTGTTTTTTGTTTTGATTTTTTTTTTTTTATTCTTTTGTTTCGGTTTGGGCAGTGGAGTACCCCTTAAATTAAAACAAGTGAAATTCACCCAACTTATCCTTCTTTGTCTTTTTAAAATACTACAAAGTAGTTTCTCTAATGTAGATGTTATGTACAATTGTCCAATATTGACCAAAAGTTGAGATGAACATCAATTCATTGTCATTCTTCTTTTTTATTACATGAAGCTATCCAGGTCAGCCATTCCATTAACATGCCTCCCAAGTGTCCCTATTTAGGATGGGCGGTCCCTATCTTGGGCACAAATACCACTGTCCCTTTGTCCCAACGTCCCTCTTTTCTAGGAGCTCCATATTGTTGATGTGTATAACAAAGTCATTATATTCACAGTCATGTTTCTTTAAAGGACCACTATAGTGCCAGGAAAACATACTCGTTTTCCTGGCACTATAGTGCCCTGAGGGTGCCCCCACCCTCAGGGACCCCCTCCCACCTGGCTCTGGAAAGGGGAAAGGGGTTAAAACTTACCTTTTTCCAGCGCTGGACGGAGAGCTCTCCTCCTCCGATCCTCCTTCTCTCCTCCCCGTCGGCTGAATGTGCACGCGCGGCAAGAGCTGCGCGCGCATTCAGCCGGTCACATAGGAAAGCATTCATAATGCTTTCCTATGGACGCTGGCGTGCTCTCACTGTGAAAATCACGGTGAGAAGCACGCAAGCGCCTCTAGTGGCTGTCAATGAGACAGCCACTAGAGGATTAGGGGGAAGGCTTAACCCATTCATAAACATAGCAGTTTCTCTGAAACTGCTATGTTTATGAAAAAATGGGTTAACCCTAGCTGGACCTGGCACCCAGACCACTTCATTAAGCTGAAGTGGTCTGGGTGCCTAGAGTGGTCCTTTAAACTACAGTACATGTCTTTACATTTTGATTGCATAAATTGTTATTAGTAAGTCACCTAAAATTTCTCAGAACAGTCTCACCCCTGGCCACACCTCCAATCACACCCCTGAAATTAAAATGACCCTATTTTTCCATTGGAAATGTTTGGCAGTTTATATTAAGGTTTGTATTCGTAGAAATCTACAGTTTTTACATTGAACATAAGTTCACCAGTTGGCAGAAGGACTAATCAGAAGTGTTATTTTGTCATAAAATTCATTTATGCAATATTGTCAGTTTGTGATGATTTACGCACCAATGTCTGCTGCATTTTTGCACTATGTATTAATGCCAGCTGCGTTTTTTTAAAAGTAATCACTTTTTATATGTGTTCTTTTAGAGATGAACATAAAATCAGATGCATCTATGGTCACAGTACCTCTTGGTTGGGAGAGAATGAGGTCAGCCTCTTCGCCACAGTTCTGCAGGATGTTAACAGCACTTTTGAAGGTAACACCTTCTAAACTAACGTTATTCATAGAGATCAAACGACCACCTGGTAAAGAAGCAAAACATGTAAGTGAGTATCCTGTAATTCAAGCGTGTCAAACTCAAAGTGTGGCACGGCCACATAAACAAGGTTTAAGTTTATGTGGGCACACACACACAAACACACACACATACTGACAGACACACACACATACTCACTGACAGGCAGACATACACACACACATACTCACTGACAGACATACACACATACTCACTGACAGACAGACACACACACACACTGAGACACACACACTGAGACACACACACAGACACACTGACAGACACACACATACAGACACACTGACAGACACACACACACACACACTCACTGACACACACATACTTGCTGACAGACACACACAGACACACACTCACTGACAGACAGACACACACACATACAGACACACTGACATACACACACACATATACGTGCTGACAGACACACACTCACTGACAGACACACACATACTTGCTGACAGACACACATACTCACTGACAGACAGACACACACACTCACTGACTGACAGACACACACACATACTCACTGACAGACACACGCACACACTCACATGTCCTTCCTGCTCCTCACTGCACCCTCGCGTGCGCCGACTGAAGTGATGCCGGCGCACACGAGGGTGCAGTGAGGAGCTGGAACACTGAGCTCCCTCACGGCCCTCCTCCCCGGCCAGGTAAATTTTAGCAGAGTAGGCACCTGCAATATGGGGAAAGCAGGTGCCTACTCTGCTTGGAACACTAAGCATGTACGCTCGGCTCCCCAGGCCGCAAAGAGGGTCCTTGTGGGCCGCATGCGGCCCGCGAGTTTGACATGCTTGCTGTAATTCTTTAAAGAAAATGGACTGTACTCATTTTTTTATTATGTATGAAATGAAGAAATGTTATGCTATTCTTACTCCTGTAGAATGATCTTTCCTGTACAACGGCCTCAGAGTACTGTTTTACCTGAGAATTGCTTTAATGTTTCCAGCACTGAAATGGTTAAAAAAAGGAATCACATAGGAGTCAAGCTGCTGATGCGATTATCTTACTTTCTTTTATTACTCTACAATCCTACTTTGGACGATATTGTCACACATCTGGATCTGTAGAAGCATTAACAATTTTTAAAAAAGGAATCACACTAACAGTGTTATTCGCTAAATTGAGAATTGTTGGGAATGCAAAGTGAATTTAAAATGTATGGCCAATGTATCTGAACTGATGAATCAATGCATCTCTATGGGGAACGTTCAGTATCTCCCTGCAGAATGTGAAAAGCTGAATGCCAGTGATGCACCCTGTACAGGAAAAAGGCAGTGTTTGCATTGGTGTCTAGGAACACCTCTAGTGGCAAGCAATCAGATAAAAAGCCTGCAGTGACATGCTATAGACACCAAAACCGCTAGATAAAACTGTATGCTAAACTTAGCTCCCATCTGTGCTGCTTGAGCTAATGAGAACGTATTAGTAGTCTATGTAACACTTAGATGCAGTGATTGGCTAAGAGCATCAGCTGACCACTTTTAGCCTATCACAGCCACCACTGCTCCTATGAATTGATATGGCAAGTAGGAAGTGTGTAACCTCTAACCCTAACCATACCTTTGCTAGGGGCTGATCTGTGTCACACTGCTCGAGAATGGCTTAATACTGAATGGGGGGCCAGTGCCTGGGATCCCAGGTACTAAAACCAATTCAAGATAAAAATTGATTATATAACTGATAAATCAAATAAATGCAATTCGGTGTTTAATTAATAAACACTATAGTTACATATCTGCTATCAATATCTTCCACCTCTGAAATCCTAATCTACATCAGGTAAAACATACCTGCATCCAAAAGTAAATGTTTTAGTAGTATGAGGACTTCCAATGAGACCTTATATGTAAAATAATCTATCTCAATGCTTTGAGACATTAACCATATTATAAGAAATTTGGAGCAGATTGGTTTATGTCCCTGACCTGGTTTGATGCGTCCATCCAGCTCAGCGGGTCCCCCGGGAATTATAGAAGCTACAAAAATACCAAGATCTAGTTTCCCAATATTCTCTCCACCAATGATAACAAAACCTGTGGATTAGCAGTCAAAGGTTTAGCATAAATACAAACAAATTGCAATTTAGTAATTGAAGACCATCTGTCAATGAATCTATACCAAATATAATGATATTTTTAATTTGTACAGTGCAAACAGATGTACATAACCCTTTGTAGCTTATTTTACAGTGGTAGAACCAATAGGTATACAGATATTATAAGTTGATTCATCGATATTCTAAGAAGCTGCTCAGACATATGAAAAGTTATAACGCTTTATGTAACAAGGACAAGCAAAAAGATTTTTATTTAACTGCCCCTGGAACCACACTTGGTAGACTTGGGTGTTTCATCTGAATTTTCGGCAATTTGTTCATTTGTCCAAAACACACATTGATAAATGCAAATTCTTACAAATGAAACAAATGTAGTTCTTTCATTCATTCGTAATTTAGTTACAAATAGGAAGATACCTATAATTTCCTTGTAATGTTTAAAATCCCCCTTATTGACCTATGAGGGTCAATAAATAATAATAACAAAGTATTTACCCAGGAAAGGTACATTCAGATTGCTCTGGTTTCCAAGTACATCCTGGGGATGTTAACTATTACCCAATTTAATGGTACTCAATTTGTCTACCTTGGGAGGATGGAGGCTAAGTCAACCATGCAGGATTCAACTTACAACCCCCAAGAGTTGAACAGAGTCTGATGATAATGCATTAGCCCACTGAGCTATCTCACAAGCTCACCTTCTAAGCATACCAATCAGAGTGCTCTGAAAGGAAAATCTTGAGATTTGGGTTTGTGGGGTTTGTGGCACAGTTAATTAATTTATAGGAGCAAGGGGAAACTGTGCCATATCTCTTTTACTGGATTAGCGACTGGCTAGCAAAAACTGGCCTTTTGCTAGTTTTTTTTTATGACAGCAAGCAGCCATTGGCTGTTAGCTGTATAGTAGACATACCCCTGCTTACAACACAGTGGATAGGGACAGGAGATAGGATTTAATCTCTCTTATTTACTTATACCCAGTATTTTTACTTTGCATTAGTAAATTTATCTGTAAGACCAAAATTAAGAAAAAAGGAAGGGCTTTTCATAATTCTGTTCTTTCAGCTTCTTAGTAGATAGCTCCCTAATCCTTATGTGGGACTGCCATAAGGATACCAAAAAGGAGTTATCTACTAAACACAGCTCCCTAATTTAGTACTCTTAAATATGGCAATCCCACAACGGTACCAATTTAGGGAATTATTGTTAACCCCCTGCCCCCTCCCCCCCCACACACACACACTCAGTCCCCAAACATAGTCATCCCTTAACTCATCCTGCTGCACTTCGACCTATCAATTCCCCCCCTTATCCTGACATACTAACCACCCAAACCTTGTCACATCCACGTAGCCTCACCCTGTGACACTCACCTCCACCCTCATCCTGCCACCCAGTAACACTTGTCCCCTCATCCTGCCCTACTCACACTGTAACCCTCACTTCCCTAACCCTGCCACACTCACTACCTCATCCTGTCATAACCCTGCCACAGGTTCTCCTACACACACCCTGTCAGAGACAACCCCTTAAAGGATTACTCCAACCATCATGACCACTTCTATAAAAATGCTGCACATACTGAGATATTGTTACTTGTGTGCTAGGGGCTAGTAGCACCCACAGCACACCTGACTTAGGAAGTCTAGGCAGTCCAGTTGAGTCAAAACATTGCTGTTTGTTTGCCCCAATAAAGCTGCTGTTATGCTATCTACTTGAGAGCCTGGATCATCACTTTACTTTACATACCAAGCTGCCTAATATCAATTCTGTGCATAAATCATATAGGTTTTCAAAATCATTTCATAACCTCACACTACTTGCCCTAGGACCATTCAACCACCAGAATGAAAAAATCCTGCTTGCCAAGTTCCCAGAAATACATGACAGATGATATCATTTCCACATGCTTTTACAATATACAATACAATGTGTGTCTGACATTGTGTATCTGGCTGTCTGTATATCTGTTTAAATGTATATGTGTGACTCTGGCATTATCTACTTGTGTATATGCCAGACTGTGTGTGTGTGTGTAATTCTGAATATAATGCTGGATATCAGATTCATTACATGGTACAACATAGTCTTACCTAGTCCATATCTTGGGTCCTTCCTCAATTTGACATGTAGAATCTCTCTTTCTGCCTCATTTACTGAACTCCACTTCGGGTTGTTCTGGGTACCTGAATAAAATAACAAAGATTTCAATAAACAATCTGTGTCCAGCACTTGGTATCATTAACTTTTTTATCTAATTACTTAGTAACGTGCACTATATGGCCAAATGTATGTGTGCACCCCTATTGAAGTGTCTCTGTCACCTCAACTTACTTTAGTCCTATTGTTTCTTCTTCTCTTCTGCTTTCAGAATCTGTTCCTCTGTTATTAATTTCCGATCTATTGCTCTTTAAAACAAAGACTACTTTGTCCTATGTATTTTCCTATGCCTGAAAAATATTGATAAAGGGTGGAACTTAAGGCAAGCTCCAATATTTGATAAAGGAATTGGAGCTTGGTTAAGATCCCCTCTTTGTCAAGATTGTCAAGTGTAGGATAAATCATCAAAGCTGACCTCGTTCCAACTCCACCATACCTCAGTGGCAACCTCAGTATTCAAAAAAAAAAAAAAATGACCATTAGACTACTGAACATGGCTAAGCATTTGAAACCCCTATTCTGGCTTAAGCCAGATCCACCACCTCATTTCTCAATGAAGGACCTCAGAGCAAGGGAGGAGCTCATAGTTAAGACATTTATATGTACACTGCGATCTAGGCCCAATGGTTGACCACTATGGAGTCCACTGATTTTTATTTTCACTCTGCCCTTTATTCAGGGCTGTATTTACCACAAGGCAAACAAGGCATTTGCCTAGGGTGGCACTTTCAGAGGGGCGCCAAAAAACACCACCCAAGCTCCCAAACAAATGCCTTGTTTGCCTCATGTCCTGGGTCTGTCCTTCTTAGTGCCCCTCCCGAGGTGTTAAACTACTAATAATCTAGCCAGGTGGCAAGGAAGCGCTGTCCTCCACTCTTCTTGCTCTCTCACGCTCTGTGAGTCTGTGAGCATAGCTGTCAGTGCGTGTGTAGCTGTCAGTGTGTGTCTGTCAGTGAGTGAAAGTGTGTGTCTGTCAGAGTGTGTCAAATGGGTGTATCAGTGTGTGTCTGTCATTTTATGTGTATCTGAGAGTGTGTCTGTCAGTGAGTGGGTGTGTCAGTGTGTGCCTGTCAGTGAAAGTGTGTGTTGGTTAAACAGTGTGTGTTGCAATGACTGTATATGTGTGCCAATGACTGTGTATCTGCAATTGAGTGTATGTCAGTGCATGTATCAATGAGGGCCTGTGTCTGTCAGTCAAAAAAGTGACCTTGACACAAATTGGGGGGGAGGAAGATTTAGATTTGGGGGGTGCCCAAATCTAGTGGTGCCTAGGGCAGCACAAATCCAAAATATACCACTGCCTTTATTACCCATTAGATTAAGGAGGCACATGACATTGATATGTTTACAGCACAATTGCCTCAATCTCCTAAATCATTCCACAAAATTTGGGACCCATGGCTGAATGGAAACATAGCTTAATCTTAATATTTTTAAGATGTTTTTGGTGGATTCTTCTTTCTTAAGTCTCAGTGTACTTGGCAAACTCCTTCCCCTCCCACCCTTTTATACTCCTTGTTCCATTATTTCTCTTTCATGGAGTCGAAAAAACATTCTTTCACTCAGCTTTTCTTTTTAGTTCTTCTCTCTACTCCCTTTACTTCTGCTTTTTTCTTTTTCTTCCCTTTTTCTCTACTTGCTGAACATAGTGTGATTCCTTGGCTGCCTACCCATATGTTTCCTTTTTGTCTTTCTCTCTCCTATTCTTACATTAAGCACCTTAGCATACTGCACTGGTAACAGGCATCACCAAGGTCCAACACTACCTTCGTTCACACTCCTGTTGCATCTGATCTTTTCAGTCCTTCTTTTGAACACATAGCCCTTTGGCTTCTTCCCTCCCCATTTTCAGTTCGCTCCATTTTCAGTCCTTGTAATTTTATGTAACTTAACTATTTTTTGTTGTTTTGGTTTTCTTTTGTTATAGTGTTGAGTTTGGACAAGGCAAGACCATAATGTTACTAGGTCACTTTTGTTGAGTGTCTGTTTTGTATGTGTGCAATACTTGTTACTGCGAGTGATCCCTTGTTTCTTTTCTCTCTGTTAGTTTAAATCCCTCGTTTTATTGTGTATTGTTTTGTGATGCATATTCAAAACTCCAAATAAAAAAAATAAAAAAATTAAAACAAGAAAAGTCTCTGAAAAATAGGAGAACATCTCCCTCTACTGGAATAAATTTTGAACTTCACTTACAATAAGAAGCCTGTTTAAAATGTAAGGTGCCATTTTACTTTTCATACATTCAAAAAGGCTTCAAATGCCATTGTTTTACTATTTTGCTAAATACCATCAACAATATGTATTATTTCAGTTTTTATGCATGCTTAAACATACACATACAGACAAACATATTTGTATGAATATAGCAAACTGATCAGCCAAATGGTAATGTTCGGCTCAGGAAATTATACATCTCTCCAGACACAACTTTTGATATATTTTGGTCTAAATAATGTAATATATATATATATATATATATACACATATACACAACTATCCTCCTTCTCCTTATATATATAATATAATAAAGATGAGGGAACTTGATAAAGACCTGTTCGGTCGAAACTTTGATCCATATTGGCAACATTCAAAATAAATTTTTTGTTATTTGGAAATCCATTGAGTGCCCTCAGCGCAGAGCAGCACCTTGGTGTAAGTTTTTTTGTTTATTACTTGAGGATTGAGTGCCAGACTTACTATTTCTTTTTTCATATATATTTATTTTATTATTATTATTATTTATTTATTTTTTGCATTGTTGGTGTTGTTCCATTAAAATGACCAAGTATTTTTATGATCGCGTCCTTTACAAAATTATGTGATTGAGTGTCATACTCACTGCAGGATGTGTTCCGACTACAGTGCATGGATAGGTAATCTGAACTCTGCTTGTAGGTTTGCTTCAGAGGATCATCGGTAAACGAGCTGGAGAGAGACATACATGGTTAAAGCCATAATAGTGCTGTGAAGAAATCCCTCTTCATGTGTTCTATTTCTTCCATATTCATTTGGTAGATATAACTACCGAACAGAGACCACCCCCTGGCTCGTTAAACTTCAAAGAATGCTTCAATTGAACCCTCTATCTGTGCGGCCAGTGTTCGTACTACCGAACGCCACGTGGCTGAGAAAACGGCGGCCATCTTTTTTCAGGCGAACAAAGGCTTGGTCGTCGAGTGTCTGGAACTTAAATCAGACACTCGACTTCCTGAACATCGGTCTCAACAAGCGAATGCTGGATCTCTATTTCCCGAATAGCTAGAAGAGCGCTTTTCGGTACTTTTGTGCATTCGAACGAGGGGAACAATCGCTGCTAAGAGGGGAATCCATTTGTGGAATTATTCGTTTTTTGCCACTTAACTGAATAGACTGGCAAAACCACCCAAAATCCTGGAACTGTTTTGGGCAGCCACCTCGCGGTTAGCCAGTCACAAAGGACTTCTACACTTTTTGAGAACCCCTGAACCGATCTGGGTGAAATTTGAATATGTTGGTCACCCAGATCGGGGCTATAAGGGGACATATTTGTGGGGATACCCCATGTCTAAAGTGGTGTTCTGGATATTGGGGAAAATTGTGATTTTTCTGCCTGGAGATAATCAAGTTATTACTTTATCAGACTTGATTATCTCCAGAACTAAGGGAGGGAATTGTATGTTTGTGCTGGGTGTGTTTTACTGTTTTCCTGTAACTGATTGGTTATACTGTGTCCCTCCCTGTGGGATGTCCCCTTGCATGGAGACTTGCATAAAAGCCTTTGTGTGGTCATTAAAAGCCAGTTCTTGACTTCAGCTGATGTTTGGGGATTTGTATGCTTTATTAAGGGAATTATCTTGTAAAGCTATTTGTAGTCGTATGGATTTTGTCTATTCTATCTATGGAACAGAGAGCTATACTCACTGATGCTCTGGCGGTTCGGGAGGAAACTACCGAATGAGAATTGAATATACTAGGTTTCCTTACAAGTGCCTAAACATTTTAAAAAAAAATTAAGATATTGAGAATGAGAAAACAATGAGACACACAGATGTAGTAAAAAGTACTGGATCCCCAACATTGCATTTTAATATGTATTTCATTGTTAGGTGGTTAAGTCTCTTCAATGTTTTTTTAAGTTGGCAGACTGTTTACCTTTGGCATGCAGACTGTCAATAAGCAATATGATTGTCTGTCAAACATGTTCAATCTACCATGCAGATAACAAAAACAAAAGTTGCAAGTATATAGAGCGTTCAACAAAATATCTCATCACTAAGTATATAAATATATTTCCCAAGCACAAATGTATCACCACAATGAATTTTACATTTTAGGCTGAAGTAGTAGAACTGGAAGCATACATGGATTTGAGAACTTCTCCACTTCAGCTATTTTGGCCTTCAATTTGACATTTATTTTTAATTCACTTTGAATTCTCATTTTACTGAATAACACTATAGGACTTGGGCATGTACAAATTCACACGCACATTGGTAACTATGTCTCACCTGTATAGAGTGCTCTCTTCTCCATTTTTATTGTCAAGACTTATGATGTCACATGACTTACTCAGGATCCTGTTTCTCACATCCTCAGCATGGGCAAAACATAAGACATTCTCTGAATGTGACATTCTCTGCATCAACAGAAGATCATCTTGTTGAGCATCATAGACTGTGTCCATCTCATGGGAATCCTCTGGAATACCAAACACATTATACATTGACCAGCTCCGGGCCATCTGTCTAGACTTTGTTGTTTGTTCATGTTCACAACCTTCAGACAAGAGCCATTTGGAAATTAAAAGGAACACTCTAATATTAAAAATAAATATATTTAGATTTAACATTAGCATGCTCCTTATTGCATTTCTACAACTGGTCGATCTTGTTATACAACAGAAGGGAAAAAATGACAAAATACGTACCTGTAATCCAGAGGTGAGATAGCCACCTTTGTGAAGTTGCTCAGATTAAGTCATCAGCTTTGATAACTTTGTCCTATCAAGTGCTTTTCATGGAGAAATATTTAGGTGTAGGTAGCATGCACAACAATTGCTGTGCCATTTCAACAAAATTCTTCTCACAGAGAAGTATTGAATCCAGAGTGTCTTTATGAGGAGCATTGGATGATTTTCACATTACAATGCTATACGAGATGATGCCTAATGTGAAGACCATCAAAACTCAAAGGTCTCTCCAATGAGGAAGCACATCTAATGGCTGTCAGTTTGACAGCCACTACAGACATGGTTTAGGTAAAATGCAAACATGAGAAAAGGCGATGTTTTACATTGGCAGATAAAACAAATTTCATTAAAGGACTCCTCCATATGTAAATACTTTTCTAAAGTATTTTCTCAATGTCCTGTGATAGACTGATAGTGTCAGCTGATGTTCTCTGCCTAGCACTGGAACCCCACTGAAAGGCCTCTACATTGAAAACAGAGAAGGCAAATGGGCTAGGGTAATGGGTCCATCAGAGCACTCAGGGTTATGATCATAAAGTTAAAAGAGATAATGTTGCATAGCAACTTTCAGGAAAGAGTTGATTGAATAAGTAAGTACTGTTTTAATAGTTCAAGAAGGAAACAATAAAAAGCATGAGAAGGAGGATAATTGTCAAACGTTTGGGGGTTGCAAACTGAAAGAAAGTAAGGATGTGGGTTTTAGACCCAAATAAGTTATGTGAAAGAAACAGTCTAAAAAGAGAAAGCTAAGAAAGAAAACATGGGTTATGCAGGCTGATTGTGCATGTTTGTTGGGGGGGGAGGTGGGGTGGATACAATAGTAATGCAGATGTTAAAGGCCATGAGCAGTGAGGGTGTCTGGACAGACCAGCTCCACTGCCTACTCACCTAGTCCTACTTCTTTAGGTCTGAAAAGACCAAAAGACAAGCCCTACTCCAAGGTAACTTTTTAAAATATTAAAGACAGCCCTGGACATTTGAAATATAATTTAATGTGATTCCCAATTGTGTTAAGGGGTTCCTCACCTGCAGTTCCTTGGTGCTGCTGAAGGTTAGAATTGAAGGTTCGGATGGCATTGCACAAGTTCAGAAGATATTTAGATGTCTTATTACTGTCTGTGAGAAATGAGTGTTTCTTCCCACTGGAGTAACTCACCACAGAAAATTTCTTCCTCTGCAAATGAAGGAATTAATATGTTTCAGTTAAATCTACAATATTTCAGCAGTAATTTAACAGAATGTAGTTGTGAGAAATTATGCAGTAATTACATAGTTACATAGTTACATAGCTGAAAAGAGACTTGCGTCCATCAAGTTCAGCCTACCTCACATTTGTTTTTTTGCTGTTGATCCAAAAGAAGGCAAAAAAACCCAGTTTGAAGCACAATTTTGCGACAAACTAGGAAAAAAATTCCTTCTTGACCCCAGAATGGCAGTCAGATTTATCCTTGGATCAAGCAGTTATTACCCTACACTGAAAGATTATATCCTTGAATATTCTGTTCTTGCAAGTATGCATCAGGTAGCCGTTTGAACATCTGTATGGACTCTGATAAAACCACTTCTTCAGGCAAAGAATTCCACATCCTGATTGTTCTTACAGTAAAAAAACCTTTCCTTTGCCTTAGACGAAATCTTCTTTCTTCCAGTCTAAACGCATGGCCTCGTGTCCTATGTAAAGTCCGGTTTGTGAATAGATTTCCACACAATGGTTTGTATTGGCCCCGAATATATTTGTAAATGTTATCATATCCCCTCTCAGGCGACGTTTTTCTAAACTAAATAGGTTTAAATTTGTTAACCTTTCTTCATAGCCGATATGTTCCATTCCTTTTATTAGTTTTGTAGCCCGCCTCTGCACTTTTTCTAGTGCCATAATATCCTTCTTTAGAACAGGTGCCCAAAATTGCACAGCATATTCAATATGGGGTCTTACCAGTGATTTATAAAGAGGCAAAATGATATTCTTGTCCCGAGAATGAATGCCCTTTTCATGCATGACAATACCTTACTGGCCTTGGCCACTGCTGATTGACATTGCACATTGTTGCATAGTTTGTTGTCTATAACAATTCCCAAGTCCTTTTCGTGTGTTGTTATCCCTAATTCGCTTCCATTAAGGGTATACGTTGCATGTGTATTCTTTACGCCGAAGTGCATAACTTTGCATTTTTCAACATTAAATTTCATCTGCCATTTGAGTGCCCAGTCCCCCAGTCTATCTAAATCCCTCTGCAGCAAAGTAATATCTTGCTCACATTGTATTGTTTTACAAAGTTTGGTGTCATCTGCAAACACTGAAACGTGACTTCCAATGCGGTCTTCAAGATCATTTATAAACATGTTAAATAGAAGGGGTCCCAGGACAGACCCCTGAGGGACACCACTTGATTCTTCTTATGTGGCCTCATGAATATTGATACACAATTAATGGGGCAAATTGTCCAATATTATATGTATATAGAGTTATCTACTAATATGAGAATTTAAAGTGATTTGCAATTTTAAAAGAACACTATACAGGAATGCGTTTGTGTTCCTGACCCTATAGTGTTAAAATTGCCTCTTTGCCTCCCTTAACTCCCTAAATATAGTATTTTGCCTTTATTCCAGTCTGCTGGTGCTGATCTGCCTTCTTGGCTGACATCATCAGAATTGGTGCTCCAAGCCAATCACAATTGGATTGGCTAAGAGAGTCAAGAAGGCAGATCAGTGGCAGAGCCAGCACAAACCAAACACACCCCTGGCCAGTCAGCATCTTCTAATAGAGATGCATTGAATTAATGCATCTCTATGAGGAAAGTTCAGTGTCTCCATGCAGAGGGTGGAGACACTGAATGTCAGGTATCCCTAGGGTGTAATTTAAACACTGCCTTTTCTCTGAAAAAAAACTGTGTTTACTTCAAAAAGACCGAAATGGATTGATTATACTCACCAGAATAACTACAGTAAGCTGTAGTTGTTCTGATGACTTGTCATTATAGTGTCCCTTTAATGGTCAAAACACTTAAACTGAAAATATTATCTAAGTCAGCTCTGCCTTCAATTCAACTACTCCAGCCTAAATTTGAAATTGACTTTGAATTCACCTCTAATTCTCACTTTAGTGAATAATCCTAATAGTTTTACATGAATATGAATTATCTCATCTAAACATTTCTTGCTAATGAAAAATGTTTGTGCAAGTGTAATATTTCTTTCATATAAATTGTCTATTTCTGGGGGTAATGGTTGGGGGGTTCATGAAATTAGATTTGTTTTGTTTTTGCATTAAATAATAGGAAGTACAAGAAAATATATTTCATAATGTAAAATGGGGGAGTAAAATCGAACAAATCTTTTGGAGATTGCTAGCGAGACATTCTTTCTTGATTCTTCCTGTTCTCTGAATCTACTGCCCAAAATTTGTAGTTCTTTCAAAAGGGATAAGGAGGGAACCACAATCCAAAATACAATCTTTGACATATGTAGCAAAACTACATAATATGGCAATACACAAAATGTACATGGAACCACAGGCTCAATGGAAAACCAGCAAAACACAAATAGGTTCAGACAAAATATATCTTCATAGAATGAAGAGGTACAGTGCACTGTCACATTGTCACTTCTGCTCTTGCATTTAAGTTATATTTGGTAAGTGTAGACCTTAGAGTAGAGGATTGAGCCTAAATATTTGTGTCCAGAAGTCCACTCACATGGGATGAAAGAGTCTGTATCTCCCTCCATGGAAAACGTAGGCTTGCAATATGATTACCCCTTCTGTCCTGATAGACCATTATCCCTTGGGAGCAGATCCCTAATAAGAGATCTTCACACCCCAACTCTTTCTTGTCATGTTGCACGCGGTAAAACAAAACGCCGTATTCAGGCAATTGTTGAGCTGCCTGCAAAGTAAAAGCACAGAGAGATTGTACATAAATAAGATAACCGGCGAGCAAGGTAATGAAACATTAGGGTGAAAACAGATAAAACATATCTGCCAATAAGAGAAATATAGGAGATAAACTATATAAATGCTAATAATAATAATAATAATGTATGTAGAAAAGTCATGCATCAGATTATTACCTTCAGAAATTCCGCCTCAGCTTCCCTCCTCGACAGACTAAAGTGACGCTGATGTAGCAGTAGCATTTCATGGACAGCTTGTGGAGTCTCCAGGATCCTTGGTGGCAAAAAATCTTCAGGATGGAAATCTTGCTCCCGTAGCTATACAAGGATAATAGAATAGTGTGTGTGTCAAATAAATTATACTGGTATTGAGAAACACATTCATCGGCTATATTAAGAAAATAAAGCATGGAAAATGGATACATTTATACCCTAGGCAAGCATTGGGTTGGTGCATTTTTGTATCTGTTACTATTTTTTAAGGGCCAGTCACTTCTTGCTAAAATATCTGTTGCTACTTTAATCAATTCTACAAATAGCAGTAGGGAGTTATTGGCAGCCACTACTAAAAAGTCAACCACTAACAGCTCACATGTCTATGGAAATCACTCAGCTACTGGTTCCAACTAGACCCGCACATTCATGCTTTTCAGTCCATCGTTTAGGATTCACCTGTGGAATCTTACTTATTAAATAAGTCTCCAAAGGCAAATCCCAGGCAGTTCCACTTATTCTGGAATAGAATAAAGCGGAAAAACATTAATGCACAAGTCTAGTTCCAACCTTGTTTCTACGTTATCAACTGCAGCTTAGCCTTCATATTGACTTACTGATAATGAGCATGCTATCTCGCTGTTGGTAAAAGAATGACAGTAGATTGTCAGTTTTCCTGTGATGAACATAGGGCTGGTCTAGTGTATCTAATATTCTCACTACTTTGAAGGCTTCATACCCCACAATGTATTATCCTGGATCTGTATATTTACACTAATTTCCAATGCCACAAGTCAGATTTCATGGATCTTTTAAAAGAAATACACATGGACATCTTTTTTTGCTTGCATGGTTTTTTATGTACACAATAAATCCAGCTGTATATCCAGACTCCTTTGTGTTATAATGAACCGACTGACTTGGAATCAAGGTGCAAATGTATTTTTTTCTGGCCACTTAATTGAAGATGATTTTCTTTTACAGTGGGCCAATTTACACATTAATTGTGCATCTTGGTAGTGAACTCACTCCAGCTTTCATTTTAGCCTGATGTAGCAGAAGTAGGGTTCTCCAAACTCTGGCCCTCCAGATGTTACTGAACTACAACTCCCATGATTCTTTGAGTGAAATAGATAGCCAGAGAATAATTTGAGTTGTAGTTTAGCAACATCTGGAGGGCCAGAGTTTGGAGAACCCCGTAGTAGAAGAATAAAGATTAAGAGTGATAGTTTAAAATTAATGGATTTTGATATTGATTTGAGGTTTGATTTTCATCTCAAGGTTTTATTACATATATACAATAAACATTATTATGATAAAGTTTGCTGTGTACAGATTTATTTTCTAGACGCATCACTATCTGCATTTATGGTTTAAGCAAATAAATTGTCATCCTGCTGTCAAACTTCATTTTGTGAGCAAAACAGTTGGGATACAGTACCTCTGGTGGGCAGTCTCCCACTTCAGCCTGCAGGGCATGGGAACCTAGGAGTAGAGCTGCCTCTCTGTTACAGAACAACCTCTCATCCAAGAGGTCCTTTCGTAACTGCAGGTAAATCTGGTGTCTCATTGAGCAATGCCTTAGTAGGAAGGAAGAATAAAAAAAAGACAAATAGGGACTGCAGTAGGCAATTACAGTATGTCATGTAAATCAAGCACAATGGTTATTCAATAAAGAGCTAACAAAAATTATTTTATCTTGAAGGACCACTATAGTCACCAAAACAACTTTAGCTTGATGGAGCAGTTTTGGTGTATAGATCATGCATCTGCAGTAGTGATGTCCCGAACGGTTCGCCGAACGGTTCGCCACAGACTCATCATTGAGTAAACTTTGACCCTGTACCTCACAGTCAGCAGACACATTCCAGCCAATCAGCAGCAGACCCTCCCTCCCAGACCATCCCACCTCCTGGACAGCTCACTAAGAATGCAGCTTCACAATGAATGTAAAATGGATGCTGTCCAGGAGGTGGGAGGGTCTGGCAGGGAGGGTCTGCTGCTGATTGGCTGGAATGTGTCTGCTGACTGTGAGGTACAGGGTCAAAGTTTACTCAATGATGAGTCCGCGGCGAACCGTTCGGGACATCACTAATCTGCAGTCTCACTGCTCAATTCTCTGCCATTTAGGAGTTATATCACTTTATTTATGCAGCCTTAGGCACATCTCCCTTAATACAACCTACATAGCCTTCCTAAACACTTCCTGTAAATAGTCATCTAATATTTACACTTCCTTTATTGCAAATTCTATTTCATTTAGAATATATTATCTCCTGCTCTGTTAATAACTTGCTAGGCCCTGCAGGAGCCTCCTGTATTTAATTAAAGTTCAATTTACAGGCAGGAGATAAAAACGTTGAAAGTTAGTTACATCTGACTAAAAATGAAACCATTTTGGTTTCATGCAGGTGCTGTCAGTCACAGCCAGGGGAGGTGTGACTAGTGCTGCACAAACAGAAACAAAAGTTATTTAACTCCTAAATGGCAGTGAATTGAGCAACTTCAGAGGCATGATCTATACACCAAAACTGCTTCATTAAGCTAAAGTTGTTTTGGTGATTATAGTGTCCCTTTAAAAGACCAGCATTCTATTTATCAATAATCAATTCAATGCCATCTGCAGAGAGAATGTCTTCTAATGCTTGGAGGAGTAGTCAGCAAAATCTATTTATTTATTTGTAGTATGTCACACATGATCTTTTTATGTAATTATCTTGGTTTCATCAAATAAATGTGTCAATTGCTTTGCAAATCTTTAATCATAGGGCTCATTTCAGTTTTTCAAAAATAATGAAACACACATTAGGTAAAACAATAATGTATTATTTCACAAACATATGATGAAGAATGCTTTTTGACATCAGAACATAAAAATTTAAAAGATGAAACAAAGAAAGAAGGTGATACAGGGCATTTTAAACAACTCTAAGATGTAGACACCACATTGGGTGTTTTGAAGTTATGACCACAATAATGGTAAGTGGTTTTGTAAACTACACATTAAAAGTAATGAGCATTTATGCAGGAGAAAATAAGAGTACCTTTTGGGAGACCCCAGTCTTGTGCAAATTATCTAAAAAAAAAAATATTTGGGGGGGGTGGGAGCAAACTGAGAACAGACAACATCTCAAATAGCTTGTATGTTGGTGGGTGCCTGCTCAAGTTTCATACAGGCTTTAGCCCACTTGTTATATTACAGAGGGAACCTTACAAGTTGCATATTAGGCTGATCCCACCCACAAGGGCACATTTTCTCTGCACAACATATACACCAACCCCAATCATTTCAGACAACCCAGTCACAGCTCAGACTCACCTTAGTACACTAAAATCTTGGGCAAAATACTTGACTCTGAGGAAGAGTGTAAATGCAACAATTGTAGATTTTTTCTTAGGAGTCTTGCTCCATCCCTCAGGTGCCACCTTCTCCAAAACAGAGTCGTCATCCAGGAAAATGAATTCTTTTCCTAAGAAAAACCAACAGAAATGTTTATTATAAAATTATAGCACTCACTTCCATAACACTTAACTTAAAAAAAAAAAATGTCAGTAAAAACCTTTATTTAAATTTTTTTTATGTGATACACAGGACAGAACAGATACAACTAGGGACAGAGACACGTTACAAATGTAGATTTGTATTGTTAACGCTTTAATATTCCTTTAAGATTGACCTTTAGATTTTAGGTTTATTTATTTGTAGTAACTGGTGATCTGACATATGACACATAATTACCTTGCAGGGTTAAGTCCTCCTCTAGTGGCTGTCTATCTCTATCAGACAGCCACTAGAGGGACTTCCATGTTCTTTGAACACGAAAAGTGTTTTAAACGACTCTATGCATGAGGACCTCCAGCGTCGCCAGAATCCCCATAGGAAAGCATTGAATAATGCTTTCACATGGGGGGGTTTAATGCGCGCGCGCCTCCATTGCCGCGCATGCGCATTAGGTCTCCCCCGCCGGCTGACGTCGGTGGGGTAGGCGTGTGGGCGGAGCCTGACCCAGATAGCATTTAGGATGGGGGGAAAGTTTAACTCGTAGAGGCGACATCAAGGTCGCAAAGGCGTAGACCTTATATTCCGCCTCATTGATAACAAAGACCCAGATCTGCTGGTTGTGCCTGAGCCCTTGTAGGAATGGCTCTAGTACTAGGATGAAAATCAGGGGGAAGAGAGGGCATCTCTGTCTCGTACCATTTTGTATAGGGACTGGTTCAGATAATTGGCCATTAATTCTCAGTCTCACTGTGGGAGATGAATAAATTGCACCCAACTATTCCAGCCACCTCGCTCCAAAACCTAAGCCTTTCACTGTGGCCAGCATTAGGGACCAGTCTACCCTGTCAAACGCCATCTCGGCGTCAATTCCGAGCAGAATACTGGGAGAGGAATTGCCAATGGTTGGCACCCAGTGCATTAGGTTGATGATCTTGGTGGTATTATTTTTCGCCTCCCTGCCTGGGATGAACCCGGCCTGGTCTATGTGTAGAAGTCCCGAAAGCAGGGGTTTAAGTCTAGTGGCCAATATTTTTGTGAAAATCTTAATGCCTATGTTTATTAGTGATATGGGTCTATAGCTCCCACAATTGGTTGGGTCCTTCCCCTCTTTAGGTATTATTAATGTTAGCTTCTAATGCAGAGTGAGGGATAGTGTTCTTCAGATTCTTTGCGTTAAAGGCGTTAAGGATTGGCTGTGACAGGGTTTGGGACATGATCCCGTAGTATTTGCCTTTAAAGCTATCCGGGCCTGGGCTCTTTCCTACCGGTAACTGTTTAACTGTGTGTAGAAATTCTTCTGCTGGGATAGGGCTCTCTAGGAATTCCCTCGCATTAGGTGGTATGGTGTGTTTGATTCTCTTATGAAGGAAATTTTGTATGTCAGTAGGGTCGGGTGGGGTGTCCCAGAGATTGTAAAGTTCTGTATAATACTTTGTAAAGGCCCTCATAATGTCTGGCATCATATGAGCGTGCGACCCGTGCTGGAGCCTAAAGCTAGACACAAAGGTCGACTGTCTGCCTTGCCGCAGTGCTTCGGCCAATAGTCTTCCGCTTTTACACCCCTGGGTGTTTAGTTAAGTGAAGGTATGTTTAGTTAAGTGAAGTTTCCGCTTGGCGTGTAGGTTTAGGGTGGTAGTGAGTTCTGTGCGTTTCGTTAACAGAGTCTTATAGGTTGCTCACAAGTGGTCAGTGGAATGTTGTTCCTCTAGCTTTTTGATCTCTTTGGTTAGGGTTCTAACTCTACTATCTCTTTGGCGTTTCTGGACAGAGGCAATTTTTATTAGTTCTCCCCTGACTACACATTTATGTGCTTCCCATATTAGGACTGGGGCTGTATCTGGGTGGTCGTTCTCTGTAAAGTATCGCTTCAGGTGTTCCTGCAATCCTGCAACCTAGTAATTGTATCTGAGTTATTGAGCAGGAGGTCGGTAAGTCTCCATTGGGGATGTGGCTGAGGCAGGGAAGGGATCATCAGATCCACTGATAGGGGAGCGTGGTCTGACCACGAGATCTGGCCATAGGTGGCCCCCTTGATAAGGGATAGATGTCTATGTTGGAGGAATATCATATCTATTCGGGTAAAGCTGTCCGTTGGCGGTGAGTAGAAGGAATAGTCTTTCCTGGTTGGATTGGATGTAGAGTCCTCCAGCTGTCATAGAGTTGGGAGTCGTGTAGCATCCACGGCTCCGGCCTCACGGTCAGAGGAGTCTCGGAAAAATCGGGTATGGAGTCTGATTTAGGTATCCGGGTTTTCCCTGTTCTCTCGTGACCGCCTCCTTGTCTTTTGGGATTCCCCATAACGCTGCTGTGTCTCCGATTAGTGTGGATTCACTTTCAGCTGACTAAGTGCACGTCCATTCAGCTCCGCGGTTGGCCACGCCTCACAATGTCCCTTTAACCCTGGGGAAATTGGCCAGGCATTCCAAGACTTTTATCATGAATTATATAATCTTCCCGAGCAGGGCCGTGGCACTTGGGGCCGCACAGTGCAGCAGCCCTTCCTACCCCCACCCAGTACACACACACACACATTGGGGGTACTGGGGAACATAAGTCACCTCTTACCTCTAGAAGAGGCTTTCCTTTATCCACTCACAAGCAGCAGGTGCAGTAAATTGAACTTTCAATGTTGCTCGGAGTGAGACAATGAGCAGACAGCTGGCAGGAGCCTGGAGTGAGTGCAGGGAGGATGGAAGTCTCTGTCCCTGCCTGACAGCCTTCACACACAGGAAGCATGTGACCTGGCAATCAGGCAGAGCAGGGCAGCCCACACGGGTCTTCTGAAGTCTTGCTTCCTGTGTGTAAAGTGCTGTGCGGCAGGGAGACCGGTCAGAGAGCTGGAGGCAGGCTGCTGGGAAGTAGCTGATTCCATATATTTCAAGGAGCAAGGTAGGCTCAGTGAGCAGAGCCACCCAGGCATTTCATGTTAATTGTACTGATTCTTAGAGTGTGTATATTTGAGGGTGTATTTGTGAGTGTGTTTGGTGTGTATTTTTGAAGTGTGTGTCAGTATGGATCAATGTGTGTGTGTGTGTCAGTGTGGATCAATGTGTGTGTGTGTGTGTCAGTATGGATCAATGTGTGTGTGTGTGTCAGTGTGGATCAACGTGTGTGTGTGTGTCAGTATGGATCAATGTGTGTGTGTCAGTATGGATCAGTGTGTGTGTGTGTGTGTCAGTATGGATCAATGTGTGTATGTGTGTGTGTGTGTCAGTATGGATCAATGTGTGTGTGTCAGTATGGATCTGTGTGTGTGTGTGTGTGTGTGTGTGTGTGTCAGTATGGATTAATGTGTGTATGTCAGTATGGATCAGTGTGTGTGTGTGTGTGTGTGTGTGTCAGTATGGATCAATGTGTGTGTGTCAGTATGGATCAATGTGTTTGTGTGTGTGTGTGTGTCAGTATGGATCAATGTGTGTGTGTGTCAGTATGGATTATTGTGTGTATGTGTGTCAGTGTGGATCAATATGTGTGTGTGTGTGTGTGTGTGTGTCAGTATGGATCAATGTGTGTGTGTGTGTGTCAGTATGGATCAATGTGTGTGTGTGTGTTTGTGTCAGTATGGATCAATGTGTGTATGTCAGGGAGTGTGTATGCATTAGTGATTGTGTGCCAGTGTCTGTTGATGAGAATATGTCAGTATGTGTGGGTATCAGTGACTACACACCAGTGTGTGTGCCAGTGAGTATTCATTAATTAAAAATCCATGTGTCTGTCTATGTTTGTTTTTTTTAAACTTAAAATAAATTGAATTAAAAAAAGAAGAAAAAAAAAATATATATATATATATATAATTTTGCTTTCTCTATGTGATTTGGTGATTTGTGGGAGTATTATGCATCTATATATTTGCACAAATGTATATTAATATATGTGTATGATATCAAAATATATATATTTATATGTTCAGCCCCCATGGTGATCGGCTGCCTGAGAGCAGAGGTGGGCAGTGGGATCACTGAGGACTGAGGCAGGCAGGCTGCTGAAGGAGGTCGGGGGTCGCTGACTGATGGAGAGCTGTTGGAGGAAGGCAGGCGGCTGATAGAGGGAATTGGGCGGGCGGCTAATTTATTGCAGAGGGAGGAAGAGGGGTGGCTGGCTCATGTAGAGCTGTGGTAGAAAAGGTGGGCAGCTGACGGAAGGGAGCAGCCGGGTAATGGAGAGCAGAGGGAGGCGGGCGGCTGACTTAGTGCCACGGCGAAGGAGCTGTAATCTCCCTGCTCTGCTCCCTTGTGCGGCTAGCAGTGATGCCCGGAGCTCAGTTATGATTTCACTCCAGCCCCCGGCTCACTAAATAGTGCGCTAGAGGGAGCTGAGTAGGGAGATGACAGCAGCCCTACTGGACCCCAGGGAAAGCATATCCACTCCAGCTCTCTAAGGGAAGGGAGGCTGGGTGTATTTAAATTTAAATAAAAAACTAATTACTTGTGAGTGAGTGTGTCTGAGTGTGTGCGTCTGTCTGAGTGTGTTTGTGAGTATGTCTGTGAGTGTGTGTCTGTCGGAGTGTCGGTCTGAGTGTCTGTCTCTGTGTCTGTCTGTCTGTGAGTGAGTCTGAGTCAGTCAGTAAGTGTGTGTGTTCCCTCCAATCACATGGGAAAGGGGGGTTTTTTTTACTCACTTTTTTTCCACGCTGTGGCTGGCCCTACCTCCATGGCTGAAATCCCCAATCTTGACGACCTCAGCCAATCCAATGCTTCCTCATAGCAAAGCACTGGGAGACTATTGCGCATGCACGGCAAAATGCCATTGCGCCAATTTAACTTCTCATAGAGATGCATTGAATCAATGCATGCGTATAGGGAACATTAATGTAGTTGCTGCACAGTGTGAAGCACTGACCCACTGACTGTCGCTAGAGGTGCCACCAGGTAGCAATGTAAACACTGCCTTTTGTCTGAAAAGTCAGTGTTTACATTTAAAAGCGTCCAGGGACAGGATATAGACTTCAGAACAACTACATTAAGCTGTAGTGGTTCTGGTGATTAAAGTGTCCCTTTAAGAATTGCATTTTAGACGTTATAGTCTATTATAGAAGTTTAAATATTAAATGTACGAGTACAAATATATTTTGCATCTGTGTAATTGGTTATTGGTTCTATTCGATTAATGTTTTAAATGTTCATTACGTGGCTTTGTTGCTACATGCAATGTACACACAGTTACCTTTCATAAATGCCAAACCAAAGTAAGAGGGTTGCTCCAATTTAGCATAGGCTGTTGCAGATTCCAGAACAGTGCGTGCACGGGATTTGGTGTCACACTTTACTTCTAAGCAGAGTCCACTGGGGAGAATCACATAAAGGTTCCTCTGAGAGAGGTATGACCTTCCTTTTTTGCTCTGTGGGCACACAAGAAAAATTGAGAAATTAGCTTGGGGATCACTAAGTTGGTCTTGACAAGTAAGACGTAAAGAGTAAGATATCGCCCCAGAGAAGCTTGTGCATAACAAAATAAATCTATTATTCACAAGCAATTCAATACCAGTCTTGACAAGTAAGACATAAAGAGTAAAATATCGCCCCAGAGAAGCTTGTGCATAACAATATAAATCTTTTATTCACAAGCAATTGAATACCAGTCAAAAAGTAAAGCAATAAAACTACCTGTAAATAAAATTTAAAAATACTTACCGTTTGATGTCTTCTTTTTTCTAAAACCTTCTTTTTTCAGCCCCCAAAAAAGCCAAATTAAAATCCATAAAATCCATCATACTTTGAAATTAAAAAAGACCCTCTCACAAAAAAAACACAAAAAAAACAAATCCCAACGCTAAAAAAAGAATCCATCTTCACCCAGTGAGGGCACCGCATAGACTGCGCTGCGCAGGGAGGGAAAGGCTTATAAAGCCTTCCCACACCCTGCAATTTGAGTCAGAGAGCTCTCATTGGTTGGTTTAAGGCAACCAGTAAGAGTGCTCTTATAGGAAAATAGTAAGCATTACCTGATTGATTATCTGGAAGGCTCACTATTTACCTATCAGAGCACTCATAGGTCAGAGCAGGTCAAGCGTAGGAAATATACATAAGACAAAGTAGTCCCTACTTTGTCTTATGTTTTAAAGAAAACTAGAGCAGATAGAAAGAAAAGGAGAACAGATCCCGAGAGAGGGAGAGAAGGGGAATTGATTAGGGAAAGATAAGTTCGGCATGACAGTGCAACATTAAAAGTTGAACAGCAAATGACTTGCACCACTCACTTCCTCCCAGCACTACAGATCTGGTAGGGGCCGGTCGTGCTGTGAAAGGTTGCAGCACATGATGCCATCCCCCAACACATTACAGGCCCTGGTGTGGCTGTACTGACAGGTTCCACCACTGATTAACACCAATGGGACTTACAAAGAAAAAAACAAAAAAGCGCAATATAAAAACATATAATAGTCTGAGTGACACGAAAAAAATAAAATTCAGAAATAAAATTCAAAGCTGACAGACATAAAAGGTTATTCCTCAAACCTGTAAACCGATTGTTCAAATGTAGATGAATGTCAGCGCTGTGCAGTAATCCCCAAAAGATTGTTTAAAGGGGAAGCTAGATAATATAATAGTTGAGTACGAATAAGGGGTTGGGGTTTACTTTATAACAATAAAACTGTGTTACACTATTTTCGTTTTTTTGTGTGTATCCTTTAAGGTACGTGACTGTTACCACTGGTACTGGATACTAAGTTTTAATTCCTGTCTAACACAGAAGAATACCCCTAAGTCTCCGTTATCCAGGTGGAATTCGAACTCAACTATTATTACTAATTCTCATAGAGTATCACTGGAGCATGGCCATTGGTGGACAGTCGTTGTGGGCGTGTTATTACTGATTCTCATAGAGAATCACTGGAGCCTGGCCATTGGTGGACAGACATTGTGAGCGTGTTATTACTGATTCTCATAGAGAATCACTGGAGCATGGCCATTGGTGGACAGTCGTTGTGGGCGTGTTATTACTGATTCTCACAGAGAATCACCAGAGCATGGCCATTGGTGGAGAGTCCAGCTGAAATGCAGGAAGCAGGGAAAAAGCAAAGGGTGAACGAATCAGAGAAGGAGCAGAAAATCTGATCAAACTAAAGATTCTAAAAGGTACTTCTAAAGCTCAATTTTACACTATTTAGGGAAAAAATAATTTACTAGGTTTACTGTTAGGGGGTGGGTGGACAAGGATATGCATTTTATTACCCATACAGTTCTTTTAAGGCATACATCCAGCAATGTATGAGGCAGAAGAAGAAAATGCACAAGTAACTAAACCAACTGATTTGATAAGTAACAAAGTAACAAATGTGTCAAATATTGGCATGTAGTCACAGATGGTGCTGGCATTTGATAACTGCATAATGTTTACTCACTAAATTTCATTCGTCACTCAATTATGGTAGTTGTTAAAGGTACACATATATCTCCAGGGTTTGGAACCTGAAGGTCAATATATTTCTATATAAACGTTGCTGACATCTATTGTTTAGAACAGTATGGCCAGACTAGATTGCCACTTCCATTCTTTTCAAGGTGAGAACGTTTAACAGATCTTGCCCCAAGCAATTTGCTGAGAAAACAATAATTAAGATGTTACTGTTTCTTTACAACTGACAACTCACTTGATTAAAAGTGATTTAATTGTACTTGACACTGTGTTTAAACAGAAATCTCTAAGGAAATCCCTCTACGCATTAGTGGAAAAAAACAAAACGTGCTCTGCTTACCACAATCTTGGTTGGCAGGTCTATGGTAACAGGTGGTTCTTTAGCAAAAACCACAAATTCAGGTCGTGACATCTATTTGGAGGAATCACAAAAGAATATAGGGATGTAATTTTCTTGTAGGAGTAGTAATATATTTTCACATCAATTGAAGTTTTATAGGTCTTACCAATTTCTCATTGAATAACCTGTGTTTGAACATCTAAAACTCCAGATATATTGGATAATTTAGCTAAGCTATTTCAGCACTGTATGAAGAGCATTCAAAGCAAGGTTTAACATGGAAGGCAAGACACTAGCCTTAGAAGACACTAGAGCCCAAATAGCTGTAATCAAAATGTAACAACATTTTAAACAACAAAAGGTGAGCATTTTAGAAGATGTAACCAGGACACAGGACATACCTGGAAATGTAAGTGACTTCTAAAATTGAACTTAAAAATGTAGACATGAATATGTTGACTTAAAAAAGGCGGGTAGTCAATTGTTTGAGAATTATGGATAAAGCAATCCATAGCACCTGGAACACAAAGAGTTACCCTAAGTATCTTTAACTCTAGGTCTCCCAACTACTATGTGAAAACCTAAATATAAATCCCATAACAATATACTAAGCATAGAACCTTAACCTCCAATCCTGAAAACCTTCTACCAAAATGATGTCTTCCCTAACTCGAAACACCAGCTAACACTATGGTTCCATAGCAATGATCGCATCAGTTTAAACACTCACAATTTAAAATGCGTCATTTCAATTTTGATATTTTACATGAATGCTAAATTTGGGATCTAATGGATACTGTATACTTACTGTACATATGTAATTTTGAAGATGATCAAAGGTATTCTATTTACAAATACAGCTAAGAATAGTATTGCTGTGTGCACCTTTCAATGCCTTTTCTACAAAGGTTTAAATTGTAAATAAATAGGGACTTCGAGGTAAAGAAGATAGAGGGATTGATGAACCAAATAGTGACTGTTCATATATGAAAAGTAGCTTTAACCCCTTAGCGACATTCTGACATTTTATTACAGCCTCCATGTAACGGTATTACAGATGTTTAATTTAGAGTTGTTACCAGCCCATCCTTGACACATTAGTTTTGCTGACAATCCTACAATTTGCAAAGTAAAACTATAGTTTCATGAGAAGTAGGCTTTAGTGCAGGGGTAGACAAGGCTTGGCACTCCAGATGTTGTAGACTAGATCTCCCCTGATGCTTTGCCACCAGTAAGGTTGTAAGAGCATTATCAGATATGTTGTCCACAACAGCTCGAGTGACAAAGGTTGCCTACCCCTCCTCTAGCTCTAATCCCATTCTGTAATAGTTTACAACACAAAACTGGCATCTACACTATTTTTGTTGATTTTGTGCATTCTGGAACCTTTAGTACTTGATTTCCAACTAGTAAATAATTCATGAGAGAAGCATGAAGTTAATTTAAGGTGGTCAGATTTCAGATTCTAATAAAATATGCTTAGAAAAATCAATACACTTGTTGTCATACAGCACTGTAGTGTATATTTTCTAGCTCCATTCCATTAACTTATTATTATTTTTATTGAGTTTCCCGACAGAAAAATTAATATCTGGTATTAAAAACATTGTTAAACAGGTCATTTGTAAAAATATTGTTGATCCGTTTTATAAAATCTATTGAATCTACTAAATTGAAGCTTTAAAATGAAATTAAGCATATGCAAAGGCATTTCTATTTGTAACAATATTTTAATCCTTTAAAGGGACACTGGATATGCATTTTATTACCCATACAGTCACTATAACCACTTTGTCTCTTTTAATTGGTTATAGTGCCTGGAGTGCCCTGGCACTGTCCCTCCATTCAGTGTTGCACCATGTTTGCGCAGTATGCCACAAAATAAGAGTCCCTGGCCACCCACAGTCCCGCCCCTTCTGTATGTGTAGCTAAGGCAGAGATTACACACTTCCTTGTTGTCATACCCATTCATACCGTCAGTTGGAGCTCTGACAGGTTAAAAGCAGTCAGCTGACACTCTCAGCCAATCACAGCTGCTCATTGCTGCTCAGGGTAATACTTCCTTATTAGCCAAAGCAGCACAGAGGGGATGGACTGCCGTGGTCTCTTGTTTAGCATTAAAATATTACAACATTAAAAACTGTTTAATGCTGAAAGAAATGATGGCACCAGGGGACTCCATACACTATAACCAGCTTAATGAGATGAAGCAGATACAGTGCCTACGGCGTCCCTTTAAGCAGCTAAACATTGAGTTACCATTTTCCTATTACCTTGTTTTGTGAAAATACAGAATTTCTTACAGAAGCAGGATACTTGCAGAATGGCCCATGTTCTTGAGAAGTATCTGACCTATCAGACCACTGGCAATACCGAGGTCGATGCATCTCAATGTCAGTCTGGTGCGTTGGATCCTGAAAACTTTATAAAAACATAGTACAATGAACAAATATCAATCTGATATAGTGCAAGTGAGCTAATTTATGTTAATTGTTAATATCTGTGCAATTTTTGAGTTTAAAGGAAAATTGAAAAAAATAAAAATTTTAAGGAAATCATGATTTTTAATATTATTGTAAAAAGATTACATGTATAAAAGTCTGTGCATGTATCATTTTTTTAATGTATTAGTATAAGTATAGTATAGTATAAGATAACGGAAGAAGAGGGAGATGAGTCCCAGCGCCGAGGGAGCCTGGCACTGGAAAAAAGGTAAGGAATTAACCCCTTCCTCCCCCTGGGGGACCCTCAGGGCACTATAGTGGCAGGAAAACTAGTATGTTTTCCTGGAACTATAGTGGTCCTTTAAGAATATACATTAACAGGTTGTTGTTTTTTTGCTGCTACACATTTTAGTGCACCTCACAAGGTTCCATAATACACCCCCAAATAGAATAAGTAAAAACTAATAAAAAGTATTAGTACTTTAAAATGTACCTATTCTTCTTTTGTACGTACACCATATACAGTAAGTACTTAAAAAGTTATAAATACAGCCATCAGATATAGGAAAAGTTGTCATACTGTATATCGAACATAATTATTAAATATCTGCTTTTAAGACTATCTGCACATTTACTGTTTTTTGGTTTTTTTTGTGTTCAATGCTATGAAGTGTGTGTCTACCTGAAGAGATCTGCTGGCTCTATTTGTAAGTATTTTAAGGAATTGATGTGGTGTATGCACAAAAGGTGGTTAAGCCAGTTTTAAAGTTCTCCTTTAAAGTGAATCTATTATGGATTTCTTTTACTCTATGTATTCCTGTTGTATGTCCTGCCCAATGGATCCAGCGTTGCCATTAGCTCATCATCATGAGCAACAGCCTCTTCCCTGTACTGTGCCTGTTTAGAAAGCCTCAGATAATTGGTACAGCACTCTATGCAAGACAACAGCCTCGAGGTGTATCCTCTGGCAGACAGACATTGGCATAGAGTCATCTATGCTGATACTCAGAAAGATGGGGGCTGATTTAAAAAAATAAAAATTGTAGTTTGACTTGTGAATTTCCTAGTACATTGTATAGGCAGAATAATGAGAGTAATTAAATTGTGTAAAGTACACAGTACCATTACAGGTACACTTTAAAAATAAAAATAAAAAAGTCCAAAAATATTTATAAAATATTTAGCATTTAAGAAAACATTGACTTTTCTATTTAGAGATCAAAAGAAAGAGAAATATTTCATAAACTTTGTTTTGTTTCTAAATTAAAGATGAAATTGTAATTATTTAATGCAAGACAACACTTCAACTGGATCCCATAATAATCAATCAGTTAAAATCGTATTGGATGTAACTACAAACATACATAATTTGTAGAGCAGCCAAAGAAGCTTTACTCATCAAATGCTCACCTGTTGATAGAGGACTCACATTTTCGGCCAGGTGAAAACCTTGGTTCTTTCTCCCATGCTGACAAGAGCTGAGATTTCACTCCTGCAAGTGGAAAACCAACTTTCATCCTTCATGTTTGCACTGGCTGTATCAGTGTTACTTCTACTAGCAGGTTTTACAACTAGATTTAAACATTATTCATCTTGAAAATAATTTCATGTTGGGACAGAATCTGAAGCCTACCAGACAGCGGTAGAATGAATACTTTTCAACAAGTAGATTCCAAGGATAATCAGATGATGTATTACAAGCTAACAGTTAAATACGAGTGTGTGGTGCATGCAGAAGTCTACTTTAGAGAACAAATAAACAAAATCGACCTGAGAGTTTGTGTTGGGCAGACAGTCATCTATTATTAATTTTCACAATATTTTTTTTTATACCTGCTGATCATCAGATATTTCGCCATATCATTTTAGGGATGCCACGACAGGCAATGGGCAGGATTACAATGATACATGTAGAAATTATTGATTTAATTGGTTTAACACTCCAATCGCTATGACCACTACAACTTTTTGTAATGCTTATAGTACCAGGAATGGCCTGGTACAATCTCATTGTAAGTAGTCAAACCATTTGTGAGTGATTTGACTTCTTACCTGTGGTCTGTCAGGTGCCACTTCCTGCCTCCACTACTAATGATGGAGAGGTGGAAGCTCCTAAGCAGGTGCTTCAATTAGTTATCCTGAGCTAAGCCCTACAATAAAGGCCAAGCTCATTGACTGAGTGTGCCAGCAGATCACTCTTAGCTAATGAGCTAAGCCACAGTGCAGGGCTTAGCTCAGACATACAGCTTCTGGTTCTCCGTTTTAGTTGTGGAAATGGGGAATGGAGGTAAAAAGGCAAACCATTCAAAAACGGTTTGATTACTTGCATTGGGGGGAGGGCAGTAGTTATGGTGCTTGGAGTGTTGTTTTTTTTTTTTTAAAGATTACTCCATGACCTTAGTGGTTTGCAATATTCATGGTGCCTGTAGTCTGTACTACAGAATTTAACAGTTTTCAAGGGTTTTTGCATTTGCTCCAGGGCCATAATTAAAGTGATGCTTTCTCTAAAGTTTTCTTATTCTTTTTCAGGACCTTTAAATAAGAAATTGGTACTGAGATTCTTGCTGTCCGCTTCGGTTGTATAGGAATTCTCATCAAAGTACATATGTGTCACGTGTCTCATTAGAAGGTAACTCATTAGAAGTTTCTTTGAGGAACTGTCTACATGCCTGAAGTAGTTGGCTCTGAAGAAAATATTGAAGCAGACTTCTGTTTCAGTCTCTCTCTTATCATCTGGCTCCTTGCAAGTTGTACATCTAGGGTATCTTCTTTTGGCATCTTTAAGAAAAACAGACATTGCTTTAATTTCTAGTTACTCTAAGTAGTTCATACATTAACTATAAAAAAGTATCAGACAATTCTGTGTGCAAACAAAAACAACAATAAAAGAAGCACCTATCCCAGAGAGTTCAATTAATCCAGTTTTACCAAAACCGGAAGGGGAAACAAGGTAAGCAAAGCAAGCCAGAAAGTCCTTAATTTTTTCAATGACCCTTCATTAAGGTGCGCATAGGTAGACAGAACAACATTTCAATAGAAGAGTATCAAGCTTGATAAAGACCAGATCTTTTTCTAATGCACTTTGATAAACTTTAAGAAAGGAACGCAGAGGAATGGAGAATCTGCTGGATCGCTTTGCTTACTTTGTTCTAATGTGTTGAAGGCTGTAATTCCAAGGTTTACCCATTTGGGTCCTTTGAGCCCTCTGTATATTATGACTCTTCCCAAGCATGGATGCACAAAACTGCCCTTGGCCTAAGATAAATGCCAGTTCTTATTCTGAGCCTAGCAACATCTGTGTAGGTATTGCCTATTACTGGTCTCCTAATTCTTACAGTAAAAAAACCCCAGAGCCCCCACCCCTGAGCGGCAGATGGAGGCCCTAAATTAGAATAAGGGGGGGATCTATTGTCCTCTCCCCTGGCCCCCACCCCAATCAACCAATCAGAGAGTTATGAGTCAATTTACAAAGCGTGGGAAAGCTTAATGAAGTGGTCTGGGTGCCAGGTCCCTCTAGGGTTAACCCATTTTTTTATAAACATAGCAGTTTCAGAGAAACTGCTATGTTTATTAATGGGTTAAGCCTTCCCCCAAAGCCTCTAGTGGCTGTCTCATTGACAGCCACTAGAGGCGCTTGCATGCTTCTCACTGTCATTGTAAATGCTTTCCTATGCGACGGGCTGAATGCGCGCGCAGCTCTTGACGCGCGTGCGCATTCAGCCCAGGAGGAGGAACGGAGGCGGAGAGAAGGAGGAGAGCTCCCCGCCCGGCGCTGGAAAAATGTAAGTTTTTACCCCTTTCCCCCTTCCAGAGCCGGGCGGGAGGGGGTCCCTGAGGGTGGGGGCACCCTCAGGGCACTATGGTGCCAGGAAAATGAGTATGTTTTCCTGGCACTATAGTGGTCCTTTAAGGACCATGATGCCCAGTGAAGGCATAGACCGGCATGCAGGAAAGTACCAGCATTAGTTAAATCACTGCAGGTACCAAGGAACCCCAGGTATCTTTTTTTTTGCGGTTAAACAAATTTATACTTAAGATTTAGCAAATTACATCATAACCTCCTGGGAACCGAGGAAAAAATTGTCTTCCAATATGCCTTCCAAGTTTGATGAAAGGGGAGAGGAAGTGCCCAGCATCACATGACATATCACTGGAAAGCTCAGGAAGTCCTCTTTACAATACAGCAGGGATTGATAGAGCAGCTCAAAAGAATAAAACAAGATGCATGTGAATGAAATGTCCAGTACAGAGGACATACATGAATGGGCTTGGTCTCAGGAGGATAATCTAGTTCAGAAAAGGCAAAGTCAGGGTAAACATTGTAAATTAGGAGGGGAAAAAAATGTGTAATGTTCTCTCTTTTCTCTATGATGAGTGCCAGGGACATAAGACAGAGCTTATATTAATGTTAGTGTAATAGAGTAATGACAGATCTAAAATAAAAGCCCCCCAGTTACAGGATAACAAAATGTGGATTCCTAATTCATTTATTTTTTACAACTCACAAATATACATTTGTTAAATATAAGGATAAGTAAATTAAGTATTAAAGTTCCATAGTGGTTATGTTGCTAGGAGCTTTTCTGGCTTTATCACCAATGATGGGATCAAATGGTAATGGTGTGACACTTACCTGGGGTACCACTAGCCTATCACAGTCCTTCTCATTCTCATTCCGCTTTAGCTATATCAACTTTTGACAACTGGCTGAGAGCGCCATCTACTGCTCTCAAGGAATAAATGCTTTGAAAGTTGCAAAAAATTGATACAGCTAAGGTTAGAACTTCTGCTTTAACTGTATGTAAAAAACTAAATGTACCTCAAGCACCTAAATAAATGACAGTTGTTATTGCCTCTTACTGAGTTCATTAAAACTCATCAGTTTAAGCATGTTTTCATTCATCTCCCAGGGTAATAAACTGCCTTAAACCATTCTGCCATTTAATTAGCGTCATTTAATTAGCGAAACCCAATTCACACTTTCATCTTTGCATTTTATGGATTTTCTACACACTACTTATTGTATTAATTAAAGGGACACTGTAGTCACTATAGCCATTTCATCTCTTTGAATTGGTTATAGTGCCTGGAGTGCCCTGGCACTGTCCCTCCATTCAGTGTTGCACCATGTTTGTGCAGTATGCCACAAAATAAGAGTCCCTGGCCACCCACAGTCCAGACCCTTCTGTATGCGTAGCTAAGGCAGATATTACACACTTCCTTGTTGTCATACCCATTCATACCGTCAGTTGGAGCTCTGACAGGCTAAAAGCAGTCAGCTGACACTCTCAGCCAATCACAGCTGCCCATTGCTGCTCAGGGTAATACTTCCTTATTAGCCAAAGCAGCTCAGAGGGGATGGACTGCCGGGGTCTCTTGTTTAGCATTAAAACATTACAACATTAAAAACTGTTTAATGCTGAAAGAAATGATGGCACCAGGGGACTCCAGACACTATAACCAGTTTAATGAGATGAAGCAGATACAGTGTCTACGGTGTCCCTTTAAAGGAACACTATAGTCACCTAAATTACTTTAGCTAAATAAAGCAGTTTTAGTGTATAGATCATTTCCCTGCAATTTCCCTGCTCAATTCACTGTCATTTAGGAGTTAAATCACTTTGTTTCTGTTTATGCAGCCCTAGCCACACCTCCCCTGGCTATGATTGACAGGGCCTGCATGAAAAAAAAAAACTGGTTTCACTTTCAAACAGATGTAATTTACCTTAAATAATTGTATCTCAATCTCTAAATTGAACTTTAATCATATACAGGAGGCTCTTGCAGGGTCTAGCAAGCTATTAACATAGCAGGGGATAAGAAAATCTTAACTAAACAGAACTTGCAATAAAGAAAGCCTAAATAGGGCTCTCTTTACAGGAAGTGTTTATGGAAGGCTGTGCAAGTCACATGCAGGGAGGTGTAACTAGGGTTCATAAACAAAGGGATTTAACTCCTAAATGGCAGAGGATTGAGCAGTGAGGCTGCGGGGGCATGTTCTATACACCAAAACTGCTTCATTAAGCTAAAGTTGTTCAGGTGACTATAGTGTCCTTTTAATACTGTAATATTATTAATTTAACTAGATACATGCATTTTACCTGGTCCTCTCACCCCCTTTAAATAGTAGTTGTTCCTCTTCTGTTCTAATACCTCTCTTAGTTCCACTGGGGGCCCCTCCCCACATCCTTTACAGCTCAATGAGCTCCTACTCAGCTCTCCTGAGCTCCTTCTCAGCTTTCCATTGGCGCCAAAGAGTGTCTGCACCACCAGCCTTAGCTGAATGACTAGAGCTTCCGGATTTCACTAGGCAGTAGTTGAGTCAGGAAGCGGCAGGAAGGAACCTCAGATAAGAAGTCAAACCTTTCCAATATTTATGACTCCTTAGAATGGTAGTGCCAGATCAATCCTGATACCATTACCACTGCAGAGTAGCAGAAATGAACAGCAAAAATCACTCTCTGGTTAGCACTCCTGGTAGCTCATCCAGTCCATTATTCGTTAGCAAGAGATTTGACAGTACGAAAAATAATGGGACTTTAGAAAAGTTCTCACATAACCTAATGGAATACTTATCTTTAAATTTTCTTAGATACAAGTTTCTCAAGTATTTGATTTTAAATGTCAGACTCAACACTCTGTGGTTCTAAAATTACAAAAAAAAATTGTACAAACCTGCGAAAGGTCACCCAGCACCAGTCTAACAAGGCTCTGGATGTAGAAACAAGCAGGAAGTAAGGAAAGCTGTTTCTGATGATCCTGACATTTCTGGACAACGATCTCTGGACTTGGCCTGCATCGTGGATTCTCCTCACACATTGCAATAAGGATGGATTGAATCTTGGAACCAAGATTCACAGGCTGGAAAATGAATGTTAGTTGCATTAGCCCCTCTTACTTTGCGTCTAAAAGTAAACAGCATTAGAAATGAAGTACTGTCCTACATGGTTAGATTTTCATGTGTGTTGCTGATGAGATTTTGTCTTATGAATGTTTTCTGGCACAGATTGGGACAAAAGGTAAGTATATCTAATTAAAGGAACACTATAGAGTCAGGAAAACAAATGTGTATTCCTGACCCTATAGTGCTAAAACTACCATCTAGCTCCTCTGGCCCCCCTTAAATAGTAAAATCTTACTTTTGTTCAAGACTGCAGCTGCTGGCTCTGCCCCTGATCTGCCTGCTTGGTTGACATCATCAGAAGTGTTGAACAAAAGCCAATCATAATGCTTTCCCATAGGATTGGCTGAGACTGTCAAGGAGGCAGATCAGGGGCAGAGCAAACACAAGCCAAACAGAGCCAGGGCCATTCATCATCTTCTCATAGAAATGTGTTGAATCAATACATCTCTATGAGGAAAGTTCAGTGTCTCCAAGCAAAGGGTGGAGAAACTGAATGGCAGTGCTGCACACTGTGCAGCACTTCCCCAGGAAGCATCTCTAATAGCCATCTGAGGAGTGGCCAGTGGAATTATCACTAGGCTGTAATGTAAACACTAAAAAATTTTCTGAAAAGACAGTGTTTACTGCAAAAAGCCTGAAGGAAATTATTATCCTCACTAGAACAAATACAATAAGCTGTAGTTATTCTGGGGACTATAGTGTCCCTTTAATGTTCGTGTTACGGGGGCACCACTAAATCTAAATAATCAAGAAATAATTCTAACATTAGAAATAAATGTTTCTAGTTCTAACATTAGAGTTTCCCTTTAACACTTCTGTCAGTAAGTAGCTGAAGAATTAATGTCATCAAGGGAGGAAAGACCAGAAGCTAGTAGATATCCTCCCCAAATCTTTCTTTACCTGGCATCATAATGTCATGTGTCCTTAAGGGGTTAAAGGTGCACTATAGTAACTAGTAATTTAATTACATTTAATTACAGCTTAAATGTATTCTATAGTGTATGGAATACGAAGCTGTATTCATTACAGCATAGTTCCCTCTGGCCCCACTCCCTCGGGTTAATAAATCCTTTCTGTACTCAACCGATTCCAGCGCCAAACCCCCTCATAGTTGGGTCGGTGCTCTGCCTCCTCCAACGTCATCTGACATATAAACACATTGACAAATACATAGAATAGCTCCACCTCCACCAACGTGTGCTAATGTGAGTGCTACATTGCACCTTTCTGCACTGCTTTCCTATGGGTAATTAACTGACACTGGATGTCCTCATGCACAGCACCAAAAGTCGCCTAACAAGCAGGAAGTGCCTCTAGTGGCTGTTTGATAGTGGCTGTCAGAGAAAATGCATTGTTTACATTACCGCCTAGTAGCACCTCTAGTGGCAGTCATGCATGGAGGCGATGAACGTTCCTCATAGAGATGCACTGATTCAATGCATCTCTATGAGGAGATGCTGATTGACATAGTGTGGTGTTTTGCTGTAAATGCACAATATCCGCCCATTGCTTTCCCAACGCATTGTATGTTTGTATTCCTGACACTATTTAATTAATTTAAGCCATTTAGCAGTTACTATGTTCTAAATATATTATATACAAGCAGATTTTAGAGAGAGAAATAGAGTGAGCGAGAACTCTCCATGTATAAAACAAATGTTACAGACCTGATGTCTAGGAATATTGTACTCAGCAGCCCAGTAGAGCGTCATCCCCAAAGAGTACACCATTAGCTGTGGAGATAAAAATATCTTTATAAATCTATTCAGATACACACATATTTAATCTTATTCTCTTTCTAGGTGAGTTGGGCAAAGAGAGGGTGAAACCAGGTCAGTGGCTGGTATTTAGATTGGAAAGGGTGGCACATTCTAGAGTGACATGGAGTGACAAGAGTTAAAGAGATTCTATAGTGTTAGGAAAATAATGTTGCATTCCTAACACTATAATTCCCTTGTGCCCTCCCTGCATAAAAAGGGTTAAAAAACCCTTTATTTACTTACCCGATTTCAGCATCGATCTCCCTCGGCGCTGGGTCAGTACTCTGCCTCATCGGGCCTCATCTGACAGGGGGGCTCATGTGTATGCGTGTCAAGCACTGCGAGCAAATTAGGTCTCCCCATAGGAAAGCATTGTCAAAGATACACTGACACACACAAATACATACACTGACACACACAGATACACACACTGACACAAAATTGATCTAGTCCTGATGAAAGTTCCTATAGTAACTGAAACGTCGACTTTGTTTGCTTGTTCTATGTAATTTTTGGAATTATTTTTAAATGAAATTTAATTTGAATAGCCTAGAGTGTTTCCTGGATTTGGCATTTTATACTACAGTGTAGCTGAGCACCAGGTAAAGTAAGATTTAATTGTTATAAGTTGGAGTGCAGGACTTTTTGTATTTTGCTTTTTTACATATTTACATAGATATACATACATTGACCCACAGATACACAATGACATCTTGACTCACACAGAAGCACACTCTGACGCATACACACACTCAGACACACATATATACACAATGAAAAGCAGGTACACACATAAATACACATACATATGCACACACTGACACATACATAGGTACACTGACACATTGACACACACTGACATATACATACCCATATACTGACATATACATACACAGATACACACACCGACATATTGACTCACACAGAAGCACACTCTGAGGCATACACACACACAAGATACACATGCGGACACACATATAGATATAAACACTGATACAATGATACGCACACAAATATACACTGACACATACAGACATACTGACAAATAGATACACACATATAAGCACATTGACATTTACATAGAAACAAACACTGACACATACACACTCTGTGACGGTAGTCACCATAACTGGGAGCAGAAGAACACTTTACATAGGTTCCTAAATTGTTCTTATGTTTTAGTCACCCTGTGTCCATTAAAGGTGCAGGGTGTGTATAAAATAATTGGTTGTGGTTAAATGTTTTATGTGCTCCTGCTGATGCTTGCTGCCAACAAGTTGGATTTGGCTGTCGAGTCTTTACAGCGCCCTCTGTTGGTAGCAACAGCTATATGCACTACCTGAATAGTAAGGCTTGTTCATTTGCATATTCAGGTAGATTTGCATAGTACTAATTCTGCAGGCAGGAGAAACGTTTTGTGTTAATTATTGTTTTCCTCACCCATTTATAAATATGTCATTATGTTCATGTATGTTGTCTGATATGATCTGGTTATTTGTATTTTATTGAAGTTGTCACATTACATCTTAAGGTAACAAGCATATGGGCTAGTACTGAGTAAAAATAAAGCTGAGTATGTTAGTTCCTTTTGGAACGGTGTATCCTGTGTGGATTTTTAGGGATCCCAGTAAAAGAGTCTTTGGACCTATTGGCTGGCTGTGCGATTCATCTGATTCCCCATGGCAAATCAAATAGAGCTAGGCCTGAGAGCTGTAAGTGTCTTTATAAAGACAAGAGGTATTAGCAGTAGAAAGAGGGAAGTGCTCAATGCATTGTATAGAACACTGGTGAGACCTCACTTGGAGTATTGTACGCAGTACTGGAGTCTGTATCTCCTAGAAGGATATTGATACTTTAGAGAGAGATCAGAGAAGGGCTACTAAACTGGTTCTTGGATTGCAGGATAAAACTTACAAGGAAAGGTTAAAGGATCTTAACGTGTATAGCTTGGAAGAAAGACGAGACGGGGGGGAATTTGATAGAAACATTTACATACAAAAAGGGAATCAACACAGTAAAGACTATATTTAAAAGAAGAAAAACTACCACAACAAGAGGACATAGTCTTAAATCAGAGGGACAAAGGTTTAAAAATAATATCAGGAAGTATCACTTTACTGAGAGAGTAGTGGATGCATGGAATAGCCTTCCAGCTGAAGTGGTAGAGGTCAACACAATGAAGGAGTTTTAGCATGCGTGGGATATGCATAAGGCTATCCTAGACATACGATAAGGCCAGGGACTAATGAAAGTATTTAGGAAATTGGGCAGACTAGATGGGCCGAATGGTTCTTATCTGCCGTCACATTCTATGTTTTTATGTTTAAGAGCTATCACATTGCAGGCAGAGGAATAGGCAGAGGGGACGATACCTGTCTGGAAGGAAAGAGCTCCAGAGAGACCCCAGTCAAACTTCGGCGACTGTGACTGAAGCATTCTATGGTGCTGGGTCTGTCTTTGCTCTCCCCTTCGTGTTCCCCCTCCTTCTCTGTCCCACGCAATGCGCTCTGTAAATATCTGGTAGGAAGGCTGACACTTCCTCCAAAGCCGTCCATCAGGTGGCCCATTGAGCTGGGCCCCCCAAACATGCAGGCTCTAGTGCAGCCGGATGTAGTTCCGTCACTGTCGCTATTAATTCATTAAATTTTCCTTGCTATATTTTTGTTTGCTCAAACACCCATTTTCCAATCTCCTTTCCAGTCTGTCCAAAAAAACGACTACCCTGAATGAAATATTGGGTCTTGAGCAGTTTCCACTTCTGTCCCATATCACTGGTTGATGGAGATAAACAGTGATTGTGGTGCTATTAACCTTTTTTTGAAATAATTCTTATTTCTTTAACAGGTGTGGTGGGTGCATAGGTATATCTACCCTTCAGATGGCATTTACCATGGAAAGCCAATTGGGATGATAACTATGGAATCATAAAATAAAGAACCTCTTACCTCCTTTGTGTTAGTGGGCTCCTGAGTCACTTCTGGAGCTCTAAATGGAGCAGCTTTGTGGCAAAATCCTTTCCGGAAAGACAAATTCCCAGAACACGAAATAACAAGTGACCAGGGTGAGATGTCTATCCATGTTTTGGAATCTGGAAAAAAAGTAAACATCAGAGTTTGCATAAGGTATTTTTATTTTATTTTATGTTTTTTGTGACTATGAATGAATATGAAATATTATGAGTTACTTTGCCAACATGAGAAGGAAAAAAAACAACAAAAAGTGAGCATTGTGTTGTGAGGGTTGATGCTGTGTGTAATAAACCAAACAATCTTAACAATATCAAAAATCATGAGTTTTGAATTTGGAAAGTGTCAAAAATCGAGTTAAAAATCGAGTATCATAAATTCAGAATAATGCTTAACTTAAGTTCAAATTTGCATCAAGAATGCAAATTATTTTTTAAAGGAACATTCCAAACCCATAATGTACTTCAGCATGGAAAAATGCTTTAGGGGTTAATTGCATGCCTCCTCTTGACCTGTTTCATAAAAATGCTGATTTCAAAAGAATTTGTCACTTTTAATAATTGATTTGGAACATCCCCTGACAGTTAAAGGAACAGTGAAACGTTAGGAATACAAATATAAATTCCTAATGCCATATTGGCCTAGTCACCATTTAGGTGACCAGGCCCCCACTGCCAGGGAGCAAAAAGGGTATTTTACTTACCTTTTCACCAAACTGAATCTCTCCCTCTTTTCGCACAGAAAAGCATAGGCTGGCCACACAAATGCTGTGCTGCACCAATTAGATGGTCTTTCTGAGACCATTAGATTAAAGTAGCAGAGTTTTAATCTGCTATTTTACGTTGACCCCTCTGCAGAACAGCAAGGTTTTTTACTGCAGACTTAAAATGGGGGGCACTTGGCACTCAGACCCAAGGGTAAACCAGGGCCCCCCCACCAAAGAAGCCAAGCAGTGACCGCAATGCCATGCTCGCCAGCCGGCCCCTGATATCGAGGGGGAAGAGGGAGAAATGGGTTGGACTTTCAGGTTAAGTTCTCCGCTCCTTCTACTGTATCAGAGCATTGTCACAGGTTACCGCAGCAATGTTCTGATAAATTTCCCAGAGCCAAACGGAAGGAGGTTCCGACAAGCCACATTTCACACTGGACCTCCAGGGAACAAGATTCCCCTCTCCCTGGCCAAAGGGGAAAAACTTTATTTTTAATTTAAGATGTTTGCTTTTTCTAACTTTCCCCTCAGTCCCTTATCGACCATGCTACTTCCCCTATCCCCCATATACTGTCCTAACCCCTACTACAGCTCATAGCCCTTCACTACTGCTTCTAAAAACCCCACTACAGCTCCCCCACATCAGCCTCTAACTCCCCCTCTTTTGCCCCTAACCCCCATTACTGCCTTTAACCCCACTACAGCTCCTAACCCCCAACTGCTGCTACTAAACCCCACTACAGCCCCTAACCCTCACTACTGCCTTTAATATTCAGTACAGCTCCTAACCCTCACTACTTCTCCTAACCCCAACTACAGCTTCTAATGCCCACTACAGCCCTCCTTCTCTAGCACAGCTACTTAATCCCACTACTGCACCTAACTCCCACTACATCCCTTATTCTTAATATACATCCCCAAACCGCCCACTAGACATGTGCAATTCGTTTCGGTCCAAATTTAAATTCGGACGAATTTCAGCTTCCGAATGTCCAAATTACCAAAGTGCCGAACTGCCGAATTTCGGAAGTGCCAAAGTGCTTTGGATTTCTGAAAAGTGGCAAAACAGGAGAGGGAGGAAAAATTAAGGTAATGATGACAGGAATCTAACCCTAACCCCTAACCCTACCCCCAACAAAGTGTGCTTCATTTCCGGTGGTCAGAGCAATTTTCCCACAATTCTCGCCTTTCCTCCATGTTCCAGCAAAGCCTCCTTTCACTTTTTCATTTTAGACAGAACGCCGGCAAAACTACCGAATTGCATCCTAACAGAATGAGAACAGTTTCTCCATTCATGCTAGGTCGCAATTTGGGACTTTGTTCGTATCGGAATTTCATTCAAATAATTCCCACGGTATTAGGGAGCTATCTACCAAAAGGGTGAAAGACGTAATTGGTCTTTCAGCCAAATTTACTAATACTAAGTAAAGATTACCGTATATACTCGAGTATAAGCCGAGTTTTTCAGCACACTTTTTGTGCTGAAAAACCCCAACTCGGCTTATACTCGAGTCAGTCTGTATTATGGCAATTTACATTGCCATAATACAGACTGGGGGCTGGCAGAGCTGTTACTTACCTCTCCTGCAGCTCCTGTCAGCTCCCTCCTCCTCCGCGCCGGTCCGTGCAGCACCTCAGTCAGCTCCCAGTGTAAGTCTCGCGAGAGCCGCGGGGTCATAGTGCGGCTCTCGCGAGACTTACAGTGTGAGCTGACAGAGGAGCTGCGGACCCGGCAGCGAGGAAACTTGACTGAAAGGCTGCAAGCAACTCTGCCCTCCCACTGAACTGCCAATGCCACTGGACCACCAGGGAAGGAGAGCCCCCCTCCCTGCCATGTATCAAGCAGGGAGGGGGGACAACAAAATAAATAAATTAATAATAAAAAATAATAATAAAAATAATAATAAACAAAATAATAATATAACAAAAAAATGAACTAAAAACTAAATAAAATAATACATAAATAATAATAAAAAAAATAAAAATAATAATAAAAAAATTATTAAAAAAATAATAATATAACAAAAAAAAATGTAAATAATATTAATTTTTTTTTTATAGAAATGCCCACCCCCCACCAAGGCTCTGCAACACAAATACACTGTATTACACACACACACACACTGCATCACACACACTGCACTCATACACACACTGCATCACACACACACTGCATCACACACACACTGCATCACACACACTGCATTCATACACACACACTGCATCACACACACACACACTGCATCACACACACTGCATTCATACACACACACTGCACTCATACACACATACACTGCATTCATACACACACTGCATCACACACACACACACTGCATAACACACACACACACATTGCATCACACACACTGCATTCATACACACATACACTGCATTCATACACACACACTGCATTCATACACACACTGCATCACACACACACACACAGTGCATCACACACACACACACACACTGCATCACACACACTGCATTCATACACACACACTGCACTCATACACACATACACTGCATTCATACACACATACACTGCACTCATACACACATACACTGCACTCATACACACACACTGCACTCATACACACACACTGCATTCATACACACACACTGCATTCATACACACACACTGTGCACTCATACACACACTGCGCACTCATACACACACACTGCACACTCATACACACACACTGCGCACTCATACACACACACTGCGCACTCATACACACACTACATTCATCATATACACATACTGTAAATAAATATTCAATTAATATAATTTTTTTAGGATCTAATTTTATTTAGAAATTTACCAGTAGCTGCTGCATTTCCCACCCTAGTCTTATACTCGAGTCAATAAGTTTTCCCAGTTTTTTGGGGTAAAATTAGGGGCCTCGGCTTATATTCGGGTCGGCTTATACTCGAGTATATACGGTACTTATTATTAGTAAATAATCTGCCCCTACTCGCTATACTGCGAGTAGGGGCATGTCTATTAAACAATTAGCAGCCTGCGGGTGCTCACTGTTAAAAAAAACAAAACCCTAGTATCCCCCCTCGCAAGCCCCCATCCGTACCGCGAGAGTGGGGGCTATTAAACTAAGCGGGTGGGAAAACCTATCATCCTATTTGGCCTTTTTTAAGGCTGAAAAAAGAAGATTTTAGAAAAAAGAAGACATCAAATGGTAAGTTGTATTTATTTTTAGCAAGTATTTTGTTCTCTTGTTCCCCCCTCACTATTTTTAGGGTGTGGGGCGTAGGTAGGGGTTTATTAATTTTTTTTTGAGTGGGGTGGTGACTAGGGGCTTGGGGATCCCTAGTCACCTGAGGGGGGGTTAACATTTTCATTTAGCCCCTTGTCGTAATTTAGGACCCACACCCGGGATGGTGGCCGGGGGGAGGACAATAGGTTCCCCCCTTATTCTAATTTAGTGTCCCCACCCGCTGCTCAGGGGTAGGAGCTCGGGGGGAGGACAATAGGTCCCCCCCACATTTTCAATTAGGGCCCCTACCCACCGCTCAGAGGTGGGTGCCAGGGGGGAGGGCAATAGGTCCCCCCATTTATTGTAATTTAGGACCCCCGCCCGCCGCTCAGGCGTCTGGGCCGGGGAGGGCAATAGGTCCCCCATTCAGTTTAATAGCCCACATTCATGCAGCGCGGGTGGGGGGCTCGGGAGGGGGATGCAGGGTTTTGGGGGGTAACTGTGAGCAGCCAGAGGCTGTTTAATAGACATACAACCCTACTCGCAGTATAGCGAGTAGGGGCAGATTATTTACTAATACTAAGTAATCTTTACTTAGTGTTAGTAAATTTGGTCTTTCAGCCTTTTGGTAGATAGCTCACTAATACCGCGGGAATTAGGGAGCTATCTACTAAGCGGCTGCAAGATGCAGCCGCGGCACGAACAGGATCAGAGTTTCATTCATTTGAATATAATTCCAACACGAACAAAGTCCTGAATTGCGTCCTAACACGAATGGAGAAACTGTTTGTGACGGACCCGCTGGCACTCCGACCGAGTACCTCCGCCAATCGATGCTCCTAGTGCTTGCCGAGGACTCCAAGCACTCCAACCGACACCATCAGCACTGCAGACTTATCCCATCCCCCAAGCATGAGCCAAGGCTTCAAGAAAGGGTCAAGCAGGTCTGTTTAATGAGCACACAAAAGCAACAGCACTCATGCAGCAAAACAACTCCTCCTCAGAGGAAAACAAAATGACAGTTAAAAGGGTCAGACAGTGTTTGAAAATATGACAGTTATTAAGGGTTTAAACTGGTGTTCTAAGAGGAGGGGGGAATAAAACAGTCAAACTAAGTCCATAAAACAGGGGTTTTCTTCACACTCTGCATCCGAATGCATAGCAAAACTGCAGATACTTTGTCAGAGCATTTAAAGGGCCAGAACCAGTCTAATAAAATTCACTATGCCCAAATAATGTATTTAAAGGGCAAAATCTTCCAGGGGCCATAGTTGCAGGGCAGGAGGCTGGCAATTAGTCCTCTCCAGGTACAAATGGCGAAGGGCACTTCGTCACACTATTCTCATTCTGTTAGGACGCAATTTGGTAGTTTCCACGATGTTCTGTCTAAAAAGCCTGGAACATTCGAGAAAAGTGAAAGGTGAGAATTGTGGGGAACACGGAGAACACTGGAACATGGAGGAAAGGTGAGAATTGTGGGGAAATTGCTCTGACCATCGGAAATGAAGCACACTTTGTTCCTCTGCTGGTCATAGCTGGTCAGGCGTAGGAAACCTCCATAAGACAAATAGTCCCTACTTTGTCTTGTGATTTTAAAGAAAACTAGAGCAGACATGAAGAAACGAAGAACAGATCCTGAGAGAGGGAGAGAAGAGGAATCTATTGGGGAAAGGCAAGTTTCACACGACAGTGCCGCTTCAAGCCTACGTTTGATCAGCTAGCCAATCAGGCTCCGCCCCCCCTCATTTTTCTTTACACATGTAACGTGTTGATAATCAAACTAAAACACAGGAAAACCAAATGAGCTTACATCTATACCTTACATCTATCCTCCATGCATTACATTTCAGGTGCAAAAGCCCCAAGAAGAGACCAAAATCCACTGGCATTATATGTATGCAGATATACTTGGATTTTGATGATGTTTGGCACTGCTCTAAAGTGTTAAAAATACTGTAGAATAAAATGGAAAATTAAATCAGCCTTAAATCAAGCAGGCATTAGGTATATAGCAAGCGTTACTGTATTCATTTTTCTTTGATTTTATAATTTATTTATTTTTTGAACATGTTTTGGAATATTTCACTAATTGTTTCAACAAATGTGAATAGCACTCACCATTATTAGAAAGCTTCAAAATCTGTTCTGAAGCAGCATTCAGTAGAGCCCACACTTCCTTCTCACATAGAGGGCTTCCCCGAGCCCTCATGACCTCTGAGAGAGATGCATATGTGCCGTTCATGGTTGCTGTAATACATAAAGAGACATATACATATATACTATTTTGGGACAACCAGGGAGAGCTGAACATGATCCTCATGTGTTTTTTCTTTGTTTTATAACAATCATTTGTGAACTCAAATCTAGTCTCACAGGGTTATTCACTAAGAGAGAATTCAAAGTGAATTTCAAATTTAAGGTCAAAGTAGCCGAGCTGAAAGTATTGCTGAATTTGTTCAGTTTTCCTATTTTGGCCTTGATTTGGAAATTCTTTTTAAATTCACTTTGAATCCTCACTTTAGTGAGTAATCCTTTCAACTGTGAGTGGATAGAAGAGACTCGCCATAAGCCTTCAATTAGAACTATTTTGTGTCCACAAGTGCATTAAAGGGACACTCCAGGCACCCAGACCACTTCTGCCCATTGGAGTGGTGTGGGTGCCAACTCCCACTACTCTTAACCCTGCAACTGTAATTATTGCAGTTTTTTATAAACTACAATAATTACATTGCAGGGTTAACTCCACCTTCAGTGGCTGTCTACTGAGCAAGATGGTTTTTTTTTTTCAAATAATTTTTATTAAAGTTTTAAAATTTTGTATAACAAGTGATAATAATACAAACATTGTGTTAGGGGTAGGAAAGGAAGGGGAACTTGGAAATGGGAAGGGGTATCCATCCATCATTGAAATAAACATAATGTATATGGCAAAAATGTTGTACATCAATGCACTTTAACAATAAATATATCAAAGACCATAAACTGTTTTGATTTTTTCTTCCCATTTATCCCAATTATATTTTAATATTGGGAAACCATGCATATTGGCTCTATGCGATAATTCGTGTGCCTTGTTTTCTAGAATCAAATTAAAAACTTCTCTGAGAGATGGCACATTTTGGGACTTCCAATGTCTAGATAAACAGGATGTAGCAGCAATCAGAATGTGGCCTATGATTATTTTATCTGAACTATTAACAGACTCTGGGAGTTTTTTAAATAAAGCTAGTTCCGAAGTTAAGATGCTAATGGTTCTGTTCACTTTAATAATTAGATCATGAATCATTTTCCAATAATTAGTTAACTTGGGGCAGAACCACCAGATATGGGCCATATTGCCCACTCCCCCACAGTCTCTCCAACACCGGTCAGAATACATGTTGTTCATGTTGTGCAATCTAGACAGAGCCAGGTACCAGCGATATAAGATTTTATAATGATTTTCAAAATGGTCGGTGCAATACGAAATACCTTTTAAACCTTTTAAAAAAACGAACCATTCTTCTAAATCGCACTGGGCACCCAACTCCGTCTCCCATGACAACATATGTTTTAATTTAACTAAGGGCTTGGCATTATGAAACAAATAGCATAAGGATATCATACCTTTACTAGCGGGACTGTATAAAAAAACTTTCTCTAAAGGAGATAACTCAAGTGATTTATAGTTTTTATCTGTTTCAGATACCTGGTATAGTTCTTTCAATTTGTCAATGATTAGCATACATTCCAGTTCACATACATTTGATAATCCATACTTAAGCTTCAATTTTTCCAAAGAAAGAATAGCATTGCCATAAAAAAAAAATTGTCCAGATTAGTTATAGAGCAATTCTTCAACAATTCTATTTTTAAGGATTGTATATAATATTTCAATAACTCAATAGGCATTGCTCTATATAAACTGGGAGACTGGTCATTTTTAAAAATAAGGTCCCAGGCCTTAAGCGTAGTCTTGGTAGATAAAAATAATTTTTTAATTCCAGGTCTTTTCTTAGGATTTAACCAAGGTAATTCTGATAATCTAACCGGTAAAATTTTTGATTCTTCTATTTCCATCCATCTGGGTTTATCAACCTGGTTGTTAAAGCTCACAACCACGGCAGTGTTAGTGGCGAAATAATATTTGCGGATATCGGGGACACCGATACCGCCATTCGATTTATGGTGCTGCAGGGAAGTGGGCCTCACTCGGGCAAGCTTGTTCCCCCAGATAAATTTCAGCATTGTCGAGTGAACTTTATTAAAAAATGATAATGGAATGGACAGAGGAATGGTCCTAAACAAATATAAAATTTTGGGAAGTATCGTCATTTTAATAGATGTGACTCTCCCCAGCCATGAGAGCTCCATCCAGCCCCATCTCTCCATCTCTTTTTCTAAGTCCGACCATGCTTTCCTCAAGTTGTGATTGTGCATATTGACCAAATTGTTGCATAAATTAATGCCAAGATATTCCATGTAATCAATTCTCCAATCAAATAAATATGATTTCTTAAGGGCAATGGTTTCCAAATTGTTTAAATGAAACGGGAGGGCCTGAGTTTTGGACTCATTTAATTTGTAGTACGATATCTCACCAAATTGAGTTAAAATGTCCTTGAGGTGTCTCAAAGATTCCTTTGGGTTTTTGACAGCTAGGATTATATCGTCTGCAAACAGGCCAATTTTGTGAACGGAGTCTTTAATAGCAATTCGTACAATTTGTGGGGTCGTTCTAATTAGTTCTGCCAGGGGTTCTATCGCTAAGACAAACAAAATTGGAGATAAAGGGCACCCCTGTCTCGTCCCGTTGGTTAGAGAGAAAGTTTTGGATGTGAAGCCAGAAGCTGAGACATGGTCGGAGGGTGCGCAATATAGCGCCTTAATTGCTGTGATAAAGGATGATGGTATGTTGAACCTGTCTAATGTTCTCCATAAATATCCCCAATGTATCCTGTCAAACGCCTTCTCTGCGTCTAGAGATAGAAGCAAAGAAGGCGTTTTGGTCATATTGATGTGCTGAATCAAGTTTATGAATCTTCTAGTTCCGTCTGGCGCCTGTCTAGCCTGTACAAAACCTACTTGATCCTTATTAATTAGCAATGGGATTAATTTGCTTAATCTATTAGCGAGAACTTTAGAATAAATCTTTGAATCATTATTAATCAGAGAAATGGGCCTAAAGTTAGGGCATCTATCGGGAGTTTTTCCCGGCTTTGGCAAGGTGACTATTCGTGCGCACAAGGACTCCTCTGGCATCTTTCCCCCGGACTTATAGGAATTGAACATTTTAGTCATATGGGGAATTAAAATTTCTGGAAAAGTTGTATAATATAAAATAGTAAATACATCAGGACCAGGGGCTTTTCCAGATGGCATAAGTTTGATTGCCTCAGCTATCTCTACTGCTGATATTTCACATTCTAAGCTTTCTAAATGTCCTGGAGACAGCCGAGGCAATGACACTCTGTCTAAGAATTTATCAATTATTGCTGCAGACGGCTGGGGAAGGTCCAAATTACATTCTAAGTTATAAAGTTTACTATAATACTCTGCAAACATATCACTAATTTTATTTGGATTAAACACTTTTCGCCCCTGATCATCAAGTAAATATGCTATTTTTGATTGGGCATTCACATGCCGGAGTTTGGATGCCAAAAGAGTTGAGGCCCTGTTGCCTTTTAAGTAAAATGTTTTCCTGAGACGTCTCACCATGAGAGATGTACGATCTAAATTAATTTTGTTAATTTTAGCCTTAATTTCTCCTATCATTGCTGATAGGGAGGACGATGGACCAAATTTATTAGAACAGTAAAATAAGGTTGCGCCTAAAATATATAATAAAACATATAAAACATATAAAATATTAATATAAAATAAGTAGTAAGCAGTAGTCCAAAACACTTATCATAAGTCCGTAATGATAGGTGCCACATATGGAAACAGGGATTCTTGAGATGTAAAATGTAGTAAATCTTCACAATTATATGCTTGGGATCCAGTAGAGCATATGTAGAAAAAAACAGAAACAGGACTCCAATGGCACAGTATATAGATGAATAAAATAATATAATAAAATGAAAAAAGTCTTACTCGCATTTTTCAGAGCTAAAACCTAGCTCTGATATTGCGCACGTGAAGTGGAATAATCCCCACTCAAGGATATGCGGAGTGATATTTGATTGGCGAATATCTGGCTCAAATTCGGCGGCCGAATTAGTGTTATTCGACCCAGAAAAAAAGAATAAAATATAGTGCTCTCACTAGGATCACTAGGGTTTCACCACCGGTCCACCAGGGCTCTCAATGTTCCTCTTCCCTGTGTGTGTTTGTCCAGGATCTTTTGGCAACTGCACAGACCTCTATTGTAAAGAAGTTTCAAAGGTCTAATAATGCAAGACACCTGAAAATAATATGCGTCAGCTTGTAAATGATACCAGCAAACAGTGACTCTTCATTGTTGTCTGCTGCCTTTAATAGTCTATATGTATATACACATATACATGCCAAGGTCTGTGAGACTTAAACATGTAATTAGAGACAGACAATCTGCTCTGTGGGGGGGTCTAACCCCTAACATATCTATGGGGCCAATCGATGCCTAGTGTTCTGATTCCAAGCAGTAAACTCCTTTATGATTGTTAACCCCAAGGGGCCAGGAGATAGCACCTAAAATACTGACGGTCCCACAGAGTTAAAGGAACACTGTACTCACTATAACATATTCATCTACATAAACTTGTTATAGTGCCTACAGTTCTTCCCCCTTTCTTTGAGGCCAAAAATTACAGTATTTAAATAATTAGAAGGCTTAGAAGAGCAGCTTCAAGCCACACCGTCAAGCCCTCTGAGTATGAGAGCCAGGACTCTTACTACTTGGAAAACCTAGGATACCGTGAAGTCATGTGCAAATACGCAGTGCATGCAATGAAGCTCTATGGCATAATCATAGGTGCATCACGCGAGCACCATGCTTGCGCCTTCAGTCACCAACGCTCCTCATGAGGAGAATTTGATTGGATCATTATCCTGGAGGCACGCATTCAGGATGACATCAGGATAGGAGAAACCATTGAAAGAAGGGGAGCAAATGATTTATTTACGTCTTATTTCATTTTGAAATTGCAGGAATGGTGGGCCCTAAAACTAACTAGTGATATTTCTAAGCTATAGTGGAGGGATAGGCAACCTTTGGCACTCCAGCTGTTGTGAACTACACCCATAAAGCTCTTACACCCATAATGCTGGCAAAGCATCATGGGAGGTGTAGTCCAAAACATCTGTGATGCTGTAGTTTGCCTATGCCTGCTATAGTGTGCCTTTAACTGGGTAAGGAATCAGAGACCAGGAGATAAATAATTTTTTAGCCCCTAAATATAATGCTTCTTTTTAAATAAATGTGCAGATATTAATGTTATTGCATGAGTTTCGACACAGGGGTTTATTCACAAAAATCTACATTTTAGCAAATTCACATTATAATGATAAATTTAAAGCAAAAACAGGAGACATTCTTCAACTCAGCTAAAGTCACAACTTTATTATTTTAGTCAAAATTTTGAAACTGATTTTTAATTTGCTCTAATTCGATGTTTAGTGAACAAACCCCACAGTGACACTTTCACACGTGTCCCTTGTAGCTATATATAACTTTTACATGTACAGAACAAGTAATAAAATACCTTATTTTAAATATATATTTACAAAGAAAAAAAAAATATATATATATATATATATATATTTATTTATATATATTATAATTGATGTTTCCGAAATAGGCTTCAACAGTAAAACATGTAATTTGTTATAAATATCCCACACCTAAAAATAACTAATTAAACAGAGCAGTAACAAATAAATGCAATTTAGTGCATGGTTAGAAATCTCAAATATTTAAATGAACTATAGTGTTTTCAGTTATTATTAAACACTGGTTAATATAGTTTTTAATACAGTGGCCAATAAATCCTGAAACATAGAAATCACCAACTTAGTAGAGAAAAAAAAGAAAAGAAAAGTGTGGATATATTTGTTGAAGCAACACAAAACACACAGAGATGCAATGTTAAAATTAAAACAGTGAAGGTAAGTAGAAGAAAACAAACACAAAAATGAATAAAATGTAAAATAAAAAAATAAAAGCCTCCAAATTAATGTTTAGTTTAAAAAAAATACCTGTATTTCCTGAAAATATATAATCCAGCTTGAACAATTTAAACCTTATGCCCCATGCTGCTTGGTATAAATCTGTTTCTGCAGAGACTCAGCTGGAGGGTTGGGTAAACTCTGTGTATTTTTGGTAACTAAGCACCCTGTTCAACGAATGCACTTTTGCTGAAGCCTGCAGGTTACCTTAGCTTCCATCCTCCCACAACTGTAGTCATTCTGTGTTGGCATGTCTTTGTTTACTCTAACTCGGTTTATGACTAATACAGGATTACATTTTTAGAATGATGATAACAGTACAGATGCTGAGAGCCCAACCAGATTAATAGTGCTTCAGCATATTCTGCTATTCCTGTATTAAAGCCATAATACAACGTTTAACCCCTTCATGACACAGGTGACCTGCTATGATCCCTTAGGACGAGGGCGGTAGGAATATTACCCATTCCTCGCATAGGGGAGGTTTTTGGGCCAACAAAATTCATGGTTCAGGGATCCCCCTCCTCCATAGGAAACTACCTAAGGTCATTTTATTGTTTATCCTGCTCTGCTATTTTTATATAACAGTATGTGCAAATGGTCACTCTAAGCACCATCACTACTTAATTTACTGAAGTTGCTATGGTGTAATGACCCTTTATCTGCAGCCTTTCTTTCTAAGAATGTTAAATCCCAGTGATAAATGTTTTTTCCAAGTGCAGGGCTTCCTCACTGGTCACCAAGCCAGTATACTGTAACCAGACGCTGTGGACAGGCTGCCCATGTCTGGTTACAAACCCACACTTCAATCTACTAGGCAGTGTAACTAGCTGCACTGCTGCTTAATTCAGTTAAAGGGACACTATAGGCACCCAGACTACTTCAGCTCATTGTAATGAGACCCCTTGGGGCACAAGGGGAGCCACTATAGGTCACAATAGTGCTAGGAAAACAAGCACTATAGTTTGCCTTTCAGCTTAGAAGCCAGTATAAAGATCTATGATATTTACTGTCACAACTCTCAGGCTGGCCTCCGAGCATAATTGACCTTGGATTCAGGGCCAGATATTCCTTTTCTGCTGCCCTAAGGCCAGTTTCATAACTCCCAACATTTCAAATGGACAAAGAGGGACACTTTAATTATAATAGCCATTTATGCAACTAAAATGTAATTTAGAACAAGAACATATCTTATTTACACAGACTGATCTCTTAACACTTTTTTATTATTTTGTGTTTTATTGCTCTAGAGCTGTGTTATACACTCAGAAACACTAAAAATATGGAGCTCCTACAAAAGAGGGACAGAAGGATTTGAGCCCAAAATAGGGACTGTCCCTCCTAAATAGAGACACTTGGGAGTTACACATTTTCCTGAGTTCATGGTTTACTAAAACTCACAGCTAGCTATGTCTTGACTGTTTGAATGTATCACAGAGCTCCACCGCAAAAATACTGTCAGTAATTTGCAGTCAGGGCCGGCCTTAGGGGTGTGCGAGCTGTGCGACCGCACAGGGCGCCATGGAACAGGGGGCGCCCTGTGGCCGACACAGCTCACTCATGGCCGGAGTGCAGGGGAGCTAAAAGAGGTACCTGGCTGGAGGATTAATTGTTCTCCACCCGGGTCTATTAAAAAAAAAAAAAAAATCGCGGCAGAGGGGGCGGGGTTTACCGAGCGGCGGAGGCGGGGCTTATCGAGAGGCGGAGACGGGGCTAATACCTCCCGAAGCCCCTGCTGTACAGAAAGAGGGAAAGATGCTTCCCCATCAGCCAACTGCATCCACTGGAAAGAGGTAAGTGTGTGTGTGTGACTGTTTGCCTGTTTGTGTGACTGTCTGTCTGTGTGTGTGTGTGACTGTCTGTCTGTGTGACTGCCTGTCCTTGTGTGTGTGTGTGTGACTGTCTGTCTCTGTGTGTGTGTGTGACTGTCTCTGTGTGTGACTGCCTGCCTGTGTGTGACTGTCTGTGTGTGTGACTGTCTGTCTGTGTGACTGTCTGTCTGTGTGACTGCCCGTGTGTGTGACTGCCTGTGTGTGTGAGACTGTCTGTCTGTGTGACTGTCTGTGTGTGTGACTGTCTGTCTGTGTGTGTGACTGCATGTGTGTGTGACTGCCTGTATGTGACTGCCTGCCTGCCTGTGTGTGTCTGTCTGTAACTATCTGTCTGTGTGTGACTGCCTGCCTGTGTGTGTGACTTTCTATCTGTGTGACTGCCTGCCTGTGTGTGTATAACTGTCTATGTGTGTGTTACTGTGTGTCTGTCTGTGTGTGTGACTGCCTATGTGACTGTCTGTCTGTGTGTGTCGCTGTAGCTGTGCCATTGTTTGTGCCTGTGCCTGTATGTGTGACTGCCTTTAACTGAGTGTGTGTGTACATGCCTGTAACCGAGTTTAAATTTCCCCCACCCCTTCCTGTCAAGGCCGCACTTTGACTGACAGACGCTCACTCACTGACAGACGCACACTCACTGACGACACATACACACTCACTGACGACACATACACACTCACTGACTGACACATACACACTCACTGACTGACACATATACACTCACTGACCAACACACACATTCACTCACAGACACACACACATTCACTTACAGACACACGCAATTACACACTTACAGACACACACACACACACACACACATTCACTTCAAAATAAACACTCACAGACACACACACAGACATTTCCACTAACACTCACAAACTAATATTTTTTACATTTATTTTAAATCCACCCAGCCTCCCTGGGAAAGCTGGAGTGGATTTCTTACCAGCAGTCCAGTGTGGCTGCTGGGCAGGCAGGCAGGGGGCGCACAGGCTGAGTAAGCAGCGCTTAGTGATGCCGGGAGCCGGACTGACGTCATATTCTGGCTCCCGGCTTCATTAAGCGGCGCAGAGGAAGCTGAGCAGGAAGAGCTCAGGTGAGTATGCTCCTTCGCTGCCCGCTGCCCGCTGCCAGCCTTGGGGGGGCTCAAAAGTGGCCAGCCGGTCAGCTCTTGAGCCCCCCAGGATGCGAGGCAAGCAAGGGATCTGCCTGGGGGTTTGGAGGGATGCTTTTTTTTGCCGCCCCCTGCAAAGTGGCGCCCAAGGCAGATGCCTTGTTTGCCTCGTGATACACACGTCCCCGGTGCCTGTGTGTGTTACTGTATTCAGGCAACTTGGTGGGAGGTGGGGGGGGCGCCGTGAAGACTTTTTGCACAGGGCGCCTAATTGCCTAAGGCCGGCCCTGTTTGCAGTCAGTATGAGTGTATCACCAAGCTCCACAGCAAGCCATTGCTATGTAGAGGTGTATATACCATTTAAATCACAATAATGGCTTTAATTTAATGTAAAACATGCATACTGTATTTAAATTCTCATTTATTATAAAATAAGCTAAAATACAAAACAATCATAGATTTGACACTAATAGTGTGTACATAATTAGTGCAGCTAAAGAAAAGTAATCCAAACTAAATGTATGTATTTGTCCTGATTTACAGAATACATCACATGTATATGATTTCAGTTTATTTTCAGTAAGTTACATGTCACAAAATACAAGGAGTAAAATACAATTTCAATGTTTTAGAATTTGGTAAGTCTAACAGCTATCACAGAAAAAAAAAAAATTGCCACACACAAGTATTACTTTATATGAAGTAGACATAAAAAAAATCTTTTTTTACCCAAGGTCTTTACATACTAATTGAACTGCTAATCTCTGCTACAAATTTAAGTAAAATTGCTTTGTTTTTTTTTTTTGTTTTTTTTTTTACAGACACACATATAAAAAGTGTTTTTAACATGTTCTGGATTTACAGAAATTTTCCATTTCATGTATTTGAAATTTGAAAATTTCCTTTAAATTCTCACTATGGTAAATAACCATGCGTATTTTGTAAACCTGATGTGTGCTACTTCTGAGCTAAACTCCTAAATGTGTTCAGCTACATCTTCAGAGTACAACAATACCCCCAATGTATGTCTTTGCCATCGTCTGTAGCAAATCACCCCTGTAAAGGGACAGTGCTGTATAATAGGCCATTTCCGTTTTTACTGTTAGAATTTTGAAAGGGATGGATCTGATGGACCGATGTCTTATGCATAAACCTTGCATATCACGTCAATGAGTTGTAAATGCATAAACCTGGTATATAATACCAATTAACATTAAATGCGTAAACTTGGTATATCATGCCAATTAACATTAAATGCCTAAACCCTGTATATCATGCCAATGAGCAGTACATTTCACATTTATATATCATGCCAATAAGCCATATGTGCCTCCAAAATCCCGCCAGTGCCATCTGTGCCCCCAAACTACACTTTGTTAAATAGTTAGCAGTACTTATTAATAGTCAGATGTAGTGCTGTAAAAAGTCAATGTAATTTCAGCAGTTTTGATATTTAATGCTACCTTGGAAAACAGTTGACTGCTCAAGTTTTCACTTAAAGAAACATGTGGAAATATAAAAAAAAAAGCGGAGCATGCTATGGTTAATAAAAGTTTTTAAAAAAAATACCAGGATATCCCTAACACTACTAACAACATACTGTACTAAACATTTACTAAATCCCCACCAACAATGCTCAAACTGACTAAAGTAACTATTTCAGTGCTGCAGCAGACAGCAATAAAATATGGCTGTCTGCTTTAACAATGCTAAAATAAAATTAGGAATGGAAAATATTAAAACATTTACTGGAGATCTTAAAGTCCTCTATATAGACAGAGAGGGATCCTCAAAAAAGGATCAAGGCTCCAGAGGACCACCTACTAACCGACATGTTTGCAAAAAAAATCCAAAAGAGAAAAGAGGGTTGCACTCAATCACAAATATCACAGGGTGCAAGCTTTGTATCGGTCAGCATACCCCACAGAGAACATGTGTCCAGGAAAAAATCTCAGGCACTCACGTATCACAATGATTGCAAAAAATGGCACAACCAATAGAGAAATGAGCCCGGCAATGCTTCTTTATACCATTTCCTTTACTATAGGATACAAGGCAATACATAATTGTGGGTATGCTCCCTATATATATATATATACTATGCAGCCTTTTCTGTGTGCGAATCTGTATGGGATTCTGCGAGTGTGTTTGAATCAGTGTGTGTGAATTTGTGAGAGAATGTGTGTAAATCTGTGACTGTGTATGAATCAGTGTGTGTAAATCTGTGACTGTGTATGAATCAGTGTGTGTGTGAATCTGTGAGTGAATGTTTGTGAGAGTGTGGGAATTTGTGAGTGAGAGTGTGTGGGAATCAGTGTGTGAATCTGTATGCGCGACTTTATGAGCGTATGAATCTGTGTGTTTGAAGCGACATTGAATTGAGATGACCACTTTGGAAGAGGCATGCGCATCACTGGTGATGACATTGTTCTGCATAGTGAATTCCTTTTAATACTGAATGACACATAATGTTCTGCACAGTGAATCCCTCTATGTACTTCTACACATGTACAATAGTATATTGCTCTCTCTTTTTAGTTTGCAGCGCATCAGTTTGTCATTATAGTTTCCCTTGCTCCCAGCATACTTTGCTCTTTTTTTTTTTTTTTAAATGAGCATGCACATAGTTTCTCCTGCATGGATAGTGCTAGTCTATTGCATGTGAAACTATGGTGGGTGGATCAATGTGCCGGTAAGAGGGAAGGGTGAGGCTGAAGAAACTGCACTAGCTAAGAGGCAAGCCCAACAATGCAAGATGACCAAATTTATAGTAAGTTTATAAACCTTTATTGAATAATTTCCCCCCCAAAATTTTTTGCTTTATTTTAGTTTGTAAATGTTTATTTGCTGGTTTAAAAAAAAACATGAAATCCCTCTAAGGTTGAAATTTGGAGAGTAATTCAGTGAAAAATTGGAAAATATTGAAAGTAATTTCAGAGCTTACACTATCTGCTTCCTCTCAGAATGACTTCCATGACTCATTACCAACTACTGCTGCTGTTCCAACCTTTTTATTTAATTTATTTTATTTATATAGCAGCATACTATGCCGCTCTGTGCTACAGCTAAACGATACATACAAATAATAATGACAAAACATATTGGGCATAAAATAACAAAATGTGACAATGACCATGGTCTATAGTTTTTAGCTTAAACAAAACTGGTTATAATTACACAAGCGATAAATAAATTTAGCAAGTAAAATGGATTGCATATAAGCATATCTATATAAATATATAAAGTTGACCTCAGTGGCAGAAAAAAAATAGGCAGAAACAGATGGACAGTTTAATATTAAGAATATATACTAATATAAACATATTTAATGCCAGCCAAAGAGGATTTTTGTTGTTAATTTAAGCTATTATTTTTGAAGACCAAACATTGCTAACATTACCATGATATAAGCTGCTTACAACCTCTGAGTTATGACGTCCTCTTTAACAGAGAGAGGAGAGATTCCTATACAAATTGTACAAGGAGCAATAAAGAAAATAATAACTTCAACATAAAGCATTTTTAAAGCTTATGCCTGAACATGTTAATCATATTCCTTAATCTGCAAATTGTGTTTGGGTAACATACAGGCTTATGTTACGCGTTTACCTAAAACCATTTGATCTTGCTCTGGTACTGAGGAAATTTTAAATGCTCTCTTTCCAGTTATTTACAAGAGCACTCTATGCAAAACAAACACCACAGTGAGTTGTGTGGTTATAGTCCCAGGAGTGCACTGACATTCCATTAATATAAGTAGTCAAACTGTTTTAGAATCCTCCTTGCCTCCACTACAGCCTACAGAGATCTGGACACTTCCTGTATTAGCTCAACCTGGCGGTGGAGGGAGGGCCAGTGCAAGGATCTTAGACTACACAGGCAAAAATGCATTTTGCCACCCCCCCTATGCAAACTACACACATAGGTAGTGATAGACATGCATCACCGCCTCCCCTGCTGCCAGAGGGTCCTGCAAGAAAATTCTGGTTAATGCAACTGAGCTATGCCTGTTCAGCTGTGTATCGCCTAGCTCATTGGCTAACAGCACGCACCTGAAGCTCTTAAAGGACCACTATAGTGTCAGGAAAACATACTCGTTTTCCTGGCACTATAGTGCCCTGAGGGTGCACCCATCCTCAGGGTCCCACTCCCGCCGGGCTGGATAGAGAGGAAGGGGTTGAACAATTACCTTTTCTCCACCG